GTATGGTTTAGATTTATTTGCCAGATGTGAGATTCAGGGAAGCCTTGTGTCCCTTGTGCCAATGCTAAGTCCTATGCATAGCTTATGTGAACTGAGCCTTTATTAACCTGTATATAGCTTGAAATACACCTCATTCTCAAATTTTGATGTACATTATATATCTTCTTTGGTAATTGTATTGTTGAAAACACAATCATTTTTAAATGTGATTCATTTTCCTGATATCGTATCATTTACTAGTATGGAATAAAAATTACAATTAACATTCAAATCCAAATCAGAGTTTAGAATTGAAAATTCTAACACATAGCATTCTGATAATCTGATAAATGCAGAAAGTAGAGAAAGTAAGAATGTACTTTTATCATGAGAGCAGGCAATCTGCCATTTATTTATCATACAAATGAAAAATACTACGAGCGAATGGCGTCTAATATACACATGACTCTTGATAAAATGCCCCAAATTCCCAAGCAGGAGCATTATCCTCTGGATCCTGGAGAAGTACAACTCCTGCAAGACTATAGAAAATCATACCTTCAAGGTGTTCGGCAGCTGGCCATACGAAGTCAAACTACAAAAGACAAAGTTGGTACACTTCCGCTGTACGCTTATTCTACACCAACAGTAAAGGAGGATCATGAATATGTCAATATGGAAATGGATGATATCTTCAAAGGTCAAAACACACCACAACTTATAGCTAGATTCGCAAAAAACTCAATATTATGTGTAAAAACACAAAGAGAGGTCCGTCTATGTGTTGTATCGATTGAGGTAACAGACGATGACAGACTGATTCAGGCCAAATGGCTTGAAAATACAGAAAGAGATGTTACATCATTTCATCAAGCTGAAAACACCATCATCCATTTGACGGAAGTTGTTGAAGTTCTTTCAGACATGAGGTTTAATGAAGAGGGTGTTTTGAACCTTACTATTGAGGAATATGAGAATTTATTCCAAACACCATCAAATGATGAAAATGATGAAATTGATGAACCTTTAGTGCAAAAAAGGGTGACAGGGGTATCTCGAGGAAATAGAAGGCAGACAAGGGTACCCTCATATCTTAATGATTATGTAAATTAATGATCATCATTCCTGAGTTACATCATACATGGTCACTTGATTTTAAACTTCATAAATACTATTTATTATAATTTATAACCTATCATATAGCATGTGAAAGCTGATTCAGTTGATCAGTGTTGCTAAACATCTCTACAAAAAGGTACCCATTTCTAAATACATAATCTAAATGCAACCTTTTCTCAAACACCAACACTGTACCTTGCTAAATGCAACAGTTACTTCCAAACATAACTTCACAAATTATGTTCCCATTTATCGATCATGACGATACATGTGTATGTGACCTATAAATCCATACTGTATAAGGTTTTTTATGATATAAAGATTGTAAAGGTATATAACCTAGGATTGACTTTGGATGGGAGGACATTCATCATGAAACACCCTGAACATAATTATGAAATCAATTGATATTATATGTAGGCTAACTATTATTTATTATTGTTAAGGTAAGCCAGTATGTTTTTGGCAATCTTCATTGAAGTCATGCTACTTTCAATTATTAATAACTTGATCCAACATTGTCCACAAAGAATACACTTTATAGACAAGACAAGAGTGTAGAGATGTTTAAAAATGAGAACTTTCAGTGATCTACTTTTAGTAGTTTCAAAAGAAGTAGGTCACCAATTTTTAAACATTTTATTGAAACTGGCAAACAAAACTTCTATGTGGAAATGAATTATTTAAGGAGTCAGTAATATTGTTTTGTATTTTCAAACATTTAAAACATTTTTACAGGTTAGAGGCTGCTTTGCCAAATTATTGTACATTTTGTATCTTCACTATCTACCTGACAGATTTATTTGTACATACTTTGCCGCAATAAACTCTATTTTTTAAAGAATACAATGTCATGATGAATCATACAGTCTTTCATTCCACCATGGGCTTTCAACTTTCTAATTGAAAGCCCATGGTTCCACATTCTCATTTTTGAATCAATTGTGTTCCCAAGGAAGAAGAATCATTTCCCTGACTCACTATGAAGGATGCAATTGACATAAGTCATAAGAAAGAAGTACATTAGTTGTACAATTTGTCTACTTGACAATAATATGGAGTTACAGAATTTTTGACCATGGGGTTGTGTCCAAAATGAATATTGTTGATAATGTATAAAATGGAATTATTGTGGTCTAATTATGTGCACTGTGCAGTCTATTTGCCTCATAATAATATATTTGGTAGAACATGGATTCTCTCCTTGTCTTATTTCCTTATAAATATCCAAACATTAAGGTACAGCTGGAAAGTAACATTTTGGTAATAAATTGCTATACCTGCACATGTTAATTTCTGGTACAAAATAAAGTATGAAGGCATGTGTCAATTTCCTTGCTTTTTTCAGGAAAATATCATTACATTGTCTTCCTTTAGAATATCTGGTAGGCGTTCAATGGGACCTCCAGGAAATTCTGATATTTCACACTTTCTATTTTTCAAAATTTTCTTTCAAAGTTTCCAGACAACACAGGAGCTACCATTGACCTGTTTCTAGATATTCTAAAAGAAGACAGTGTAATGATACTTTCCTGAAAAAAGCAAGGAAATACACACATGCCTTCATACTTAATTTTGTACCAGAAAATAACATGTGCAGGTATAGCAATTTTTTACCAAAATGTTACTTTTGTAGCATGCAAGGTCTCTACACAACTAGACCCTGATGCTAAATCAGGAAACTGACACTTAGTTTATATTCAATACTATATACACGTTTATTAACCTATAATATGTACACTTAAATCACTCAATTAAGATGATTATCTATTCAAAATGTCTCTAATATATGTAGAAGATATGTCACTGCTATGATATCTCCACTAATAATTCATCAATCAGTATTTATTCCACATCCAATATCCCATAACAACCAGGTTTCACACACAAAGGTCACTCAGTGCATATTCCAAGAACTAATCAATATAATGGTAGCGGCCCAAGTTCTTGCTTCTTTAAGTGTTTCTTGCCAATATATGTATACTAACTGAATTATCAATGTGCCTTTTATTCCCAATCAATCACATACCAATAGTTAGTCACTATATGAAAGACTCTAAATTTGTTCGGTAATTGCCCAGAAACGTCTAGACCAAATCAGCTGTTAGTTATTCCATTCAGTCGCGTGCTAAACGTCACATTTCACACTGTTATTATACCTCAAAAATCATTCATAAGTAATTAGAAACACTGTCAACACACTGGGATATACAATTCTAGATCATGAATTACAAGTCTATCAATCATCAAAAGTCGCGGACTTTTCTACCAAAAGTCGTAGACCAGTCGCGGACTTACACAATTATTCAAAGAACACTACCAAAATGTCATCAAAACCAATTTCAAACACAAGTCCAAACATTCAGACACACTTGGGACGGGAAATTATATTACAAATAACATTAATAGGGCTGTCGCGGACTCTCACCATTCAGAGTACGTGTTGCCACTCCGAGTTACCAATGCCAAAGACAATTCAAATTCCCCGCCTCACTCTTTTATAGAGGAACCAATCACGAACGCATTATTAATGACGTCATGCACCATTGTCAATCTAGAATCACCATTTTTACCACGCTATCGGTATCATACATCGCCGTCATATATATAATTACGATCATAGAGTTCATCTTTAAGTTATTATGCAGAAGATTCCATATTTAATGCGTTGAATCACATTTTAACATCGAAACGTATTGGTCGTCAAGTGAGACTATTTTCGAATGCAATCCAATATGGCGGACGACACCTGGAAATTTCTACGAATTCTCATGTTTCATGTCATAACTTCTTCAAACTACAATCAAACAGCTAGTTCTTCTGCCACAACATAGGGACAATTCAGTTGATTTAAAAGATTCAGCATTCTAAGGTAAAACTTCATGTCTTCAACATCATTTCACCAAGGGACTGATATTTTTACAAAATATTTCAGGTTTTGTCTCCTCAGATCATCACACTTTCGAGCTGAACCTTAATCAGCAGTTTCAAAATTATCGTATATTGTATTTCACCTAAAATATCGTATATGGTATAAGAGAGGCAAAAAATATTGTATATGGTGAAAAAATATTGTATATGGTATAAGAGGGCTGAAAAATATTGTATATGGACTTCCAAGACCCCCTATACACCCCCCCCCCCCCCGTTAAGGACAGGGTGCATGTTGGGAAATTTTCTGCATTCCTCAATTGAGTCACATGTTATTTTTCAAACATGAATAACTCCTTCCCCACATTGTCTACATCTTCCAAGTTTGCACAAATAGTGCACTTCTGTGCCTAGAAAAACCTTGTGAGAAGGTTTGTTTTGTAAAATGTATAAAAAATGAGAAAATTCAGTGAAAAAAAATTCTGAAAATTTTCTGATTTTTTTGACTGAATTTTCTTGTTTTTTATACACTTTATCAAAACATTCTTCTCACAAGTCTTTTCTAGGCGCATAAGTGCACTCTTTGTGCAAAACTGGAAGATATAGACAATGAAGGGAAGGAGTGATTCTTGTTTGAAAAATAACATGTGACTCAATTGAGGAATTTTGAAAATTTCCCATCATGCACCCTGACCTTAAGTACCCGGTCACCCGGTTAACTGGTCACCTGGTTTTTTACACAAACCCGTATTGAACTTTAGAACGGCTTAGCACACTCCCCTTCATGCCCAGTATCTGGCTTGTTACACTACATCTCCGCGAAGGAACTTAGTTAGATTAGACTCTTAATTAAATTTAGGTCTAGAAATAAAATGGGAAATTTGCAAACTTCTTATATTTCCCCTCCTGCTCATTAGAATTGTTCTAAGCACTCTCTAGGAGTGTCACTCCAATGATGTGTATTTATTAAAATATTACAATCAATAACAAATATGACAAGAGCAAAGACATAACAAACAAAAAATTCTTACATCTCTTTTCGTCTGCATGGGCGATAATGGACCGACCATAGATGGCAGCGCTGTGGCCTCGTTTTGGAAATCAATTAGGAAGTCAAATCAAAGTAGATCTACAAATATTGTCACATATATTGGATTTAATACTGATCTGAGGGAGCTTACGTTACAATTTTATTAGTATATCAAGGTTATGATTGTGCTTAAGACAATCGGGGATTCTCACTAAAATTTGATAAAGGTAAGTGATGCTATTGTTGTTTGTCACTATAATTTCTTGAATTTTTGCCCCAGTTATTTTGAGTTGACCCAGAAATAATTCTGATCAAGTCAATTCCAGTGAATTTAGTGCTAAAATTTGAAAAACATTAAACTGTTTTAGTGCTCAGTAGAGCTCAAATGTTTCTCAATCCAAAAATAATCCATTTGCACACAACAAACAGGTCAAAAATAACAATATATTACAGGTGTAAATCACTAGAACCTGAGACCATCTTTTATGTTAGTCTCAGCTAGAACTATCCCCTTTGCATTTGTTTGACTTCTTAAAAGAGAGCTTCGCCTTCACTCTTTCAGTTTACAATAAATCTCTGATCTCACCGAGCCAATCAGAGTTTGTCGTCGAAATAGGGACGACTTTCTATACGGTCATTTCCTCTGACATCGCTGCAGAGTTAATGAGCACGTATTTGACACCTGTTCCTTCCACTTCTCTGATTGGTTGAGAAAGGGACAGCGTGGTAGATTTGAATTGATATATTACCCGGCTGTCACAGGCACCAATCTTAGGGGCGGGGCTGCTAAACTGTAATAAAGTCTATACTAGGCAGAGGGTAGTTTATAACTAGACTCTGAGCACAGGGTACACAATAACAACATTTTGTCCAGATTTCGAGTATCGCCATTTTTCTTAGAGCCGTTTATTTTAATTTTAGACGAAATCCTGACGAAATCATGCAATATCTCATCAATGACCCCAGCCAGTTCCATTTTAATTCATGATTTATTTATCTGGGGATTTTTAAAATATTCAATAAATTTATTACACGACGGCCAGCTTTTTTCAAATGGTTCACGGTGTTCCAGATGATATTACTTCTAGCCAAGAATTGGCTAGAGACTCGAGTAAGGAATATCAAGTGGAGGATGGGTGCTATATTTCTTACTTTGATGTTAAGCAGTATCTTCCCAATACCCCTTTTCTCGAATTTGAATTGTCTATCAGGCATTGATGGACATCGGGGCTCGGTCCTTTCTCTGGTATAATCACCGTGTTCTTTTTGGTGAATTCTGATCTGTATTGCTCATTGAGGATTTTGGCTTTAGCTTTACTGTTGGATGTTTCCCTGTTACCTTCCTTCAAGATAGAGATGCCTACAGTGTTAGGTTTCATTTGAAAGAGCTCCAAAACTTCTATCCCATTGAGGGCTTACCATCAGCTTCTGCTCCAGGTAATGCAAGAAGTCCCATTATGTAAGTGTTATGGACTTTGGTTAGGGCTTTTCTGATTTTGTTGTAGTCTCTTGATGTCAATGCTAGTCATGTCTTTGGTGATGGTGTTGCAAAATAGTTCCCACTTGTTTGCGATTTTCCATCTTCTTTTGCCAGAGAACCACTGATGCCACCTCTGTTGATGTTATAAGGTCAGGGAATGTGGTGAAAAGAAGATCTAGGATGTTAGAACCTCTAGTTGGATGTTGGTTTGTCTGGCAAAGGTGGTACTGCTTTGTACTTACTATGGCCTGTTCCGATGCTCAACTCAGCAATTCCAAAGTTATTCTGCAAGTTCCGACTCAAGCTGGGTTTTGAGTATGAGTCCCACCACTACAGCATTCACAATGGGGCTGAAACAAAATAGAAAATTCTTCTGATTATTTGACTAGCCTCATTCAGTTTCTAATCAGAAGTTTTACTGAACATGAAAATAAAGTCTATTAGCAGTGCTCTCCCTCATTGAAATCTCTGAGGGGCAGCACCTCCATGTATTTTGTAAAACCAAAGTGCTCCTCAATGCAGTAAGATGCGCCTCCTAAAAAATGTTACAATAAGAAAATTCTAAAATGTTGCACAAATAATTACAAAATCGTAAGATGTTTCACAAAAACTTCGGTAAAAGTTTAGTATTAATATATAATATGTTTATGGTGTTTACTCAGCATATATAAACCTTCAAAATCAGAAACTAAGTGTCAAGTGCTATGATCGCTATATACAGTATGAAAAAACAGAATCTGTACATCAAATATAGCAATTTTTACCCCCATTGAAATCATGCCTCATGCCTACTCATTCAGTCACCTTGCCTTCAAACAGAGATAACAAAATACTGGTTTATATTTGAGCTGACTTTAAAACAGATAAAGAAGCATTTACATAATTGTTAGATAAAGTTAACTTTCTGGAATATTGCATTTTCTCTTCATCAAATGAGCAAATGATAAATGCTTTTACTTTATAGAAGAGGTAGCTCTCATCTTCATATGCTGAAATTCTACCAGGAAATGTGACAGCTAAAAACAATATAAGCAAGAAGCTGTCTTCTTCGTATATGGAAGAAGGATGGGGAGTTGGAAGACAATAATGTTGTTGCTGGTACTTTGTCTGATGACACTTTTTACAAGAGGTAAGAGCATTTGGCATTGAAATAGAAATGGAAACAGAACTAACGATTGTAGGGTCTAGTGTAATAATAAAAATTATGGACATACTAGTTCTATCACATACTTTTATTTCAATTCAAAGATCTATAGTGCACACAGAAAAATAAGTAATTTTTTTCATGGTGACATATTTGAAAATTGGTACAGTGTAAAGAGCATGTTTAAAGTTCTCACCTCAGCCTGTTAAAATGAGAGCATTCAAGGTAATACCATGTTACAGCCACACATTTATATTTTACTGTACATGCACTTGAAACTGATTTTCTAACTATTTTGACACTAAACTAATGTTAAATGTAACACAGCCCATTGACCTGGAACATTGCCTTCTAAGTGCAAATTGAAGGGGAAAGTGAAAAAGCCTACATGACATCTGAATTTAAAAGCTGCATTAACACTTTGACCTGCGAAGACATATATAACACATATTATAAGTGGTCTCCCAAGAGAGGTCTCCCTACCTTTAACAATTTAGATAATATAAATGTTATTCAAAGATTTTCGGGCCACATTTAAATAAAATTAAATGACTCTCATGAGATGTTGCACATCTAGTTATTTTTAAATATTATTGATGAGATTGAGTTATGACATCAGCTCTTTGATTAACAAGCTAGTTTGATTTTCTCAACAAGTTATTAAGTTTTGTTCAGTATTTTCTTCTAAATGATACTGAAACCCATTTTAAAAATTCAAGTCTCTTCCATTTCACATTTTTGAAGTTTAGCAAAATTTTGAAATCATTGTTTCTTGCTATTATTCAATGCTGCCAAGTTTAATAGAAATACAATTGAACTTGCATACAATGATTTGGGAAATTTAATTTTTTTAAATGAATGACCTTTGTAAAATTGTGCTAATTGTATGATTAACTTTCTAGCATATGTAATATCGAACTATAAAACGTTTTAAGAAATTTGAAAAAATTATATCAACTCTACTCCGGTTAAATAGAGTACAGTAATTGAATTGTGCACATTCACCATATTAGGTATAACCATGAAGTTAAGTTGTACTTTAGTAGGCATTTTCACATATCTGTAAAATTAAAATATCCCGTAAAATTAAAATTGTGATGTATCATTCATCGAGGTTATATCAGCAAACATGCTACTTTTTAGGAATTGAACAATTAGATCATATTAACTCATTCTATGTATTCTAGTTTCATTTCTGTTTTCTGTTTCTGTTCAGTTTTCTTGAAAACTCAGCTAGGTCGCTGTATATTTTTAGATGACTCATACTTTGTAGTTTGAAATATACATAGTGAGAGATTTTCTTTTTAATTTGATGTTTTTCCCATAAGATATATTTAAAAGCATCTCATATTATGGGTTTATGTGATAACTTTTGAAATCAGAAATGCAGTGCATCGCAAGCTTTTAAATGTAATAAAGGGACGGGTTTATTTAAATCAAGACCTACTTACATGTGTTTGTACTGAGTGAATATTTTATGTGAATGTAGGTTATCTTACCCTTATAATATGGCAATAATAATTATATCAGTTAATCATTTCTTTGGAAATATTAAACATTACATAAACATTTACTGAATTCTTTCAAAATCATGTTCAAAATCACATCTCAGTTATTGAGTACTCTATTGAACTTCATACGTTTTTTGCCATCATATCGAAATGCCCCAATTACATATAGACAGTCTACTATAATGATGGCTTCCTTGTTTAAATATGCTTAATAGGCACCATTATTTATTTAACATTCCCTCGACACGTTTTCTATTATAGAACCAAATTGAAAACTGCCAGTGAAATCTGCCGTTATGTTTTTATGTGATTTCTGTTGCACCCTGCCAATGTTGGTGGTCTAAGGAGTGCATGTAATTGCTTGTTAAACATCAATTATCTCCAAAATGTGCAGAAAGCATATGAACATTACTCAAAATAAAATGATCACACCAATCATATAGCTTGATCAAGTTTTTATAGTACAAGGGAACCACTTGATATTGGTTTCGTGACCTTGATCATGATAACCTAGCTCTGAAATAAGATATTGATTTCTGAAAGATTAGGTGGTTTCTTTTCTGAATTGGATTAAAAGTGTTAGTGCTAGATAAATAAAAAGCTTCTATTGCATATATGTTAAATCCTCAATTAAGAATTGTACTTTAATCAATTCCTAATTTTAAGTTGAATTTGGCAATCAGCAAATATATAGCCTTGGCAATTTAACATGTTATACTTGTACAGAATTAACTAATGGCGAAGTGAAAGAGGATGTGTGTTCTTAGGTTATTAGCTCACAGGGTGAAGTATACAGAAGACAACCCCAGAGTCTAAGAGAACATGATAACATTTCATTTCATAAGTAGTTAACTTGTACAACTCTAGTTAAGTGATTACTTCCCAATGTTCATTAGAGTCTTATCAAGCTTGCCATTATGATATATGGGTATCATGACCCAGTATTAAAGCAAGTGGGCGCAGCACCCACCTGAGATTTTGTAAATAGGCTTGTACCCACCTTGAAATCCATTTGCACCCACTTGAAAATGAGAAAAATATTATATTTTGACCAATTTTGGTCTGAATTGTGAAAATGAGAATTTTGCACCTACTTGAGAAAATATCCTGTGGAGATCACTGTGACCGCATTGAAAAAATGAATTTATGAAATGAACCCCCTATATTTTGAAAATTATTCCACCAGTATAAATTTTGATAGATGAGTTACCTTGCTTTATTGTAGTGAATATAGATGTCACTGCTCTAGGTCAGAAATGAAGAAACCTTTTGCGGTATCTGCTCTGTACTTTACTTTGTACTGAATTCATGGTTAATGATATAAATGCACAAATTCTTGTGGTTAATTCAAAATGTATTGCAAAGATAAAGTAATACACCATGCAATGACATAAAAGATAGAAAACACTTCAGAGACCATCCAGCCCTTGCCCCCCCCTGACATCTCTGAATTTAGGCCCTTATACCCTCATCCTGCTTTAGGGAATTATGTCATGTTTGAATCAGTATTTGTTCACCAAATGTGACATTGCTGTTGTTTTCTTGTTGCCAGGTGTCATGGCTAAAGATGAAGTAAAAGTGACTGGTCGTCCTGGTGAAAAGATAACAGTGCCATGTAACACAGAAGACCAGGATGTAGTTCAGCTTGATTGGATCAAGGAAGACAAACTCATTGTACAAGTCATTAATAAAAAAACATCATTTCCAAATCCAGAGGACGAAGACAAGTAAACACTTATTCTAACTTACTTAATGTCGGAAAAATCATTTGGTTCGTTTTTTTAAAATAACATTAACTGAGGGAAAATTACCGTTTGTAAATGCAAGTTGCTAAAATAATGTTGATCGAAAAAATGCCTGATGTAAATTCGTTGACAAGGGTACATCTAGGTGTCACTCCTGTAAATCATTGAAAAATATTGAAAAAATCACAAAATTCAAGTTCTGGAGTACATATCGCCATTTTCGAACAAACTAGCCCATACAATGACTATATTTCTGCGTTCCCCTATACATAACCTTCATCTTGACACTATATTTAACATTTTTTTTATTTTTTTTTAATTTATTTATTTATAAAGAATAGATGTACATGGGGTAATATAGTAAATACAAGAGAGCATATTCAAGTGCTAATCACCATTTTGGCATTATAAGCACTCTAGCCAAGCGGGGAAAAAGATGAAGAGGGGTGGAAGGGGGGGGGGGGTCTGAGCTGGGCTGGGACTGGGGGAAATACAGGGCAGAGGGACAATGTAATTTATATTTGCAAGACAAGGCTTAGGTTCTAAGATAGTCTTCTTCAGTCTTGTTCAATATGGGGTAAGCCATCTCTTAATAAAGGCAGAAGTCAGAGTAAAGATTTTTGTGTTTTCATCCTTGCTAAAATTACGATTGCCAAAGGCTAGGTATTCTAAAAGTGTGGATTGGTTAGTGGGGATCAAAGGAGTTTCAGTATAGAGAGTATTGAAAAAGATGGTTATATATTTAACATAGGGTTTGCGTCTCAATTTTTATATATCACTACGCCAACATAGGGACTCATTTTCAGGTAAAATCCCTGCTTCACCGATGAAAATTAACGAATAAAGTAGTTCCAGTTTACGGGACTATATTCTTGCGATTTTTTTCTTAAAATGACACATTTAGAAAGTACTTGGCCTCAGCTTTACATACATACCTCAAATGGCCACATTGCATACACTTAAACCTACTATACACACCATTGAAGTTGGCATGGCTTCATTTTTAAAGTATTAAAAAACACTGTCCTACCCGGAGTGAAAAACTGAGCTAAACCAAAAATTTTGAAACTTTCTGACCCCTACTGTAATGTATCACATGTACATGTAATTGCATTTCTTTGCTCTTGAATTTCTTTGTACTTGCATTTCAGGTATACAATAGCTATATCCTATGAGCTTATAATTGACCAGGCTGATTTCTCAGACAGTGGACTCTACACATGCAGTTTCAAAACTGATATCAATGGCACATCAGTGAATGACACAAAGGAGGTGAAAGTATGGGGTAAGTATGAACCATCAACTCAGAATAGCCTTAAGATCTGTCAGTAGATGAGGAAGATTTCAGCGGGTTAATTGTATATTTTAACATGTAAAAATTGGGGAGGGGTCAATATCCTAAAATCGTTTCAAAAATCTCTGAAGATGAATTTCAATCAAAATACTCAAAACTTTATGATATTAAAAGTATAAACATGTGAGTAAATAATAATGAAGAGAAAATGCAATATTAAATTGGTTTGTGTAGTGCATTTGAAGTTATTATAACAATATATACACACTAACCAATGGGGCTGTTGTAAAGACCAACCCACTAGAGAAAATCAGGAAACTGCAATCTATTTGAGCTTTGGTTTATCAATATGGAATATTATGTTTTCTTACTGTTATTGAAAGAAATCTCTAAATGACAAACTTTTTGTTGTTTATGTAGATTTGCCGAACCCTCCAGTAGAGAAGCCCATGCTAGAAGCCATCAGCTCTGAGGCCATGAATATAACATGGCAGCCAGGAAACTTCACATATAAGAGTGATAGGCTGTTTTATATCGTAGAACTATTGAGGTACGTTTGTGTATATACATTATTACAAAAATGTTGAAAAATTTAAGAAAATTTCATTTTTATTCCGTTTCAAAATATTTTGATTTTAAACTATGTAATCTATCATAATGTGCAAAAATTCACATAAATTGATTATCAGTTATTAAAATCATGAAATTCATATCTGCGGGACTACCTTAAAATACCCACAATCCCTGTATCTATACCATTTGAAATGGATAAAATGACTCCAAAAATATCTCACAATTACAGTACAGCGATGGGTGATCTCAAGTCTGAGAAGGTTACTCAGCCTGGCACTACATACAGGGTGATCAATGATCTGCGCCCATACACTCAGTACCAGGCACGTGTAAAGGCTGTCAATGAGGTCGGAGAGGGAGGATTTAGTGAATACTCAGATATTGTCTACACACATGAGTCAGGTAAATACATGATAACGTCCATGTGCTTTGAACACCTCAAGTGTGACTACTTGTGCATGCTTTATGCCTCAGTCACATATGATCTACAGCAACCATATGGTAGCCATAGCTTCCCAAAATCAAGAGCAATGTGCAGCACGAATAATTAGGCATAAGGAGTACTATGTATATTTCTACTTTACCTAACCCCTAGAAATGCAAAAGATACTCTGTTTTTCCAATTGTATTGTTTAGCATATTTTTGAAAGTACCTTATTAACATCTAACATCATCCGATAAACCATTAATAAGGAACAAACAAATAAAAACAAATAACATAATCATTACTAATAAGCCAAAAGGGTTGCTCATGAACACCCAATCCAAGGTATAGTAGAGTGATTTCTATTTTGATTTTTAAGCATTGGCTGTCTTATGCCTGCCATAGAGCAAATGTGACTGAAGTTTAAGTCATACTAGTTTAAGATACATGTTTGAGGTATTTACACTTCAACTTAGCATTTTCTGGCCAATTAAAGCATAAGATAGCCAATGCTGTCCTTCAAGATAGCACGGCAAATAAAGAAAAACTTGCTTGAAAAGCTGTATGCATATGGATATTAGCATTAATGATCATCCAAAAACTTAAAGGAACATTCCTGGCCAGACCATTTCTCTCCTAATATGGTAGCTATAACCATATATACTTTCCATATTTAGCAAAACAGGGAAAAATGTTTTAATATAGTCAATATTGATCACTTGAAAAAGTGCTGAATTCCAGTAGGCTGCCATCTTTTAGTATTTCACTCAGGAAGTGATGTCATCGACTCCCAACTTTGCATATAACATTATAAGGAGCTATTAAGAATTACAAAAACCAGCTGTGTAGTCTTTTTCAATTTTGTCTATGATTTAATCCTTCTATAAGTCTCTTTTATTATTCTAAGCTGACAAACTCTGAAAATATTTTTGCACATAAAGTAAGAACCACTTATCTAGAAGTGATTTTGTGCTACTTCCCTATACTGTTATATGCAAGGTCAAGGAAGTTGAGAGTCGATGACATCACTTCCTGAGTAAAATCTTAAAAGATGGCAGCTTACTGGAAATGAGCACTACATTTTTATATTATCAATCTTGACTATATTAAACATTTCCTGGTGTTTTGCTAAATATGGAAAGTATATATATGATTATAGCTATCACATCAGGATAGAAAAGGTTTGGCCAGGAATGTTCCTTTAAGCTGGTAATACATGCCCCATGTTAGGATTTTAGCCTTTATTTACCCTTGAAGAATTTCTGGTTGAAGATCAATTTATATTTGATAAGGTTCAAAATATTTTACAATATGTGAAAAGAAGTTAAAAATACTGTGGACTCAATGAACTTTGGATGAATAATGCACAGATTTCTCTGTGCTAGCCTTATTTCTCGCTTTACTTGCCTTGTTAACCAACAGTTCATTGAATCCGTGGCTTAAATCCTTAATGCAAAACATGCCATGTTTTTTTGCAGTCCCTCACTCTCCACCAACTATTACATCTGCCCGCACCATAAGTGACTCGGAGATCCGTGTAGAATTCCAACCTCCCCCCGCATATGGCCTGAATGGAGTCCTTACAGGGTTCGTTCTCATGTACCAGATCTCAGGAGCTGCAGATGCTCTACATTCCTGGGAAGTCAAAAACAGCACTATGAGGGTAAAGCCAGAATTGTTAACCAGTCAATATACATATATTTTACTGTTTCCTGTACAAAATACTGTTATTGTGTGACATTATTAGCGATGGATGAATAGGAATTAGCCCATTGCCATACTAATTTTGATTTGTGTGATCACGATTTGTTCAATAAGGGGTATGACTAAATTCTAGTATATGTTTCTTTCAACATTTCAGAGCTATCACTTTACAAAGCTGAAACCATATACCACCTACACCGTTGGTGTGAGAGTCACAAACTCAGTGGGGGAAGGACCTGCAGACTCCAAGACTGTCAAGACAAGTGAAGGAGGTCAGTTCATATTTATTTATTTTATTTTTATGGAGGCTTTTGTATTTATTTCCCTAAATTTAAACCCAGGATCCAAGGTTGGCCATCCTATACAGTAAAAGAATGATTTATCACTTGAAAATTTTGTTCTCTTGTTTCCAGTGCCAGAACCCCCATTTATATACCAGCTGACAGATCAGACTCATGATGCTATAAAGGTAGTCTGGTCCAGGCCTAAGAAAGTCAATGGTTTGCTAAAGGGCTACATTGTGTCTTGGACATGGGAAATAAATGGAACCAGTGAAAAGGCTCATAAAAATATCACTGAAGATCTTGACAATGATATGATGTATTCTGCCATTACCAAACTAAGTAAGTAGCATTTATCTTATTTCAAATAAAACAGATACATTGTATTACTTTATGAAATATGGGTAGCATATTCATAAAATATATTTGTAAAACATATTCTGAGTTTCTTCTCAAATCAAAGTGTTTTGAGTAGTTTGCAAAAGTTCTATTTTCTTTCTGATTCGTGCCATGGAAGATCATAAATGGTTGCGTGAATGTGGAAATTTACATTACATGATTTTGAAATCTCCTTAGAAGTATGGATTCATTGCATGTTTAGTAAAATCTAAGATGAATCTTCTTTTTATTTGGTGCCTTATATTATTAGCTCACATGGTGAGCTTTTGCAATCACTCACTTGTTAGCTCACATGGTGAGCTTTTGCAATCACTCCACTTAGTCTAAAGTGACAGGTTTGAACTGTTCACACCCACACTTCGCAAAAAAACTTTATTTTTTGATATTTCGTTGGCAGCTCACAAATGCAATATTAACTTTATATTTTCCCTAATTCTATATCGAAATATTTCATAGGACAATTTCTAGGAGAATAGCTTGCACGTTGTTTTAATATTAACATGTGAATTACATTTTCAGTCCCGTACAAACGATACCAATTCCAAGTTGTTGCGTTTAATGGCAAAAATGAGAGCTCACCTAGTCAGCCTCAAACTGGAATGACGGATGTGAAGGGACCGAGTGCTCCATGGGGAGTGAACTGTTCAGGAAATACTACTACAAGCATCCTTGTCTCCTGGAACAAACCAAAGATCATATATAGGAGGATAGACCAGTATGTATTATTTTTGAGAAAAATAAATATTACATTGACCATTTAGGGGGTTATACAGGGTGTTCAAAAAGTACCAGCACTAATGCTGATATTTCAGTACATATTTCGTTTAAATTCAATCTTAACATTTTCCACAATAATTCATTCTTATACATGTAAAATTACTTTTTTGTTATAAAATTTTTCTCTAAACCACTTTACATGGGGTTCATCAGCAAATATTCTATTACCCATCAATGTTATTTGGCAGCCATTGGTAACTCATAATTATATAGATGTATATTTCTCATTAAATAAGACTGAATGATGATGTTTTTTAGATACCGCATCAAGTTCAGGAAAACTGATGAAAAGTTTTGGACGCTTCAGGAAATGCCAGAGAACCAAATCCCTAAATATTTTTCTGTTATTGAAGTAAGTTTACTTGTTGATACATCCTGTCTGCCAAGTCGGGAAGTCATGTCTGCCAAATGGGGTACATTTACATTCTGAGTGCGAGTGTCCCTGTTAGGGTCATGCACATCAGTCAAATGGGGTATACATGTATATACTGTATATGTCAAGTAAGGAGACAGAATGTGCATCATGTTTTGATGACTTTTGTGTCGGCTTATTATAAGGGCTCATGCCCCAAAGGTTAGGGAACATTTGACAAGAATGTGATATGATATTTATCCCATTGGAATATGATATTACACTAAGATATTATCCTGATCAATGAGTCAATTTGATTTTGATATTTTCCGTTTTAGTATGTGATCACTGACCTGGAGACTAACGCCATCTATGAGGTCCAGGTTGCTGGGGCAACAGCAAGTCTTTACTCGCAGTCACCTACTCTAGTCTACTATTCTGGGGACTACTCAGTTCCAGTCACTTATGAGTTGAAAGGTAAGAGATTCTAGCTAGGACTTGCATACTGCCAGTATAAGCCCTGTTGCATCAGCCAACATCCTATAACATATACAATTTTCAAAAATGGTAGGCATTGCCGTTCAATGGGATTTGCTACACCTTGGCGCTGCTGTTATCTAGTTGTTCCTGTGAGCAGTCATGGTTCATTGATAATCTGTGAGTTTATTAACCTAAGATTATTCAAGGATGACTCAAGAATGTTTTGTTACTCCTAGGTGAAGTTGAGGAGGAAGTGAAAGAGGACAACATATTCCATGCAGGAGTTATAGCAGGCGTGGCTCTTGGTGTACTTCTCTTGATTGTCGTAATTAGTGTTGTAACTGTCTTACGGTAAGGAGTTTAAATCTGTGTGATTACAGAAAATAATATTGTGTGATTTAAAGTGAATAATCTTGTATAATTTACAAAGGAGAGAGAAGTGATTTTTTGGGATAACACATATCATGTGTACCTTAAATTATATGTATTACAATGACTTGGCATATAACATAGGACTAAGAATAGTCAGAAGTTTTCCATATTTTTGGCTGATTAAAAAAATTGATGTACAATTTACTCCCCCTTGTTGTGATATTAACTCATTCATGTTGACACTTCAATGTTAAAACTTAATGTTGACACTGTAATGTTGACACCTCAATGTTGAAACTCCAATTTTTACACTTCAATGTTGACACATGAGTTGATTTCTAGCTATAGAAAGAAATCTGCAGATTACCCAGATGCAGCTGAAATGGAGGCTAAGCAAGCCTTACTTGGACTCCAAACTATTAACCTTCCACCATATGGTAAGCTATCATCTCATGCATTGCCTCGTGTCTGCCTCATTTCTGCCTCATCACCAGCTTGTGTATTTTTAGCTTATATAGGAGGTACTACAAAGCTAACAAGTACTTGGTGCCTGCTGATCATACTGCTAGTGAAGTTCTTTTGCAGCCGAGTCTTTACCTTGATGCTTATGGTAAGTTGTACCGTATTATTACACATCCCACCTCTCAATTAATTGCCTTAGATTCCTTTGCAATCTAACATATGGTATCCTAACACCCCTCTGGTTTTTACTGATGACATTAACTTGGACGCGTCCAACTAAGTATAAAACTAGTAAGTACACGTGCTGAGGTCCTCAATTTCCCCATACAAGTGCAATCTACGTACTACTGTATAGAAATTTTGTCAACCTACAGAAGTTAGGAATATGGACAGCAACAACAACAACCCCATCCTAAAGGATGTTAACCTCAACAACACAGCATTGTATTATGGTGAACTGGAAGAGGGTCAAATTATAGACTCTGCTTCAGGCTTTCTTCAGAACTCCACGACTGACTTTGGAAATTCTGCATATAACATGCCATCACACACCAACACCAGCGGTTCACTCGACAAACATGCTAAAGAAGTCTTGCTTCAGTCAGACTTCAATCCAGATCTTCATGATCCCAGGCTCGCTAAAGCCAGTGATTCTAGGCTCTTTCCTCGAGGGAATGAGGTGCAGGACACTTTTAGCAACAAACATCAGAACCCCATGTCTCACATGAGACCAGGTGGAGACTGTTTACAGTCCGATAAATTGAACTCTATAGGATTCAATTCTACAAACATTCAGGCTTCTAAAAAGCTACTGAAAAAACAACGCGATTTACAACGCTCCAAAGAACCCCTAAATGAACCCCAAGTTTATCAACAAACGGGGTCTGGATTAGTGCAAGACATCATCAAGGGGTTAACTCCAACATTGGAAATGATCGCCTCTAATAAACAACTGGATATTGAGCTCTTAGGTCAACCTGAAAACAGGAACAGATCTTCTCAAAGACGCTCACAACAAAGGAGAAAACGTCATAATTCCCCGGTTTCTTCACAAGACGATAGCTCGCCCGCACGGACACTTAGCATTAAACGGCATCGTTCTGATCACCCCTCCACTAGTGAAATGGAATCTCCCGACAGAGACACAACGCGCATGCGCAGTGTTAATAACCCGGAAATGGATTCCGATTCTTCAGCATCAGAAAATGATTATGACTCGAATTCGTGGAAAAACTGCATTAAATTGATAAAAAATGCATTCCCGGAACACTTTACAACGAGCCCCGATACCAACACGAACAAACAAACAGCAAATATTCCATTAGGATTACAATCTTTGGGCAGGAAGGCATCGTCTTCTGAGAATTCGAATGGATTACCGATCGGACCTTCTGTTCAACAAAATTTCACAGCGATGAACCAAGAAATATACAACAAGAGGAACACCAACGACGGTAATTTCCTTCTCAGGCCTAAGCGGTCTTTCACTTCTTTGAAAGATGATGAACATTTTTATAAAAAATGCATCTTAAACAACACAATCAAAGAATTGGTTCCACCTACAATGAAACTCTCTGAATTGAGTAATTCAACAAATTATAAGCTGCCAGCAAAACATCACAAGCTGTTAGAGGAATCAGCTAAAGCCCCCCTCAGATATTTATCACACACAGAATGGCTGCTAGGGGCAACAGGTAAAATTGTAGCAGAAAAATTCCCTGACAATGAGGATTTGATTAATTTGTTGTCTACAGCTTCTACAATGGTCAACAAAGCAACCAGAGATACTGTTTCAAACATTACCAATGTGATTCTAACACAGAGGGATCGTATCAGTTCCAAATTCAGAAGATCTGATGCGGAATCACTAAGGAATCTCCCAATTGATACGACCTACTTATACCCAGAGCCTCAATTAAAAACAATTTGTGAAGGCTCTGATAGATCCAAAACTTCTAAAGCTCTACAGGATCTGGCTTCAAACTGGAAAAAGCCCAAAAACGACAACAACAACTATTCAGCTAAAAACAGCTATAACAGAAATAATAACAGAGGCAATTATCACAACAACAACAACAGAGGAAATTACAACAATAACAGAGGAAACCACAACAATAGAGGCAATTACAACAATGACAGAGCCTCTACATCAACTAAAGACAATAACAACAAACAAAAGAAGCGAAAATGACACTCACAGTTTAACTGTAACCCAGCCCTGCCTCCCCCTATTCTCACCTACAGCCCAGCTGGGACCAGTGGGAGGCAGAATTCAACAACACAAACACAACTGGGAACTCATTACCAAGGATCAATGGATCCTAAACATAGTAAAACATGGATATGCTCCAGAATTAACAGCAACACCACCAATGACAAACCTATTCAACAGGTTCGAATCGGCGTCAAAAAGAAAATCCCAACTTTTTCAAGAAATAGTAGAAAAATTACTTCAAAAACAAGCAGTGGAACTAGTAAAAAACAACACTATAGGACACTACAGCATAATCTTCTTAAGACAGAAACCAAACGGAGACTACAGACCTATAATAGACCTGTCTCTCCTCAACAAGTATCTAACTTGTCCAAAATTCAAGATGGAAACAACTGCAAAAATTTCCAGTGCTCTTCAAATAGGCGAGTGGGCTACCTCCATAGACTGTCGGGACGCCTATTTCCATGTACCAATAGCCAAAAACTTCAGGAAATACCTCAGATTTGTGATAAACAATCAAGTGTATCAGTTCAAAACACTCCCATTCGGGATGTCAACCAGCCCTTACGTCTTTACAAGGATAACGTTGGCAATTGGGGCATTCCTACATTTCCAAGGAATAACAATACACATGTACCTCGACGATTGGCTCATACGAGCCTCATCTGCCCAACAGTGCCTCATATGGACTCAAACAGTAATAACTGTGATGGAAAAATTGGGACTGATAATCAACTTCGAAAAATCAGAACTTACCCCAACTCAAAACTTCAAATACATAGGCTCACAATACAACCTAGCCTTGGGACTTGTATATCCACCTCAAGACAGGATCCAAAAGATCCTAGAAATCTCTCATCTATTCATCAACTCTCTACACCAACCAGCGAGACATTGGATGAAACTACTAGGCCTGCTGGCCTCTGCGGAGAAAAACATACCCTGGGGAAGGCTACACATGAGACCGATACAACAATGTCTAGCCAATCAAATGTCCCATTTACAATCCCTAGAGACTCCTATTTACATAAATCAGGAGGTAATACACACCTTGAAATGGTGGATGGACAAAAACAATCTTTCACAGGGCCAACCATTAGGGATGTTTACCCCAGATCACACAATTTTCACAGATGCATCAGAGACAATGTGGGGTGCACACATGGACACAGTGGAGATAAATGGATTCTGGTCCCCTACAGAGAGGAACAATCACATAAATTGGCTGGAACTAGCAACAGTACTGAAAGCTCTACACAAACTAAATCACCTTCTAGTACCCCAAGCAAAAATTCTCTTTTGCCTGGACAACACCACAGCATTGAGTTACATAAACAAACAAGGCGGGACAAAATCGAAACAGCTTCTGACCCTGAGCCAAGAAATCCTAAATTGGTGCAAGGATCATCAAATCAACATAAAAGCAAAACACATAGCAGGATCCCTAAACCGACGAGCAGATGCTCTATCTCGGAACAGAATAGTCAACACAGAATGGTCTCTACTCCCACGAATTGTGCAATCACTGTGGCAGATATGGGAAACTCCCCACATAGATATGATGGCAACATGTCACAACAACAAATTACCACTGTACGTATCCCCAGTCCCAGACCAAAACAGCTGGGGAACAGATGCAATGTCAATGTCATGGAACAATCTGAATTTCTACATATTTCCACCAACAAGCATGATGGACAAAGTCTTGACAAAAATGAAAACACACACCTGCGAAGCCATAATGATAGTTCCAAAATGGCCAAATCAACCTTGGTTCGCTCAGTTACTGGATCTACTAGTAGACCATCCAAGAACTCTACCAACATCTCCAAAGCTTCTAAAGATGCCAAACACAAGCATGTTTCATCAAACTCCAGAAATATTTGCTCTTCACGCCTGCAAATTGTCAACGACTCCCTCAAAAAACAAGGATTTTCTTCAGAAGTGTCTTCTAGAATATCAGAATCATCTAGAAGGAAATCAACAAATAAACTCTATGATTCCAGGTGGAACACCTTCACTCTTTGGTGTGAAGAACGGGATACAAATCCATGCCAAACAGATATACCTCTAGTGGCAGAATTCCTTCTCTACCTACACAAGACAAAGAAATTCTCTATTCCAACTATAGAAGGCTATAGGACAGCTATCAACACAGTACTAAAGAAGTCTTCAGATATAGACCTCACTGACAATTCACTAATAGGAGATCTTATTAGATCCTTCAAACTAGAAAATGTAATACCTAAAAACATTATTCCCAAATGGAATTTAGTGTTCGTTCTAAATGCACTAACAAGAGCACCATTTGAACCCATGGCCACAGCTGAATTAAAGTTCACAACATGGAAAACTCTATTCCTGCTACTCATGGCTTCGGGCAAGAGAAGAAGTGATATTCATGCACTGGACTTCAGACGTCTAAAATGGTCAGAAAACAGGGATCAAGTGACTATGTATCCCTTTATAGGTTTTTTGCCTAAATCACTATCAGCTGCGGAAGGAGAATCTCGTTTTCAACCAATCTCCATAAAAGCTCTTTCCTCTTTCGTGGATAAAGATTCACCTGACAGGAAACTTTGCCCTCTGAGAGCCTTACGCTTTTACCTACAAGCCACAGTCGCTAGAAGAGGAAACAGGAATAGACTTTTTATTCCATTTAAGCCTGGATACGATGGAGATATACACATTAACACTATCTCATCTTGGGTGAAAAATCTGATCTTGTATACATACAAAAATTCACAAGAATCAGATTACAGGATCGACTCCATTAAACCCCACGAAACCAGGGCCCTTTCTGCAAGTCTAGCTGTTCAAGCAAACTTATCAGTGGCCGCAGTTCTCAAAGCATGCTCATGGGCAAATCACAACACATTTACCAGCTTCTACCTCAGAGATACATCAGTGATTGAGGGAGAACTGCGGAAACTGGGTCCTATGATGATTGCAGGCACCCTGTACGACATATAACTTCAACATTACAGTAGGGTGAGTTCAAAACCTGTTTTCATCAAACATTCTTATTTATTTATTAGAATTAAATTCAGAATGTTTCTACTCATGGTTTGTGGGGCCCTCTGGTTATTACTGAATTCACCCACCACCTTTTGGCTACATTCAGGCAATTAATTGAGAGGTGGGATGTGTAATAATACTGGGAAAATCCTTTTTAAATTGATTTTCCTGTTTATAAACATACCCACCTCTCAATTACCAAAGTCCCACCCAACCTCCCCGCTATTCACTAGGGGGAATAGGGAAATTGAGGACCTCAGCACGTGTACTTACTAGTTTTATACTTAGTTGGACGCGTCCAAGTTAATGTCATCAGTAAAAACCAGAGGGGTGTTAGGATACCATATGTTAGATTGCAAAGGAATCTAAGGCAATTAATTGAGAGGTGGGTATGTTTATAAACAGGAAAATCAATTTAAAAAGGATTTTCCCAATTTGCACTAATACCTCATTACAAGCTACTGTAACTTTAAGCTTCAATCCTAATGATAACAATTACTACATTCATAATTACATACAGCCTCAACATTTAGTATAATGGCCTTATTAACCAGTTTATGACTCGCATTGTGATTCTGCTTATGGTAGTTAAGCCTACCTGCACACAACCAGTCACATGATCAGTCACATGACATGTTGAAGTATTTGAGAAATTGTTACACCATGCTGACATCAATATAATGCTATACTGTATATTTTTTTTACTGTGATAACATCGATATACAATATTTGTAATACATTCATGGGCGTAGCGCTATTTTTCTAAGTAGTACGCCGCCACCACAGGAACAAGAGCTGAGTGAATTAAAAAACAATCATTCTGGGAAAATTTTGAAATTTGGTTGTATTTGGAGTGAATTTGCAACCATCTGGTACGCCTGTGAGTACCCAGCGTACCGGGCTCTACGCCCATGACATTTCAGGTATTCTTGTACAGCCAGTATTAAATTCACTGAAAACTATTATATTTTTGAGACATTGAAGCTAGTTTCAGTTATTTTAAATAAACTTGGGATACCTTTGTTATATTTCCTACACCCAGGTCCCAGGGACTATCCTTATTATTGAAGTTTCATATTTTGTGTTTTTTATTGCTCGTCAGTTTGTTCACATGATGAATATTTTAGTTTTACAATCATTTTTTGTTTGCTTATGTTGTAAACAGGAAAAAGACTCACCAACCGTGGTAAGCTTGTTTATAACACCATGTATTTTTTATTTGTATCTTCATGTGTAAATGTACCCAACATGCATTTGTGATATACATGTATCTAACATATGTTGGTATACATTGTGATATACATGTATCCTACTTAAGGTACATGTACAGGGTGGGCCAAAAAAACACCACTTTTTTTTTCAAGACACGACAACTTTTTTATTTTCCAACCTACATACCCCAAATTTTGCAGTTATATAGTGCCGGGGGTTCTTAGTAATAATATAATATAACAAATCCTTCAACTAAGATTATATTGGATCTAAAAGGGAAGTTCAATTGGTCCGCCACCCTAATTGATGATATATTTTAGGTTTTAGTCGCCTTGCTGATATAGCAGTATCAATGAAATGTTAGCTAAGTTTTTTTCAACCTGTCTTAATTGTCAGCTTTAGTTGAGCAATTTTCTAGATTGGGTGCCTTCATACAATCTCCTGGAGACCTTCCCATACCCTATACTCACTGGGGTTTGCATCAGGGCTATTAACTTGGCGATCATCAGGCCGTATCAGTTCAGGAACATTTCGCAAATTATGCTCATTTTCACGGCACACCACATGTTTAAGTGAGACGCTGGTGACATATTTTACTCAATTAAGAGTGTATAATTGATGGTTCCTGGCTAGATAACAACCTCAAGTTTCATTTGGTATGCAAATTATGATTTTGTATCAAAAATTAAAAAAGTTATAGCATTTTGAAAAAAAAGTGGCATTTTTTTGGCCCACCCTGTATATCACTAACAAATGTTAGGTACATTGTACATATCATTATGTTAGTGATATATGTTTTGATATACCGTAAATGTATGTTTGTGGTGTTTACCCTACATATGTTTGATGATATATGTACATATGCCCTACATATGCTTATAATATACATCTACATGACACATGTTTGTGATTTACATGTTCCCTACATATGTTTTTGATATCTATGTACCCAACATATATTAGTGATATAAATATATCTTACATATGTTAGTGATATTCATGATGTAATATATCCTACATACATATGATATGTTTGTGATATATACATTATGTTCATATATCCTACTTATGTTTGGGTAACCTACAATTATATCAACTGTTAAATATTTTTTGCTTGTGTTTACATATTGTTTTAGTAACCTTTTTGAATGAACATACTTTTTGTGTACAATTTCATCATAATAGGTTTTGTTGAAATGTTTTACAGATGATTTAACTTGGTTGTTTGCTTACATTCAATATTTATATATTTGATTGCCTGGTGTATCCTGGTGTTTCTAATCCTGGTGTGATCCTGTAATCCATTTTATATAATATTAGTTTTTCAATGTACAAAACACTGTACATATCCTTGAATTGTATGACATGTATCTAAGATCAAAAGAAACTAATGCCATAGTTACATTTGATCTAAGGCAACCATCCGATGGCCCTAGCTTCCCAAAATCGAGAGAAATATTCAACATAAAAGATAAGCCGTACGATGTCGATTTTCTATATCAATTTTGTGAAGCTACAGCTGAGGCTTAAATATTGACATGTCAAAATGTGTTATACGAGTACATATGTTTGATCTCTCTCAGTTGGAAGAAAAGAGATGTACATTGGCCCAACATTTCTTTCAACATATATTAGGTCCTTATTTCTTATGTCCTCCATGGCATGATTACAATATATAATATTGTTTACTTTGTGGCATGTTCTATGACAGTTGTCATTACGAATGCATGCATGGGTATTCCACTTGTCTGGTGTATTATTATTGTTGTACAGTTGTCAGGATGATATAATCGAAGCAAAGTCACTAATTAATCTTGAACTATCACTTTAATACTTAGAGAATGAGTATTAAATTGTTCAATTAAGCTCATTGTCTCAGTTCATATGTGCTCTATTTAATAGTATGGGATTCTATTTGCCAAGGATACATTCAAGATATCTGCTAGTATGTGAGCTCACAAAGTGACTTATTTTTACACTTACCATCAAACCACTTAGAATATAAGGTGACCCAGAATATTTGACACAAGACAATATTGTCACTGTCTAGTGGTTCTGTACAACAGCTCTGTACTTTTAGTCTATTGACTCTAAACAGCTGTACATTTGGTGGCCCATATTTAACATTGGTGGCCTTTGTTTAACATTCGTGGCAACATCTTTAGCATTTGTAATACTTGTGCTTCAGATGACTCGGATGGAAGTGTTTCAGTTGAGAACTTTGCTAAACATGTGCAGACTTCACATGCTGATGGGGATGCTGGATTTGCACAGGAATATGAGGTGAGCAAATCATTTTGTTGAGAGAGTTGTAACAAACAGAGTTTCTTCATGCAGCATGGCTATTGTATAGGTGCGCAGAAGCATGGCCTAAAATTAAAGCAAATCCTAAACCATACTGTACTACAGAGTCATGGTTTAATATGAACACTGCAGGAGATTCATACTGGTGAGATGTTGATTATTAATTTGATATGAACATTTCTTAAGATGCATACTGGCGAGATGTGTGTGATTGATTTGATATGAGCATTTCTTTAGATTCATAGTGGAGAGATGCGTGTGTTTGATTTGATGTGAACATTTCTTGAGATTCATACTGGAGAGATGCATGTGATTGATTTGATGTGAACATTTCTTGAGATTCATACTGGAGAGATGATTTGATTGATTTGATATGAACCTTTTTTAGATTCATACTGGAAAGTTGTGTGATTGATTTGATATGAACATTTCTTGATCTTCATACTGGAAAGATGTGTATGATTGATTTGATATGAACCTTTCTTTAGATTCATACTGGACAGGTGAGTGTGATAGATTTGATGTGAACATTTCTTTGGATTCACACTGGAGAGATGTGTGTAATTGATTTGATATTGAACATTTCCTGAGATTCATACTGGAGAGACATGTGTGACTGATTCAATATGAACATTTCATGAAATTTGTATTGTAGCGGCAGCAGTTGATTTGAAATGAATGTTACATTAGATCAACAACGGTGAAACAAAGTAGTTCATTTGACATTGACATGGGTGTTTCATAAAATCCATACTGGTGAGACATATTAGACTATCTTCTCTTACATATTACAGGAGATCCATGCTGGAGTGAAGCATGACTACACTACAGCCCACTCTAATGACCCTGATAACAAGAGCAAGAACAGATACATTAACATATTATCATGTGAGTATAGTGGCAGAAACTACCTTCAATATGAATATATGTATTTAGTTGGTTCGTGGCCTAAAGAGACATGTACGAGTAATATTGTGTACTGTATACACTGTACTCCTAAATGTGCTGTAATTATTACATATACCCACGTTGTGTTCTAGATGATCATAGCAGAGTGGAACTAAAGCCAGTGCTGGGCAGACAGAAACATAGTGACTACATCAACGCTAACTATGTAGATGTAAGTAAAACATAGTGACTACATCAACGCTAACTATGTAGATGTAAGTAAAACATAATGACTACATCAACGCTAACTATGTAGATGTAAGTCAAAACATAATGACTACATCAATGCTAACTATGTAGATGTAAGTAAAACATAATGACTACATCAATGCTAACTATGTAGATATAAGTAAAACATAATGACTACATCAACGCTAACTATGTAGATGTAAGTAAAACATAATGACTACATCAATGCTAAATATGTGGATATAAAACATAATGACTACATCAACGCTAAGTATGTGGATATAAAACATAATGACTACATCAACGCTAACTATGTAGATGTAAGTAAAACATAATGACTACATCAATGCTAACTATGTAGATGTAAGTAAAACATAATGACTACATCAATGCTAACTATGTAGATGTAAGTAAAACATAATGACTACACCAATGCTAACTATGTAGATGTAAGTCAAAACATAATGACTATATCAACGCTAACTATGTAGATGTAAGTAAAACATAGTGACTACATCAACACAAACTATGTAGATGTAAGTAAAACATAATGACTACATCAACGCTAACTATGTAGATGTAAGTAAAACATAATGACTACATCAATGCTAACTATGTAGATGTAAGTAAAACATAATGACTACATCAACGCTAACTATGTAGATGTAAGTACAACATAATGACTACATCAACGCTAACTATGTAGATGTAAGTCAAAACATAATGACTACATCAATGCTAACTATGTAGATGTAAGTAAAACATAATGACTACATCAATGCTAACTATGTAGATATAAGTAAAACATAATGACTACATCAACGCTAACTATGTAGATGTAAGTAAAACATAATGACTACATCAATGCTAACTATGTAGATGTAAGTAAAACATAATGACTACATCAATGGTAACTATGTAGATGTAAGTCAAAACATAATGACTATATCAATGCTAACTATGTAGATGTAAGTAAAACATAGTGACTACATCAACGCTAACTATGTAGATGTAAGTAAAACATAATGACTACATCAACGCTAACTATGTAGATGTAAGTAAAACATAATGACTACATCAATGCTAACTATGTAGATGTAAGTTAAACATAATGACTACATCAACGCTAACTATGTAGATGTAAGTAAAACATAATGACTACATCAACGCTAACTATGTAGATGTAAGTCAAAACATAATGACTATATCAATGCTAACTATGTAGATGTAAGTAAAACATAATGACTACATCAATGCTAACTATGTAGATGTAAGTAAAACATAATGACTACATCAACGCTAACTATGTAGATGTAAGTAAAACATAATGACTTCATCAATGCTAAATATGTGGATATAAAACATAATGACTACATCAACCCTAAATATGTGGATGTAAGTAAAACATAATGACTACATCAATGCTAAATATGTGGATATAAAACAAAATGACTACATCAACGCTAACTATGTAGATGTAAGTAAAACATAATGACTACATCAATGCTAAATATGTGGATATAAAACATAATGACTACATCAACGCTAAATATGTGGATGTAAGTAAAACATAATGACTACATCAATGCTAAATATGTGGATATAAAACATAATGACTACATCAACGCTAACTATGTAGATGTAAGTAAAACATAATGACTACATCAATGCTAAATATGTGGATATAAAACAATGACTACATCAATGCTAAATATGTGGATGTAAGTAAACCATAATGACTACATCAATGCTAAATATGTAGATGTAAGTAAAACATTGTGACTACATCAACGCTTAATATGTGAATGTAAGTAAAACATAATGACTACATTAGAGTGAGAAAAATAAGCTATTTCTGTGCATAGCAAATGTATCCCCTCACTTTGTAACCCTATGGGCATATACATTCAGACTGGTCAAATTGTTGTAGTCACAGCATTGCTGACACAAATATCTCTTTGGCTAATTTGTTCGCAATGTTTTTTGATATAGTGGACAGTTTGAATTCATACCACGCATTTTGCTCAATGTCAGTGACTTAAGATAAGAAACAACGAATAATAAAGCAGTATGATATCAGTATTTTATTAGTACATTCATTGTCTATTTTGATTCTTTCAGGGTTTTCACAAACCACGTGCCTACATTGCCACACAGGGTCCTCTCCCTCATACATTTGCAGACTTCTGGCGCATGGTTTGGGAGCAGAACTCATATGTTATCATTATGATAACTAATCTCATGGAACGGGGAAGGGTAAGTCATAATATATTTTTGGTGACATGTGACAAGTGTTGACATTGTTATAGTCTCCAACTTTTTTGTGGACAGTGTTCGGCGGACAGTGTTGAGCATTCTGGGTAATTTAAATGTCAGCCATTTTGAATATCAAGTGTCTTGTTTTCTTCATAATCATGAAGTGATCTTATAACTCACTAAGGACACAACTATAATATTGAATGTACACCATTTGCTTGATTCCTTCAGGCATTCAGCCTTGGATTGTTGGATTATTCATAAAAGTACTGTATGTAATATTTTCTCTGTCTCCAGCGCAAGTGCGACCAGTACTGGCCCGATGACGCCGCAGAGACATATGGGTTCCTCCAGGTGAAACTTCTTAACACATACGTGTTAGCGCATTCTACTATGAGACAATTCACACTGAGGAACACTAAAATAAGAAAGGTAAAAATTGTTGAACTTGTTGCTTTATATGAACTAACATGTGATAATGTTAACATGAGCTCTACTTGTTGCGAACAACACCCACATGTTAAATTATCATAGATGTCTGCTTCTATCATGGCTAATTTGTTCAAGTCCTTTTATTAATAAGTGTCATCAATGTGTTTCTCAAGTTCTCAGTGAGGACCTGTATTGCCATCTTCCAATGGAAATCTGCTCCAAATCCCCTTTAACAACTCTAGTGCATTGCCTTTGTTTTGATATCCAAAACTGCAAAGAACAATGTTAAAAGAGAGTGTATTTGATATTTGCAGAAGGGTCCCTCTTCAGAGAGGCTGGTCTACCAGTTCCACTATACAGACTGGCCTGACCATGGAGTTCCAGACTTCACATTACCAGTGTTGGACTTTGTTAAGAAATCCCAGGCTGCAAACCCAGACAATGCTGGGCCTGTTGTCATACATTGCAGGTAATGCTTTAATACATTGTACTTGCGGGTAATATTGTTTTATCATTATACATTGCAGGTTATGTTGTCATACATTGCAGGTAATATTGTCATACATTGCAGGTAATGTTGTTACACATTGCAGGTAATATTGTCATACATTGCAGATAATGTTGTCATACATTGCAGGTTATGTTGTTACACATTGCAGGTAATATTGTCATACATTGCAGGTAATGTTGTTACACATTGCAGGTAATATTGTCATACATTGCAGATAATGTTGTCATACATTGCAGGTTATGTTGTTACACATTGCAGGTAATATTGTCATACATTGCAGATAATGTTGTCATACATCGAGGTAATGTTGTTACACATTGCAGGTAATATTGTCATACATTGCAGGTAATGTTGTTACACATTGCAGATAATATTGTCATACATTGCAGATAATGTTGTCATACATTTCAGGTAATTTGATTTGCCATTTGAAATATTAAGAGAATGTCATTATTTCAAGTTTTTTTTGTGATGAGTTTATGTATTTTAGCTATTTACATGTAACACAGGTGTAAATTATCAGGTACAAACTTTTAGACATCAAAGTACTTAAGTACATTGTACATAAGAGGATAATATTAATATGAATTAATTATGATGATGTCAGAACAAGTATTAATGGTCAGTGTTGCAACTTTAAAGGGTCTAGGGGCCAAACAAATCTTTAGTCATTCAAGATAAAAACTGTATATTCCGAATGGTTTAATGTATTCCAGTGCTGGAGTGGGCAGAACGGGAACTTATATCGTCATTGAAAGCATGATACGACAAGCAAGACAGAAAAAATCCATCAATGTTAAAGGATTTCTCAAACATATAAGACAACAGAGAAACTATCTTGTGCAGACAGAGGTATCATTGTTTTTCATTTGTTTACTCTATTTAGTAATTTACGCTTTGTGATTAAACACACACCACATTCAGACACAGCTCACAGTGAAGAGTTTAATGAAATTATGTGATTTAAGTTCTATAATGATATTACATGTCTCATGTACCTAGTGAAACATTTGCATGGAAGTCAATGGGATAGTAAGTGGGTTCATTTCATTGTGAAATAATCTTTAAATATGCAATATTCTATATTATTCTTAGGAGCAGTATGTGTTTTGTCATGATGTCTTACTGGAATGGGTGGAGAATGGAGGGGAGACGGAATGTAAGGAGGCAAAGCTCCATGAATATCTGCAAGCTCTGACAGAGGGTGGTGATGAATCTCTTCTCACTAAGCAATTCAAGGTATGATCAGTCCTATACAAAGTCAGATGTTTTAATGTAGAAAGAACTTCAGCAATATTGAAGATTATATTACTGTAGATTTCTTAGTTCATGTATTGTTGAATTTGCAACGTATGAAAGTATCCAGATAGGTCCTGGGCATTAGGTCATCTATAAGTGGCAATCTCAACTTACATTTTATGTAATGCCATATTATAACACATGTGTTTAACCTTGCAGCTGGTGACATCTTTTAGCCCCAAGGACTACCAAGTGGTCAGTGCTAATAAATCGTACAACACCAAGAAAAACAGAAACATGAACATCTTGCCAGGTAAAATAAAGCACTTAGATATCAGTATACATTTACTTTTTCAATCCCATGGCATAACAGTCTTTCAAGCTATATGTACATTGTACTTCTTTATAATTACTATTGATATTTATAAAAGAATGCCTATTTAAATTTTTGATGCATTTTGAATTTTTTGAAAGGTTTCTTTCAATTTTGTCGTTTTTCAAGTATGAACAACCCTTTAAACAATGTTATATTTTCTATGCTACAGTTGAGCTGAATCGTGTGAAACTCACAGCACGACCGGGGGAAGAAGGATCAGACTATATCAATGCCACCTATCTGGAAGTAAGTGTACTATGAGCATTGTAAAGCAAATATATATGACCTTGCAGGCCCGTAGCCAGGGGGGTTCGCAGGGTTCGGGCGAACCCCCCCCCCCCCCCTGGCCAAAAATTCTTTCAAAATCATGCAGTTTTTCTCCATTTTGAGCACTTCTCAAGTGATTTTAGCCATATTTGGGCCAAAATTGTCAAATGTGAACCCCCCCTGGAAATCTTTGAAAACTGAACCCCCCCTTGGCAAATCCTGGCTACGGGCCTGCCTTGGTAATGTTAACCTTGTGTGCTAGATTCACTGTAAGTAATAAGTTACCAAGGTTACTGTTGGCTGAATGATTATTGAATATTCAAGTAAAATGGCCAGCAACAATTTGAGGGAAACCACATAACATCCATTTGTTGTGTACAAGTGTGTAACTTTGTGATTGACAACAGGGTTTCCAGGGCTATGATAAAATAAGGAGTTCATTGTATATTTCCAGGGCTACAATAAAATTAAGGAGTTCATTTTTTTTTTTTTTTTTCTCAATATACATTTTCACTACACAAGACAGGAAACAAGCGATAGCCATTTTTTACAAAGGAAATAGAAATACAAAGAATACCAAATTCGACACACAAAACCATTCCAATCACACGACATTCATTCATATCATGCACGCCACACACATACAATCACTCATCAAAAATATTTTCCAGTCTGAGACCTTCGTTTAAATAGGCTTGAAATCCAACACAAGTCAGTGGCATGTTGGAATAATAAGCTCTATGAACATAGTATTTTAATATCAAAAGGGAAAAGTTAAACTTTCTAAAATGTTTCCTATCGAAATACCCAACAATGACGTGTTGCTCATTTAAGTGTATATCCTTTTCTCTCCATTGATCTCCGAAATATTTTAAAAGACCTTTGATGTTTTTGCACTCCCAAAAACGGTGGACAATCGTCTCTTTTTGGCCGCAAAAATGACATTTATCATTCGTACGTATACCAACAAGTTTAAGGTACAAATTTGAGGCATAAATATTATTAATAATCTTAAACTGTAATTCCCAAAAAGCGTGGTTTTTGGTTATGTCATATACCATTGAACACATATCTCGAGCGTTAACATTATATTTGCAACATAAGCGCTTAACGCTTATTGATTCAGAAAAACATTGTTGATTGATGTACAATTGAATCATTTTTGTATTCAAATTTTTGATGTGGACCGTTTTGTTACCAATAAAAAACTGTTCGATGCTTTCAGTATATTCGGCACACTTCGCTTTCGGATCTCTTTTTAAAATTGATTTCCATTTCTTTGGGATGGAAGATATTAGGCTAATATAATCTAAAAAGTTTATATCCACCTGGAACTTGTATTTAAAATCATTCAGTTCCATAAAACTACCATTCCCATTTAGTAAATCATTTATTTGAACAACCCCCATTTCGAAAAGGCTTTTTTGAAATATCTGTTTACCCTCCCTAAGTATGTATTTATTATGCCATAGTATCTCGGTCTTTACCTCAGAACTGTTTTTTGGTTCCTCCGTCTCACTTACCGTTGAATAATATGAAAGAGCATTCATATAGAAATCGGGGATTTTTTGTTTAAATAGGCGTACGTCATATCTACATTGCAGAAGTAGATTAAGACCGCCAAAATGTTCAAAATATATTCGCGGAATCACTTTCCAGTGGCTAAATTGGTCATCAAGGAATCGTTTAAGCCACATAATTTTTAGTGCTTTTTCCATCGATGTCATGTTCACCATACGAAGGCCCCCCTGATCATAAGATCCGATCACAGTATTTCGCTTTATTTTATCCCGTTTCCCTTTCCACAAAAAATTATAAATCAAAGTATTCACCTTTGAGATGATGCTGTCGGGCGTAACAGTCATGGACATAGAATATACGATCTGTGAAACTGCAAGGGATTTGATTATCATAATACGACCGTAAATGGTGAGATTTCGCTTACCCCAGAGGTTCAGAATCCTCTTCAAGGATTCTATTTTCCGGTCAAAATTTATCCCCTTATTATGCTCTGGATCGTATGATACACTGATGCCTAAAAACTTACTTGGCCTCTTTACCCAAATACAACCCCCAATATTCGGATTTACACCATCATGGTTGGCACCAACACTAAAACATTCGGTTTTTTCCTTATTGATTTTTAGGCCCGATAATTGATAAAATTTTTCGAAAATGCTTAAGGCAGCTTCAAGGGAATTTGCATCTTTGAGTATTAGAGACGTATCATCTGCATACATAATCAATTTCTGAGAGTGGCCATTTAGATCGATTCCTTTCACATTTTCATCTGGCCTGATCTTAAGGGCAAGTACCTCAATACATATAACAAAAAGGGAGCAACTTAACGGATCTCCTTGACGGACACCCCTATGTACTTTAAACCACCCAGTAGAATGCCCGTTGTTCAATACGCAGCTATTGTTATCAGTGTAAAAGAGCTTAACCCAACGGATTAACTCATCGCCAAAATTAAAGTACCGCAACGCAAAATCAATAAAACTCAATTCAATACTGTCATATGCTTTTTCAAAGTCAATTAAAGAAATAATGCCTGGTATTTTCCTTTCTCTAGTATATACTAGTAAATCCTCCATAAATCGAATGTTTTCGCCAATCAGTCTTCCCTTGACAAAGGCAGTCTGATTGGGTTCAATAATCGCGCAGAGAACCGCTTCAATTCTCTTACTTACCACTTTAGATACAATTTTATAGTCTATATTTGATAATATAAGGAGTTCGTTGTATTTTTCCAGGGCTACAATAACATTAAGGAGTTCATTGTATATTTTCAGGGCTACAATAACATTAAGGAGTTCATTGTATATTTTCAGGGCTATAATTACATATCATTGTATATTTTCAGGGCTATAATAACATTAAGGAGTTCATTGTAACTCAGCACCCAATGCAGAGTACAATTGAGGATTTCTGGAGACTGGTGTGGGACCAGAATTGTGCAATTATTGTACTATTGTCAAAACATGAAGGAGACGAGTTCCCTCAGTTTTGGCCAGATCGTGACTCAGGGGCCATGGATTGTGGCCATTTTCACGTAGCATTCCGGGATGAAGACCATCAACTTAACCATATCTCTAGGGACCTTATACTAGAATCAAAAGAGGTGAGTACATTCAATAATTCTCACTCTAATTTAAATTGTGTATTTTCAAAATACTGTAGATGCACTTAATTTGGCTCCTGTTTTAATTTGACAGATTGGGGGATTCAGAAAATCTGCCAATTTAAAAATCAGTCAAATTTCAGTTTGGAATTTTCATCAGAAATTAAAATTCTGGTCCCCCTTTTCCTGTCAACATGTCATAAATTCTACATTGTTCCAAAGTACAAAATACAGAAAATACCTGTCCTAATGACATATACAAAAATTAAACTTCAGTCCTGAATCCGCCAAATTAAATAGCCACCAATATTTGAAATTGAGCAAATCTGTCAGAGAGTAAGTGTATCTACAGTATTATTTTGTTGAATTGAATGTAGCAAACATTTATATAAATGGTAATCAGATGACGAATCAGGTGACATATCAAGTGACATATCAGATGACATATGAGGTACTATATCAAGTGACATGACATATATCTTCAGGATGACTATGAGTTGATGACACGGATCATCTCATCATCGTACTGGCCTGAGACCTGTACACCCCTCAGTACAACATTTGAACTGGTCCAGACAGTGAAAGATTGGCACAAGAGGATTGGCAACTCGCCTATAATAGTGGTGGACAGGTTAGTTAAAGGCAATAAATATGTTCAAAAATGGATCCAAAAAGTGTTTCTACTGTTTTTGTTAATGTAAAATCCCTAAATTATCAATCGACCAAACAACAAATCGTGAAAAAAGTATATAGGACCACTCAAGGTCTACTATAATCATTGATAACCATTTCGGGGATATAATATCAATGTTGAAGACTTTTTATCTTATTAATTTTCAAAGATGCAATTTAGCTCTATTTTCTCTGTGCGGATATCTAAATGCTTTGATGATATTCCAGGGATGGTGGAAGTCAGACAGGAATATTCTGTGCCCTATCTACTCTTCAAGACCAGCTGAATCTAGAATGTGCAGTGGACATCTACACAATAGCTAAACTCTACCATCTAAAGAGACCTGGAATATGGGACACTCAGGTAAACCACGCTCCTCTTTAATCTATTAATTATTATCAGTACAATATAATGGGCAGAATCTGTATTTTTGCTGAAAAATGTTAAAAGTATGGACAGTCCCATTTTAAAAAAAGGTGTTTCATAAATCTAAATGTTTTGTCATTTCTTAGTATGTAAGTACATCTGCAATGCAAATTTTTTATCACTCTTCGAAAAAGTGATATATTGTTGTCGTCTCGTGCTGATGGGTGTGCGCATGGGCGACATATAAATCGTGTCATCAAAACTCCAGGAAAGCTACCTATCTTTTCAACTTGAGATATTTACAGATTTAAGACCAGACTAGTGCTAAGATTTGATTTGATTTTAGGCATGTTGATTTCATGGCAGCCATTTTGCTCTTCAACGTGCGATATATATCACCATGTGTCTTGTTTCCCAATTTCAGGATAGTTATCACTTGTTGTACAAAGCTCTAGACTCCATAGCCAAGGACAATATTGATACGAATGGTGCTGTCACTCACTACAACGCATTTGGCGGATCATTTAAGAGACGCGGGGAGTCCATGAGACATCGCAGCGACACCAATCCACATAAAGCAAAAACTGAACGTCATAGTGTCAACACCGAAACTGCAATGTAAAAAACATTTGCATAAAACCATAATATGAAAAACCATGATGTGAATATTGTTATTATACAGAATCTGAGGAATATTGATTGTAAATTAGATTGATATTGTAGTGATCGTAGCTTGCAATTTGTGCTCTAGCATCCTCATTCAAGAAATAATTATATTAATAATTGGACAAAAATCCAGTAAATAAGAAAAATGAAATGATGTTAATTGAATCGAAATGATGTTAATTGTTGCTTTAATGTTACAGAAATCCAGTTCTCAAGAAAATGAAATGAAATCCATTTTGAATGGAAACCTGAAATTGGATGTTCAAATGCCTGACCCTTGCTCTGTATTGCAGACTGCATGCTTATTGCTTATACTACCTTGAAGTATTAATTTGTTGTAATATTCTGTAAAAAGTACATTTTTATTTTGTAATGCAATTGTTCATATTTTTACATTGGTTTATTAAAAGTTTATATGTACATATATATAAATTGTAAGATATGTGGTTTCATTGTTGAAATAGGAAACTTCAAACATCTAAAACATCCTCCTGATGGAACAGAGCCAAAATTTGGAAACACAACTGAAGCAGCGATATGATTTCCACTTGTCGAGTAAACAGTCTATTGAGAGAGGCTTTCAGCATTTGTTAGTTATTAGTTAATGAAGAAGTTATGAAAAATGAAGAAGTATGGTACCATACATGTACATCAACCATATTGTTAAACCAAAGCAAGTTTTACATTATACTTGTATTTTTGCCTGGAATTTGGTGCTGTAAAATGTGCCATGTAGGCATATCTAACACATAGATTTTATATTGTATAACTTATAGATGTCAGCACGTAGATTGGAGTGCAGGCAAGGAAGATTGGCTCTCAGAGGGCTCCAACTCGATATTCGACCTTGATCTTGATTAGTGACAACATTGAAACTGTCGTTATTTTCTGATATTATAACTGTAACTGACTATTTTATAATTAGCAATCCAAAAGATTTGAACTTATATCTCAATCACTTCTTGTGTGTTATGAATTTTTTGTTTGGAAATAAGGCCAAAAATTGCGATTCAAATTTTGAAGTGAAAAATGGTGTAAGATTTGATTTGGAGTGCAGGAGTATTAAACATAAAAAATAGCATACTCCATGGTAGTGTTCGTCCTCAACATACCCACTGCGGCAGATAAATCTTTAGTTCCAACTTCCACTATAAGGTGACGATTTCACCTTAATTAATTGACATGATTGGTTTTGTCCCATGCTTGTGTCACGTGATTTGGAAATCCAGAGAACTTGATTGGTTGCATTGTGCATATTAATTGATAATCCCACGTGCAGTGAAATATTATCAACAAAACTTTAACTCAAAATTCCTCCTCAGAGATCTTTCTTATATTTCATGATTTAAGAAATTTTTACAAAATAATGATAGCGCAAAGCAATAGACTACATATCTCATAATATCATAATATAATTGAGAATTTAATATGTCAGTTGTAAATAAAAGTGGACTATTTTGTCCAGATTTTGGACATTTTGAATTTGTTCGCCGCAGTGTTTACTTCGAGACACTGCCATGGGAGTTTGAAAAGAAAGATAGTTGCAAATTAGTCATATTATAGAGTTAGCCATGATTAGACTTGCACATTTCTACTTTTAAAACTTTGCATATTCACAATAGGGTAATATTACAGTATTACTCCAAGTGGGTGTTTTGTACAGATGATATTACAATCTATACACAGAGGAATAGATCAGCTGATTATTCGATGTTTATGAAATTTTTCAAAGTTTTATCTATTCATACAACTGTTATTGACGAGTTAATTGTTGCGTTTTGTTTTATGAATGAATTTGAATTTTTTGAAAAGCTTATAAGCAAATTCTAAGCACCAACACAGTCATGTTTGTTCATACCAGTTTTTTTATTATTAAAATCATACCAGTTGTTGTTATATTTGCTTTTACATAAAATGCCTCTTGATTTGACATTTTTTGTACAAATCACAGGTCACAGAACTCAAATATAGTGAAATCCCTATAAACCATAGAAACCAAACATCGGGGTTCAAAACCATTAACCGTTATGTACATCTTTGGATTTTTCACTGTATTTTGCAGATGGTTCTGTGTATTCTGTGTATAGAGTCATAATTATCACAGTAAGTATGCTATATAAAAGGTGTAAATATGTATATATATTTTCAGATTCCTGATATAGATTATTATTTTTGTGTAGATTAATAATATGTGTATGTTAAACCGAGGCTTCCTAACCTTCCAACAAAAAGGCATTGTGATTTTATGCTAGTATAATGTGATTTTGTGCTAGTACAATGCGATTTTGTGCTGGGACTATGTGATTATTATTAAGTGTTTCTAAAACCTTGAATTATTGTATTTTATATATCTTTATATTGAAGAAGTTAGTTCCAGAAAATTGTTCTGGTTGCAAATCCATAATGGAGCCTGCGATTAAAGAGTAAACAGTATAAAACCTGATGGAAGTGTTATACACCTTAAGGTTAAACAATATGCAGACCTCATAGACTTAACCCACCCAGTCGTCGGTTCCAACCTCGCTGACATCGTTCCTTCCACCCGAACCACATTCTCACAATGAATATCAGTTCTTTAGTCGCAAACTACCAGCATCGAGATCCCACATCACGAACCACAGGTTGTGAGAATGTGGTTCTGGTGGAAGAAGCAAGTTCAGCGAGGTTGGAACTGCAACCCCATGAGTCAAAGTCCAGGAGGCCTTCTATGGTCATTGATGTTTCTGACAGTTACACAGATGGTTTGATACCAGTATCATAAGGTTTATGTACACATTTAATGCACACTTTTTATATAGTTATTTTGGGCTTTAATTTTTATCATAGGCAAAGGTCGATAGAAATATTTTTTAAATAAAGATGGCATGGTAATCGATCTGTGTTTATTTAAAGAAAAAGATAATACTGGATTCTGTTGGTGCTGCCATCTTTATATCGCCCCAGAACCTATGATTTTTATCATGACAGATGAATGCACTAAACATAAACTATGCATGTAGTTATGCCATTTCATAATGTAAAACCAATTTTGATTCATTTTGAACATTTATGCTCTGGTTATTGTGTTCTGCTATGTGAGATACTCACGTTTCTATGGATTGCCTATATTTGTATGCAAATGTGTCTTGTCCAACATTTAGCTGTGTAATCAAAATAAATGTCATCAAATTATCAGCAAAATATTTCTGTCATTTATCTTCTAGTAGTATTCCTTATTACGAGGTATATATAATTTTTGAAACAATTTAGTTTGGGGATGGGCTCAATCGATGTGGATTTGACTTTGTTAAACATAACATCAGTTCATGAGTCCAATAAAAGTTGGTTTTTAGAAAAATTCTCCTTACAATAGTACAAAAGAGATGTCCAACTCACCCAACCTCAATGACTACCACATAGCTATCAAATCTTTATTCTTGCCAGATCTTTGATCTAAAATCCGAGACCTCTAAATTATCTAAATTAGTCTCACAATAGAATTGATACTTCGATCCAACTTTTGACATAAGTAGGTTTACACTTTTCAATATTAAAGTTCCAGATATTCTGATTGATCATTATAGACAGAAAACATACACTTCATTTTATATTTCTTTATTTTCAAAATAGAATGGATAATTCCTTTGAGAACACCAGTTCACACTTCCATTGTACTCATATATACAATACAAGGTTATGTTACAATTTTGTACATATCATACATAGTTCCTTCATTGAAACACATTAGTCCGACAGCTTTCTCTGCTTGTCACATTCATGAATTTTCATGATGACACACTGTATTCTGCGAATAACAAACTTTATGGTCCATGACATTCAAAGTATCAGAATCACATTGTGTATTAGTTCCTTGACACTTTAGAGCTTTATCATACATTGATCTTTGGTTTTTAGATGACATCATGTAAAATCTGACTCAGAGTCATAATCACATTGTATACATAGTTGCTAGACATTGTCACTCTAGTTATGTGTAGTCTCTGGCTTGTAGATGGTAGAATTCCAGTTGTGTATTGCTCCACATGCCTTGCATATTCGGTCAAATAGCTCAACATGACTTTAATAACATCCCTGTGCCTGAACATCACATTGGTTTCTCAAGAGTGTTTATGCATGTCGGCCTTTGCTTTGCCAGTCTGTTTTGGCATCTTCTTATGTGAGGAATCGTCCAGTTCTTTAGACTTGTAGTAGTGTGGCGCCACCTCTAGTAGCCACGAGCTCTCAATCTCAATTACCTACAATAGACAATGAATGTTAATTAACATCAGGCAATGACGATTACAGTAACATCAGACAATGATGATTAACATCAGACAATGACGATTAACATCAGACAATGACGATTAACATCAGACAATGACGATTAACATCAGACAATGACGATTAACATCAGACAATGACAATAAACACCAGACAATAATAACAAACACCAGATTATGACAATATTATGACAATAAACACCTAAAGATTAAAGATCAGAAGGTTTATGTACACATGTTTTATACACTTCTTTTAAAAGTTATTTTGGGCTTTTATTTTTATCAATTTATAGCATGACAGTTGAATGCACCAAACATAAACTATGCATGTAGTTATTCCATTTCATAATGTAAAACCATTTTGATTCATTTTGAACATTTATGCTCTGGTTATTGTGTTCTGCTATGTGAGATACTCATGTTTCTATGGATTGCCTATATTTGTATGCAAATGTGTGTCTTGTCCAACATTTAGCTGTGTAATCAAAATAAATGTCATCAAATTATCAGCAAAATATTTCTGTCATTTATCTTCTAGTAGTATTCCTTATTAGGAGTTATATATATTTTGTGGTTTGGGGACGGGCTCAATCGATGTGGATTTGACTTTGTTAAACAGAACATCAGTTCATGAGTCCAATAAAAGTTGGTTTTTAGAAAGATTCTACTTACAATGGTACAAAAGAGATACCCAACTCACCCAACCTCAATGACTACCACATAGCTATCAAATCTTGATTCATGCCAGATCTCTGATCCAAAGTCTGACTCATTTAAATTATCTAAATTAGTCTCACAATAGAATTGATACTTCGGTCCAACTTTTGACATAAGTAGGTTTACACTATCCAATATTAAAGTTCCAGATATTCTGATTGATCATTATAGACAGACAACATACACTTCATTTTATATTTCTTTATTTTCAAAATAGAATGGATAATTCCTTTGGGAACACCAGTTCACACTTCCATTGTACTCATATATACAATACAAGGTTATGTTACAATTCTGTGCATACATACAACTTCCTTAATTGAAACACATTAGACAGCTTTCTCTGCTTGTCATATTCATGAATTTTCATGATGACACACTGTATTGCGAATAACAAACTTTATGGTCCATGACACTCAAAGTATCAGAATCACATTGTGTATTAGTTCCTTGACACTTTAGAGCTTTATCATACATTGATCTTTGGTTTTTAGATGGCATCATGTAAAATCTGACTCAGAGTCATAATCACATTGTATACATAGTTGCTAGACATTGTCACTCTTGTTATGTGTAGTCTCTGGCTTGTAGATGGTAGAATTCCAGTTGTGTATTGCTCCACATGCCTTGCATATTCGGTCAAATAGCTCAACATGACTTTAATAACATCCCTGTGCCTGAACATCACATTGGTTTCTCAAGAGTGTTTATGCATGTCGGCCTTTGCTTTGCCAGTTTGTTTTGGCATCTTCTTATGTGAGGAATCATCCAGTTCTTTAGACTTGTAGTAGTGTGGCGCCACCTCTAGTAGCCACGAGCTCTCAATCTCAATTACCTACAATAGACAATGAATGTTAATTAACATCAGACAATGATGATTAACATCAGACAATGAATGTTAATTAACATCAAACAATGACGATTAACATCAGACAATGACGATTAACATCAGACAATGACGATTAACATCAGACAATGACGATTAACACCAGACAATAATAACAAACACCAGATTATGACAATATTATGACAATAAACACCTAACATTTATCGTATAAACAATCACAATAAAGATTGACAAAGATAAAATAAACATTGACATTAAAAACACTATGAAAATAAAAAATGAATTATAAATATTGTAGATTTGAAATTTGCCATTGTCCATTTATATACAAGAAATATAGGATTGATGGTCTGTTTTGGTTATATTTTGATTTTGAGATGACTGATGTTCCAAAAGTAATGCGGACTATCAGTTTTATAATACAAATGTAAGCCTGCATAATATAAACATTTCATTTTCAATCATTAGTACCTGTCTCATATATTCTTTGGTCGTGAGGACCAATTCATGATAGACCAGCCACCGAGGGAGCTCTTCAAATAGACTGCTGTTGGGGTGTACCATGACAGTCTGCTGGTGTTTCACTGTTTTGTATTGGCCTCCCTTGCTTAGTTTGGCTGTGTGGTAGAAAAACCCAGCAGTTACAGCCTGAAAAATAAAACAAAGTTTTGACCAACTTGCAATTGGATATCCAGTAAAACATGTACATTTTTTTTGGTTCCAATCTCTCATTGGTTTACATATTAAGAAACCTTGATGTACGAGCATCTGACAATCACAGTAGTATTAAAATTAGACAGTTTACAAGTTGTATGATATTATAGAATTTTGTACTGAGTAAACTACATGCAAATCAAACACCTTAATTAAATGAATAAAAAATATCTTAAATTTTACCACATTTTATGACCTAATTCAAAACTAAGAATTGTCAATAAATTGTGTTTCATGATTTATAGTCGTAGATAACACAGTCTATATATTAATCCATACTTTGCGTATAGCTACAGTGTCCCCAGCATTGGTTGTGATTTCTATTTCAACCCTCTCCATCATTCCCTCCAGCTGGTCTCTGATGTCTCTAGCTCTTGTCATAGACCTGTGCTGAATATAATTCTCATAGCACCACTGTGTTGAATAGTTGGTCTCTGCCCACTGGAATACAAGAAAGTGTCATTCTTACTCAAATATTAATGAAAATATAATAAAAAGAGACTTGGCATTGCAAGGATTAATTTACAGTTAACCTGTATTATCCACCTCTCTTTTTTATGAAGATTTTCCAATAAGAAGCTTTTTTCAGTCCCATTTTTTCAATCTTCCATAAATGAGCAAATTGTTAAAGGCCTCAAAATTTGAACACCTGCCAATCTGAACACTTTTGGCTGGTCCCAGTGACAAAAGAAAGGAGAAAGGTTTTGCTGTTACCAGTATTACTAATGCTTCAAAATATTTAATCAACTGCTTAACTCTGCTTACTTGTGTGTATACGTTGAGTAGTGTGAGATGGTCACCCCCAGGTCTAAAGAAGTTGGTCCTGGCAGTGTCAGCATGTACCACCTTGTCCTTTGGCCTGTAGAACACTGCATTGTTCACGGATAACATGGCTGTTATACTCAGGATCTCATCAGAGCACTTATATCTTAGTCAGGAATATTTAGGTGAAAATATTTCAAAAATATATAGAAGCAATTTGAAGGTGGATTTCAAAACTTCATACCATTCTTTTGAAAACCTGAAGTGGCACCAAGCAATCCATTGACTTTTTCACCAAAAATTCAAGATGGCCGCCACGATGTATTGAAAAATCATAAAAATTGACTAAAGTTGTAATTTAATAAGTCAAAATAGTTGTATACTGATCAAACATGACTAATAATAGTACCTATTAGATGTTCATATGCAGTTAAAGTCACTGGATCATTTTTGTCTGAAAACTGGAGTCCCACAAGGCTCAATTTTATGTCCGCTACTTTTTTTGTCTAATGACTTGCATTGACCATGGCATTTGCACATAGCAGTGGATACTAATCCATTTTTGAAATGTAAGCACCCCGGACCACATTTCACCTTGCACCCATACTTGACCAATGCTTGGCATGCCTTGGCTGCTTGAGGAAGGGATGTCAATAGTGGCACCAGTAGAGACATGTCATACTTCCAGCCCCATGTTGTGAACTCCTATACCAATTTTAGATGGAGATTGTACAGTTGCCCCCAAACAATACCACCTTGGTTAGCAAGTTCTTAAGATTTTCTGAGCAAGGCTTCCTTTTGTTGGTGGTATTCTGTCAATGACTGTATGGCCGTCACAGAACATTAGCCTTCGTGCTGTATGATATCTATCTGGTTGCTGGTTCGATCATATAATAGAACAGTAAAACAGTCTAGGGACTGAATGGTCTGAATTTACAAAACCAGGTTTGTTGTAAGCATTTGTGCCACTCTTTTGTAGAAAAGCTGGAGTAACTTCCTTGAACACATTCCATAGCTTGAAGGCAGATCCTTTGCTATGGCCAAAGAATGATGCAGTTAATATAATTTAATATCTGTAATTTTTGAGAGGTTCGAAGGCAATCCAGATTGACACTTATTGGGCCCTAATTATTATTATTATATCTAGGTTACCGCCATATTTGGCGAGCAATACCTCATTGGTATATTCCGTACTTTACATATTTTACACTCGAAGACAGAGCCAGAAACCCCTCCTTGGAGGAGCCCTGTGTTCTTTTGTGTGCACAGGTACACAGACATACAGGTACACACCACAGCCTTTTATACGAGTCGTGAACCACTCAGTCAAACACCCAGAATTGCATGACGCACAAACAAACTTGTCTGAACCGGGAATCGAACCCGGGGCCAAGCGATATTGGTAACCTTGACTCTGAGGTCATCTGTTTTACATGAACAAAGAGTCTAGTTTCAACTTCTTCATGAGTACAAGGTCCAATCATTGCTGTATCTGGCAAGTGAGGAAATCACTGAACAGATTCCACAATAGTAGTTATCATTTGCTTGTCATTTCCATCAACCTCAAAAATAGAGTTGGCCAGGAATGCTAACAGCTCAGTCTTGTTCTGGCCATTTCTTAGAAAGCCTAGCCAATTCTTTGGCATCGGATTCTCTGCATAAACCATCCAGTGCCACGATGAATCCTTGTCAGGGACTTCCCACTGTTTTGTTGGTAGATATCCCAGATAGCATCTAATCTTGAAACACCTTCCATAAGCTGCCTTAACTTGGGATGAGACATTGGTAGCATATTCTTGGAAGTTGGTAGCCACACCAGGACGCATCACATAGACCAGAAGGGTGCCATCTATTAAAATTGCATCTGCAGGTTTTTTCCAATACTTCAGATCCATCTGGCTTAGCTTCTCAACATTTAAGTAAGTCTGCTTCTTTGTAGGTCTCATGGCTCCGTGCTTAGCTAAGGATGGCCGGAACTCATGTTTTTCATGTTTGAAAAACTCAGACATGTCAACGTGTCTTGATTGGCATCCCGTCATCCCTAGCTAAGCACAGAGCCATGTGACCTACGACAGACTTACTTAAATGTCTAGAAACTGGTCCTTTCATCCCAAGTTAAGGTAGCTTATGGAAGGTGTTCCTAGATGTTGTCTGGAATGTTTACCTACAAAACAGTGAGAAGTCCCTAACAAGGATTCATTGTGGCACTGGTGCTAGAAGGATAGTTTATGCAGAGAATCCGATGCCTAAGAATTGCCCAGCTTTTCCAATAATCAACGGAACAAGACTAGGCTGTTTGCATTCCTGGCCAACTCTATGTCTGAGTTTGATGTTAATGACAAGCAAATGATAACTTCTATTAGAGAATCTATTCAGTGCTTTCCTCAATTGCCAGATACAGCAATGATTGGACCTTGTACTCATGAAGAAACTGACACGAGACGGTTCATATAAAACATGACCTCAGAGGGTAAAAGACTTCACAATCAGAAGTTGAGATACTGATGTAGTTGCTCTTGCCATGGCTGCAGCATTTAAGGGCGCAATAAGTGTCAATCTGGATTGCCTTCGGACCTCTCAAAAATTACAGGTATTAAATTATATTATATTAGCTTCACCATTCTTTGGCCATAGCAAAAAATATGCCTTCAAGCTATGGAATGTGCTCATTGAAGTTACTCCAGCTTTTTTACAAGTGGTACAAATTGTTACAACAAACCTTGCTTTGTCAGTTCAGGCCATTCAGTCCCTAGAACACTTTACTGTGTTCTATTATATGATCGAACCAGCAACCAGATAGATATCAATACAGCACGAATGTTCTGTGATGGCCATAGAGTAGAATACCACCAACAAAAGGAGGCCTTGCTCAGAAAATCTTAAGAACTTGCTAACCAAGGTGGTATTGTTTGGGGGCAACTGTACAATCTCCATCTAAAATTGGTATAGGAGTTCACAACATGGGGCTGGAAGTATGACATGTCTCTACTGGTGCCACTATTGACATCCCTTCCTCAAGCAGCCAAGGCATGCCAAGCATTGGTCAAGTATGGGTGCAAGGTGAAATTTGGTCCTGGGTGCACACATTACAAAAATGGATAAGTATCCACTGCTATGTGCAAATGCCATGGTCAATGCAAATCATTAGACAAAAAAAGTAGCGGACATAAAATTGAGCCTTGTGGGACTCCAGTTTTCATACAAAAATGATCCAATGAATTTAAATCCATATGAACATCTAATAGGTGCTATTATTAGTCATGTTTGATCAGTATACAACTATTTTGACTTATTAAATTACAACTTTAGTCAATTTTTATGATTTTTCGATACATTGTGGCAGCCATCTTGGATTTTTGGTGAAAAAGTCAATGGATTGCTTGGTGCCACTTCAGGTTCTCAAAAGGATGGTATGAAATTTTGAAATCCACCTTAAGATTGCTTCTATATATTTTTGAAATATTCTGTGAACTTATCGCCTATTCAAACCCGACTATCTGGAAGATCACATATAATCATTTTTACGAAAAATGTTATTTACCAAAAAACATATTAGGGCATTAACATGCAAAATGTCACCACCAGCCATTTGTTACAGATGCTGACCACTGAATGTGGAACATCAATTACTGACCACCAAACACTGTCCACAAAAAAAGTCGGAGACTACTGTATAACAATATGTCACCTCTGGTGTTGACATAATAAAAATGGAATACATACAATTTACAAAGATATGAAGGGAAGAAAAAAGGATGCTGAGAAAGTGTTTCAAATACACTGAAAAACAATACTACTATTGGAAAATATTTCATTATACTAGACATGGCTTTCAAAAGTGACATTTCATAAAGTCAAAGGGCAATTGGAACATCATCATGGGAATTTCCGAAAGTGCTTACCATCTTCAGTATTATATTTGTAATTCATGTTTCAACATTGTTAAATACATTTAGGTAGGTTTAAACATGGGCTTTCATTAGAGGAAGCCCATGGTTTAAACCTCTGTGCATCCACCAGTGAGAATTGGTGTGTAATGATGTAGTTTACATCATTTGTTACATAAGTTACGAATTATATTAGTGAGGAGTCCACAGTTATTAGTATTAACTGTCACATACCTGTTAATTCACAAACATTAATTTAAATCCATGCATTGATCAATAATTAAAATCTCACTTTTCTGAGGCCAGAATCATTTTTGATAACATGGGATCAACTGGGAACTCAGCCATGCGGCGTCCAAGCTTCGTCAGCTCTCCCTTGTGGTTCAGCGCCCCCAAAGCGTAAAGTTGCTCCAGGGCCAAGACGAGTGTTTCATGGGGTGGAGGGTCCATGAAGTCAAAGTGAATGAGATCATTAATACCAAGACTCTTCAAAAGTAGAACTACATTACCCAAGTTGGTCCTTTGAATCTACAAAAAATGATACACATTTACGCAATATCATATTTTAATGAATAATCCATTTTGCTTATCATTGTTTACTCACTAGATGAGTATGCACAATGGTGCAATAGATGAGTATGTACGATGGTGTAAAATATGAGTTTGTTCAATGATGTAATAGATGAGTATGTACAATGGTGCAATCTATAAGTATGTACAATGATGCGTTAAATGAGTTTGTACAATGGTGCCATAAAGCTTACCTCAGGTACTGTATTATCCTCCAGTTCATTCTTGTAGGCCCAAGCTGTAAAAAGACGGAAACATTTCCCAGCAGACACACGGCCAGCACGTCCTGCTCTCTGATTGGCTGAAGCCTAGAAACAAACATGGACATATGGTGTCTTGGTGGAGTGATTGTACCAAAGTTTACGTTTGTGCAGTAATGAGGACCTCATGCAAAAAATGCAGCAACCATGAATTAATGACTGAATGCCTGCTTTTAAATGAGTTGGATTGTTTAAACCTACCTTAGATATTGGGGTAACTATAAGAGACTCCATACCAGTACGGGCATTATATGATTTTTGTTTGCAGAAGCCAGGATCTAGGACATACACAATGCCATCTATAGTCAAAGAAGTCTCAGCTATGTTTGTTGCCAAGACAACCTGAAATCAAAGGATGGCAAAAATGAGAATTTTGAGAAAATTGAGAAAAACAATTGTAATAACTCTGATATGCACCAATGTTATAAATCTCACCTTCCTTGCCCCTGGAGGTGTGGGGTCAAATATTCTGGACTGTAGATCTGATGGCAAATTTGAGTAGATTGGGCAAACCATTAATTCCTTGATCTTAGACCCCAGCTTCTTAGTTCGCTCCTACAAAAGGTGGAACAATATTTATGAATATACATGTATACCAAATATTCACAAAGTTGTCTTGGCAAAATACACAGCCTGATTGTGTTAAACTTTGACGACCTGAAGATTCAGAAAAAATTTCAAAAGAACATTTCATTCTTCATTTTTCATGGAAACGACGCATCTGGCATTCCTCAAAATGTTTATTGTACATGTATGTTTATTATTTTACATGTTTATTGTATATGTCTATCAAATGCTTTCTTGTATGTTTATTACCAGTAACATTTCATTAGCAGTCTCTATCTCTTCCTGTCCAGTGAGGAACACAAGAATGTCTCCCTTGGGTTGTGTCACATGTATCTGGAGCACAGAGACCACAGCGGCATCCAGGTAGTCCGCCTCTGGGGCCTTCGTATAATAGATGTCTACTGGAAATCTGCGTCCGGGAATACGGAATATTGGAGCATCATCAAAGAACTGGAATCAATGATATGGGATTATATTCTTGGCTCCAAGTGTTGAGATTATCAAATGTGTGATATGTTTTCTGAGAGACTACTTCGTACATGTACACATATTAAATTGAGAAATAATTTTCTGCTATCTACATAGCTCTTAATGTTTAATGTACAGTAAAACCTGTATATCTGAACACATCTGCAATCTGAACACTTTAACTGTTAACACTTTTTTCAGTCCCTTTTTGCTAATCTGCCAGGGTATCCTATGTCAAAAACCTTGAAATGTGAACACCTGCAAATTTGAACACTTTTGGCGTTCAGATTAGACAGGTTTCATACTGTCTATTAAAATACGTACCTCTGAGAATTTCTGTGCATCTAGGGTGGCGCTAGATATTAGTAGTTTGAGATCAGGTCTGAATCTTGCAATGTCTTTAACCAATCCAAACAGAACATCTGTGTGCAGTGTACGCTCATGGGCCTCATCAATTATCATCACACTGAAATATGCTTTAAAGGTCAGCTTCAAGGTTGGGAATGAACACCATGGTAATTGTATTGTCCGTAAGTTGTTAGAATCTCTAGTTTAGATTTAGATCATGAAGAAGGCATTGAATTAACTTTCAAAATGTCACCACCTGCCATTTGTTACAGATTCCAAATACTAACTGCAGAATGCTGACTTGTGGTGGTGACATAATAAACTAAAGATGTATTAGGCCTGAGGTTTAAGAATAATATACATAAATAGAGAACATTTTCTGAATTGTTTTGCATCATATTTTCACTGAGGACTACAAAGAAAATAACAAGAGTTAAGTGTTTCTTTGGTTTAAATATTAAACTTACCTATAACTTGCCAGATCAGGTTCACCCAAGAACTCTCTTAACAACATCCCGTCAGTCATATACTTAAGTATTGTCCTCTCAGATGTGCAATCCTCGAACCTGATACTGTATCCCACTTCATTTCCAAGTTTGTAGCCCATCTCTTCAGCCACCCTGGCTGACACGGACATAGCAGCAACCCTCCTGGGCTGGGTGCAACCTATCTTCATCTTATCATTCGTAAACCCCTGGAAATGTACAGAATGTTCCATAAGTATATAAATACCATTTGTTACGCAAGTGAATCTGAATATTGAACCTTCTGCCTGAATATCTATTTTCAACAGTCATCAAAAGTTAATTTTTGTACATCTATTCAAATATACATTATGTAAACATCTAATATGATCTTATATTCTCCGAACCTCTACTATCTGTTGTATTTGCTGGATATTTACAGTCTCAATTTCTATTTTCTAAACATCTACTTTCTGAACATATATTCTCTAAATATCTACTTTCTCAACATCTTCTCTCTGAACATATTTTACTTGGACATCTATTCCCTAAGCATCTTCTGTCTTAGATCAGACTAACAATTTTTAGATACTTTAATGCCGACTTACTGCTTCATGTAAATATTGTGGTATCTGCGTTGTCTTTCCACTACCCGTCTCGCCCTCTATAATGAGGACCTGATGATCCCGTACAGCTGCAATGATGTCGTCCTTGAACTTGTAGATGGGCAAACTTTTCCTGGTTTCTTCAATTGACATTTTCTTCAGATCACTCGCGCTGAGTTGGCTCTCTGTCTCTGCAGACTGGAGGCAGAAATCAAAATATTATACATTGAGATAAATAAAAATACTAGTCTACTAGTAGTCTCCATGTACTTTATGCATAAATTGCACTTTTTGTGATTAAGAATTAAAGTAAAGTAAATAAAAGAAAATCTAAAATTTACTGATGAAAACAATATGTCATCACCTGCAAACTGTTTACAAAAGTGTAATAATTGTTACAGATGCCAAAACTGATGCACAACAAAACAATTAAATAAATTAAAAGTCACTGAAGAAATTGGAAAAATAGAGTTTTAAAGTGGTTCTACTCTTAAGTGTCCCATAAGCCATGTAGTGTACGACTGTATTAATATGATTACCTTATTTGAGCCTGGCATAGTGACAGCTTGGACAAACTCTATCTCCTCATCCATGACATAATCATAGTCCTTCTCCTGAAAAATAAACAAATATGTATGTTATGATCATGAACTGCTTTCAAACAGACCACAAGACTGAAAAAGATGAACTTCTATTCTAGTATATTATGTAGTTTCTGACACTCTCAAATTCATTTATCAATTCCACGCTCTATCGTTTATTTACATAAATAGGGCATTTATTCCTGGAATGGTACTTTAACATATGTGATCAGGAATTGCTTACTTTTGCTTTTTGGCTCAGGTTTGCTTCTTTATATCTTTTCCTACCTTTCTAGCCTGTTTTGCATCTTTGGCCCCAAACTTCATGACTGCAGCTGACAAGTGTTCTTCCTCCCATTTCTTCTGCTCATAGTTCATGCCTTTCTCCAGTGAATCCTCCACATAGCCCTCCTGAGGCTTCTGCAAACAGAACAGTCAGAAATACATTACACTTAAATACAATTCTACAAAAAGACCAGTCAGAAATACATTACACTTAAATAAAATTCTACAAAAAGACCAGTCAGAAATACATTACACTTAAATAAAATTCAACAATAGACTAAATATTTCCTAATGGGGAATTGTATACTTTGTAATCATCAGTTCAGATTTCAGTGTAGCTGTGTATCTCATTTCAAAATACAAATTCTAGATATTCAAACAGATTCAATGATTCAAATGTTGTTCATGTGTGATGTTTCTTTTGATTCCTCTGTTATTTCCCTATAGTTGATAATTATGAGTATTAAGTTGTGTCATAGACTATCAATGGACAGAATATAGTACAATATAAAGTATGTTCAAACATGTTCACTTACGACATCATCTTTTGGCATATAATATCTGTCAACTTTCTCAACATCTCCTGCCCTTCTGTGGTCCTTGGCCAATTTTAGCACTTTACGTTTGTACTCTAACTCCTTCTTCTCCCTTGCAGTTAATCTATAATGTGAATGAACCAATTGTTGAACTGATACAAAATGTTAAAGGTGCATACAGTAACAAATGAAATGTATTGTATGTTCATGTGATGTAACTATACAAGGGGTGAGCCAGATATCTATATAAAAATGCTCTCCTTTCTTTATTCTCAAAAGTTGAATAATGATTTTAGTCCAAAAAGAGGATGGGTTAGGGCATAGAATGCAAAAATGAATAATATATCTATGCAGTATTTTTTTCATGGGAGAGGATATTGGTAACCATGGAAATTGTACCTGGAATAATGAGTATTTATCAGTTTTTATGAATGTAACATCAATAGACTCAAATTAAATGGAGGAATTTATGTGATGTTCTTCTGCCCTTGTATAACATATATAATATGTATAAAAATGTCCTTTCTAAATCTTGATTTTGAGATGCATAAGATAATACTATTCTTACTTTGAGTCTCCAAACAGATATTCTTCATCTTGTACTTCTGCCTCTAAATCTTCCAGTTTATCTTTTTGCCGCTTCTTCAAGTAGCTCATACGAGATTCCTTCCTTATCTCTGGTACAATCTTTTCTCTGTCAAGGGCCTCCAGTTGGAGCCTCTTGGATGCCTCTTCATAGGCCTAAATAACAAATAGGAATATAAGATTATTCCATCAATGTTTACATGTACATGCTTCCCTGTATGATGTCAGAGATCAAACATTCCCAAAACTTAGGGATGCCACATTTCTTATTTACTGTCCCATCATTTAGGATTAATGAAATGTCAAGGGTGAAATATACACATGTACTGAATAAATGAAACCAAAAGTACCTTTTTATCTGATTTAGACTGTATTTTTCTTGTACTCTCTTTATCCTTTTCAAGCATTCTTTTAGCAAAGGCATCACGCTCTTCAAGATCTTCTCTCCTCTCACGTTCCATCTTGTCCAGCTCATCTTCTGATGAATCAGCTGTCTTCTTCTTACTTCTTCTGTAACATCAAGTTGAATATGTAAGTATTTTATATTGTTTAGTATTCAGTTCTGGAGGCTTAATTCATAGCAGTCATCTGAGATTAAATCATGGAGATTAATAATTTACACAACAAGCCATCATTTGCTTTGCCAGGTACATTTATTATAGTGGATATCCTTCGACTATGATTGTGAGTAGCACAATTTTCAGCTTCAAATTTTTACCTACAAATCTGAATTTATATACAATATCTGCACAAGAAAGCATAGGAAACGAGTAAAGATATTATTATCATGATGAATTGATGTAAACAAAAACTTCATATCACAAAAAATGTACACCAGGATGTTCTACTATTTATCCTCAGTGATGTCCCGGGATTTTTTCTTAAAAGGGTGTAAAATCTCAATTTAGCCATTTTCTGTAAAAATGCCTGATATTTTGAATATTTACCTTTTGACAGGCTCACTGTCACTATCACTATCTGTTGTAGTCTTTCTCCTTGTATTTGCCTTTCTTCGGTCCTTTTTACTTTTCTGAAAAAGCAGCACTTCAGATTTTATTTAGTCAGAGATAGAAAAACTTATATTTACAACAGTTGTCCAAAAATTATTGGAACTTTTGACCTGGTTTAATATCAAAGGACAGATTAGTAAATAAATTGTTTTAGCTAGATTCAGATGGCACTTTTACCAGTATCAAAAGCAAATAGCAAAAAAGCAAAACTCTTGGCGATAGAAGCATATGCTTTTCATGATGGATTGTCAATAATCTTTCTAAAATATCACCATCTTCACCAGTTTTTGTGAAAAATACTCGAGGCATTATAAATAAGCTGACTGATTCATATTCACATTAAGAAGATGGCATATGTTTCAAGCATGTGTCATATGTTTCAAACCTATCTCATATGTTCCAAGCCTGTATCATTTGTTCCAAGCCTGTATCATATGTTCCAAGCCTGTATCATATGTTTCAAGCCTGTATTATATGTTTCAGGCCTGTGTCATATGTTTCAAGCATGTGTCATACCTTAGTAGGAATGCTATATTCGTCCTCTCCACCACTATCAGACAACAGGGTGTAACTGGCATTTTTCTTCTGTATTGCCAGTGCTTCCCTCTCCCTTACTCTGGCAACTCGCTCAGTTTGCTGCTTCTTTGGTACCTGTGCATATAAAATAGAAATCATAGAAAACATGTGCAACACAAAAAAACAGTTAGGCAAGTTTACTCAACACAACCTGTGTTTATTTTGTATAACTCAGGGCCTAAAACTCACAATGCCATAGTACAGCAGAACCTGTGTAAGTGGAACACTCTTGGGACCACAAAAAGTGTTCAACACGTGAGCTGTTTCACTTAAAGAGGTGTTCCACTTAACAGTTTCCATTGTAGTAATTAACAACCATGGTTTACCTAGAGAAAATAGGGAATGTAAGAAATGCAATAATAACTCATTAGAGGATCTTTATCATTTTATTATGGGTTGTGATAATTATGTTGATATCAGAAAGATTATGATTGAAAATTTGATTAAGGAAAATCCTACATTTAAGAAACTTTCATGTGAGGTATTATATAACATTATTTTAGGCATGGAGTTTCCAATGAAAAATTGGGATAATGTTTTGATTATTTCATGTAAGAGTGTCTCAATTATGTACCAAAGAAGATTTTTTAGCTGATTTACCAATGTATCCATTGTTATTTTGGGTCTAAATTTTGCCCATGTATACATGTATAATTCATGATATTGTAATTGTCTAATTAGCATAAGGTAAAGTGTAAGATTGTTTTAATTGTCAAACTATTCTTCAGTATTGGAGGCTAAATAAATAAATAAATAAAATAAATAAATAAATAAATATATGCAATGACTCTTTAAAGAATAACTATTAATTTCCACCAATAGTTATTTGTGATACATTTCTTTCTGATTTCTGATACAGTTTTCAAGGCCTGTAGCCAGTATTTTTAATTTGATGTGTTGAAGTACCTTGTCCCATAGCTCCTTTGCAAAGATGACCATGCTTGGCCCCACATCTATAGTATTGGTTTCTTTCAGTTTCTCAACGAATCCATCTCCACTTTTAGACTGTTTAGCCAGGCCAACCAAATATTGAGCGATGTACTTGTCTGATATACCTAGGATGTCGTGAAGCTTGTCACCCACCCATTGGTCCAAAACAGACATCTTTCTTGTTACTTGGTCAACAATCTGCAATATAACAACACAAATATCTGGCACTGAATGGAATTTCTAATGCAGTCTAAGAATATTTAAATAAAAATTTGTCGGATGATTTCTCCATGCAGATCCATCTGTCATTTTGTGTCAATTCTGATAATAACTATGGTATAGATAACAAAAATACCTGTTAAAGGACAAATACTTGTCAAGTCAATCCATATGGATATAAATGATAATTCTTTCCAGGTTATATCCATTAAAATGATTGTTGTAGTCATTTTTCATATCTAAGTGAACCAGAAATCTTGAGCAGACTATATATATTTATACTCCAGGTGATGAAGAAAAACATCCTACCATTTCTTCATGGCTATCTTTATTTTTTTCCTTTTCAATGGTATGATTTTAAAGTAAAATCTCACAAATTATGTAGGCTCAAGGATGATTAAGGTCAGGGTACATGTACAGTATTTTGTTGGAAACCATAATTGAGGCACATGTTATTTTTCAAATTTGAATCACTCCTTCCCCACATTGTCTACATCTCTCACTTTTGCACAACGAGTATACTAATGTACGTAGAAAAGAAGAAGAATATTTTGATAAAATGTATAAAAAGCATGTTTCCTCGTTTTTTATACATTTTACAAAGCAAATCTTCTCACCAGTCTTTTCTAGGCACTAAGTGCATTCATTGTGCACAAACTGGAAAATGTATAGACAATGTGAATGATTCCTGTTTGAAAAATAACATGTGACTCAACTGAGGAATGCAACAAAATTCCGAACATGCACCCTGGCCTTAAGGGCACTTCCGGGCTATACACATCATTTTCAAACTGAAGGTTCAACATCTTAGAAAGATATTCAATTTTTAATGCTGTGGGCTCTGGTATGGGTCGAAACTGAATTACCAGAGCTGAGAGTGGCTTATCAATATCTAGTATGAGATGTACATGTGTAATGACCCAAGGGCGTCCCAATGGAATGACTTACTAACTAACGAGCATAGTGTAACAAGCCAGATAAAGAAATTGAAAGAAAGTGTGCTAAATTCAATGCCCCGCATGGGAAAACCTAAGTCTGATGCTCTACCGACTGAGCTATAAAGACTTAAGCCACTACAGCCGAACTGTAGTAGCAACTTGCTATCAAGGGTCGTTACACATGTACTCTACATGTATTTAACTTTATCATTTAGAGTGTTATCTCAGGCCTGAAAGTATCAAACAGGCGCAATACCGATGTTTTTTTATAATATGCATATTTTTAATTCTCAAATTGCAGTTAAGACCTCTTATACCATATTTACATCAGTAATTCACAAAGATAAAAAATTGAAACATTTTCACTGGGCGATAATATGTTACTTTGCTCAATGTTATCATAATTTCCTGTGAAGCACTTCGTATAATTAAAATATTTGTTAGGTATCATTTCTACATTATTTCTTCTATCTACAAGATTACCAATAAATACTCACGTAGCTTTTATGTCATCATAAACATCAATAAATGGAAGTCGGACGTTTTTAAAAAGTTTAGAAATATCATATGGCGGTATTAATGCTATCACGAAATTCGTCATATGAGTCACGTTTTTTCCTCAATCGAAAACCGACTTGGGTTTCTCGCTTATTTGAAAGCTGATGGAAAGAACATCCAGATGTGCCTTTATAAAGAGGAAAATATAATAGCGGGATGGCGTTCGGACGTATAGTTGCAAGTTCTGATCACTTTAAGTAGTTCTCCCGGTAGTTCGCACCGTTCAGCGCACCATTGGAAAGTTTGTCTCTTACACTTAGGCCTATATTTCCTTTATAGAGGAATTGAAGCAAACGTTCTGGCACTTAAATGTAACGCATTGAACTTAGGTAACAGATGACAAAACTTGTTCACCCGGTCTTGTTCGCAAACTGACAACATCTGAACATGGAGTACAGTTATGATATGAAATATCTTGCACCCGGGATCTAGCAACACATAAAACCCACCATTATTAGAAACCTCATCTTGTCCTCTTCGATCTCATCAATCATGAACATTCATTAATGATTAAAGACTACAACAATAAGGTATGCAAAATATCACCACCTGTCATTTGTTACAGACGCCATTTGATACAGACGTCGAACGCCGAACACTGTCCACAAAAAAGTTGTTACCATTTGTGGTGGTGACACAGAATTGGTTGTAACGATGTAAGAACATGTAGCTAGCCACATATTCAACACACGATGTCGGAAAGCTCGTCTCATCCGATCCTCTTTAATTTCCTTTTTGCGGAATTGACGCAATTGTTCAGAGATGGAAAAAGCTTCCAACGCAACGTACAATTTTTTATTATGATTTGAAATAACTAGTATGATATACATCACACCATTGGAAAGCTTATCTTTATTCCCATTGGTTGCAGAATCAAATTAAATGTTCAGGGACTTAAGTAATAAGTGCAGTACGCTTAGAATTTAAATAACAGACGAAATATTTTAGTAGACTGACAATAACTTTCTTTTTTTGCTATGATTTGACTTTAGTAGGCAACATATACAGCGCATCATCGGAAAGCTTATCTTTGTCTGCTTTTGATCTCCGTGTATAGCAAACTGGAGTCAGACGTCCACGCTATTAAGTGTTACGCATATAACTTAATAAATCACGAAATATTTTCGCAGAAATCAAATTAAAATCCATTTCAAGGTAAAAGCTTTTCTATAACTGAACTTATGCACTTTCAAAGATAGCAGGTATCGCGAAAACACATTGAAATCAATGGAACCTACAATTGAATAACCAACAATTTCCAATTCAACTTTATCACATCCACGGTGAAACGTGTGATTTCCCATATCACACGCTGAAACGTGTGATAATTGATAGTACTACATCATTGAGTAGTTTTAAAAAAACAGTATTTCTCTCAAATTCGTGAAGAGGACGTGATTCAGGAATACTTGGCGATTAACTGTATTTTACCTATAAAATCCATAAGATAGTCAAAAGTGACAGAGTTTCATTAAATAAAGCATGTTGGAAAGGGATTTCAATGTGATGCTCGATGATTATCTATAAAACAGAGCACTAATGATCACTGCATTTTCTACAGTATCAAGAACATGAAATCATTGCTTCATGAAACCACCCCTCCAGACATTAGGGTTGATTTCTCAGTCTCTAGACTTGCAAAAAGTACTATTAAGGGGGGGGGGTAAGCTTTCTCATGGTTTGCTGAATGTGTGACTAGCTGTTTCAAATCGTAAGGAAAAACTGTATGTGATGTTGTCTGAACGCTTAATGCTTCATTTAACTCTGATATGAAACCTATCAAGGAAGACAAGATAAGCTTTGCAATGGTATGCCATAGGCGTAGCCGGGGGGGGGGAGGTGCGATCATCCCATAACCAATAAAAATATAACCATGAGATAGAAGAAAAGAGCTTTAAAATGCTTATTTGAATCTCCTAGCTCAATTTTGAAGGAAGTTGCATCAATTTTTGTAAAATTCACGGTAAATCTTAATTTTTGGCTTGTTTATGCCACAATCGCACCCCTCCTGACTGAAAACCGTAACTTTTTTGGCGATCTCACCCCCCCTGACTGAAAGCTGGTTATGCCCCTGTATGCTATACATGTAGCTAGGTAATGTAACCAGCCGATGAAAATATTTCATCAAAATATGTGGAACAGTAGTCTTTACCAAGTATTATGATACAATAGTACAATATGCACTTAAGTGCTTGACGAAATCAATTCCCTGCTTTTTAAAGAGAAATATGCAACTTTGAAATTTGTTAGCCCTGCTAGGAACATTATGCATCCACTACCCAGTGACCCAGTCATGTCATCAATAGAGGCTTTTCCATATACAATGAAGCTTTGAAATCTCGTCAAAGTCTCGTTTTTAATGAGATTTTGGGAGATCTGCATTTTTAACGATTAAAGACTAGCAATTTCTCCTATTTGATGTCATATTTGAATTCTGTGTGTATTTTCTATCAAAACAACTTTGATTTGCACTGTTATTTACCTTTATTTAAATTCTAGAGATTTTCAAGTTTTCTAAAAATGGTCAGGCTAAATCCCCATTGACACAATGTTGAAAAACCTTTAAAAGTTCATTTAGTAATATATAAGGATAACAATTTCAATGTGAAATCACAATCCAAATGTCAATTATATCATATAGTTACATTCCAATGGTGTTTTAAGTTGATCCAAATGGAATTACTTGTTAAATCAAGAATTTAAGTGACTCTTGCTATTAAGTTGCCATGTTATTTAGCCCTACCAATGCCCATGATGCCATCTATTTTTCCATTTATATGGAGAAGGGTCAATTAGGTAAGGTACTTACAGGTACATGTACCTGTTTTTAGGTTCCAAGTTTTTTCAATACTTCAAAGGTTTCCCCCTCCCCTGAAAATTGGTACTAGACTGGCACTTAAAAATGAGATAATGGTGTATAAAAACCATTTCAATCATCTAATAATTGAACTAATAAATTAATGAGTACATATTTTTTTATATATTTCTCTTGTCTATTTTCACAATTATGTACATGAACTTGAACACTGTCCACCTTCAAAGCAAATGTTTATGTTTACACTGTGCATCAATGTCATCACATTCTTATCCTCATTGTATGCTACAAGGCATCCATATGTCCTCACAGTAATTGTAAGCTACCTAGCATCCATCCTCATTGTATGATCCTCTTTGTATAATCCTCTTTGTATGCTATGTTGCATCCATATCCTCATCTTCCTCTTTGTTTTCATCCTCTGCAAATACAAATATTTCTCATTTAATTTCAATTACTGTATTCCTTGTAATAACAAATGATGCTGCATTCATGGGTATTAATTTTTGATACCTCTCAGTTCTTCATATTAATTTTCACAAATATGAGATTTCTTTAATCAATCCAACTGAACTATCTTGTACTTTATATTTGACACATGCCATTGATACATAAGAACATAAAGATAAATGGATAGATGGACCACGGGCTTTCAATTCTAGCTGAAAGCCCATGGATGGACTAACAAATGGATGGCTGGACAGAAGACTTCACTATATCCACACTGAACTTTGTTCGTTGTGACAAAATCTCAATATCTAACACTAGAATCTAATGTAAAGTGTCACCTTCCACTATTCTTTGCATCTCATGTATCGCCGCTATAAGAACATGGAACTGTTTCCGCCTGATATCAAGCTGAAACAGAAAGAAAATTAGCTGAACTGGTCATTAGAATATACATGTATAGGAAAGAAATATGGATTTTATTCAGTACATATTTGACCATATTTATTCAGTATATAGTTGTATTCATGGAATACTATATCAAATTTGGCTCTACTAACTTGGGATAACCTTATGATTTGATCATTTTACATAATATACAAACCTTTTGTTCTAAAGATTCTTTTGTTTCCTTAAGCTCGGCCAACTCTTTGTCTAATGCCTCAAGTTCCCTGGAAGTAAACAACAATACAAGAAAAACAGCAACCTTTTGGAGCCGCAAATCCCACTGAACAAAACGTGTTTTATAAAATCACTCATATTTCTAAGGATGGTGGCTATATTTAATATCAGCAGTGATCATTTTGAAAATTCCCCACATTCTCGAGCAGACTCCAATAAGGCATCCGCGCATAAAATCTGGACCAAATTTGACAATTGGTATTTGAGTTATCAAAAATTGTATTCTTTTATGAACAAATTGTAGTCATTTTGGATAAAGAAGCTATTATATACTGTAGATACACTTAATTTGGTGGATTGGCGGATTCAGAAAATCTGCCAAATTAAAAATCTGTCAAGTTTCAGCTTTGAATTCTTTGCCAATGCACTTCAGAAATTAAAACTTCTGGGGCCCCTTTTCCTGTCAACATGTCATCAATTCTACATTATTCCAAAAGAAATACAGAAAATATCTCAGTAAAAAACCTGTCCTAATGACATAAACATAGACAAAAATTAAACTTCAGGCCTGAATACACAAAATTAAATAGCATCCAATATTTTAAATTGAGCAAATCCGTCAAATTAAGTAGCGTCAAAATAAGTGTATCTACAGTATTAGTATTTTTTCTTGAGTGGTCTTATTCCCATAAAACATCACCTATAAAATTTGTTCCAAATTTGATAGCCAGTATTTATTTTGAGGATAATCCAAAGGCTTTTAAAGTTGTTTGTTGTTGAAGGGTAATTATTAATCATTAATTAATTACTTATGATATGATTAGGCACTCTTTGAAAAATTCCTTATCGAGCAAAAGTCCTACACCCATAGGGCATAAGCCTATAAAATTTGAATCAAATCCTTCAAATGGTATATGAGCTATTGCCTGGGCAGATGGATGAACAGATGTCTTCTTGTAATATACAAGAAATGAAAGATTTAAAACATGGAAAATCACCTAATTTTAAAGAAAATTATCTAAAACAGCAGATTACCATAATATATGAAATAACATGATTTACAAGTATGAATTGGGAGCTTACAAACACAGAATCCTACCTGTATTTCATTTTAAACACTTTAAAAGTGTTTTTCAAAATTAAAAAAATATACTGATTTTTAATAATTTTTATATGACAGATTTGCAATATATGAACAAACTTAAATTGATTTATTGGAATGAAACAACAACACATGTGTAACTCTTGTTCAATCCATTAGCAAAAATAATTGACTCTTTTGAGACCATTTCTATTAAAACAAAGGCACTTGTCAATACTACAATAGAGATAAAAATCAAAATTATTAAAACATTCCAACTCAATTCTCACGCCAAAGTGGTCACTTTTTCCCCAGGCAGGCCCATAGCCAGGGGGGGTTCAGGGTTCGGGTGGTTCTAGCGAACCCTCTCACCCTTGCCAAAAATTCTTTCAAAATCATGCAATTTTTCACCATTCTGGGCAATTTTCAAGTGATTTTGGCCATTTTTGGGGCAAAATTGTCAAAAGTGAATCCCCCTAGAAATTTTTAAAAAGTGAACCCCCCTTGGCAAATCCTGGCTACAGGCCTGCCAGGTAAATCAATTAATTCAACTTTAACCATATAAAGCGACATAAACCTTGAACATTATGGAACATTCAAATTAAGTATTATTTGGAATTATAATATTTATTCAACCAAATTTGTAATAAGCAAAATGATGAGAATTGCAGGTTTAACTCCAATGAGGACTTATACTCGAACATATGTGTTTGTGGTTTTGCTCATAACGACATGTTACCTGATGAGCATGAAAACTCAGCAACAGAGCAAGGAAACAAAGCCTCTGCATACAAGTGACTCACATGTTGTACAAATGAAAGACAAAGTGCAGCCTCATAGCCGGGATATTCAGAGGCTAAACAACCAAAGAGGACATTCCCGTATCACGATTATGGAGAATAAAAATATCAAAGTGAAAGAATTGAACAACGAAGCAGGAGAACATGACTCAGATGCCAAACTGAAAGACACTGATATAAAAGAAACAAATAATCGTGTTAGTGATTCCCCAGCCCCATCAAAGCCAGAAAAAGACGAAGCGGAGGAAAGCAAGAATCCACCAGGAGGTTTAGACACTGATAAACAGCAAATAGATGACACAACAGAAATATCTAATGCTGCAACAAGCAACGCAGACCAGATTAAACCAGAGGTAGTCCCAGATGCAATGATTGCTGGGATAAAGAAATGTGGGACAGGAACAGTGACGTCATTCTTGTCCAATCACCCAAACTTAACCCTCACCCACCACGAAGAGTACTTTATATCTCCCAAGCAAATACCAGTTTGGTACGAAGATTGGCGGATTGCTAACTTCTCTACATTTACACCACACGACCATGTGCTGATAAACAGATGTACAATGTGTTTCCAAAGTCTGAGAGCAGTTGAGAAAGCATGGACACTGAACCCAAAGTTAAAACTAATATTCATGACGCGTGACCCGACAGAAAGGATTATGTCTGACTATACACAGTATAACACACGTGCAATCAAAAAACAAAATTCCACATTACCACCCGTAGAAGAAAGTGATAGAATACTTGACAAAGATGGAGAAGTAGATGAGAATTCTGGTTTAATAACAACAAGTTCCTACATCAAACATATCAAAAAATGGCTACAAGTTTTTCCGATTGAACAAATGTATTTTGCTGATCACAACCTTTTTACTTCACAACCCTGGACAGAACTTCAAAATTTGGAAAAATTTCTCAAACTTCCAGCATATTTTGAAAAGTCACAATTTGTTCCATCAGAATCGAAGAGTTTCTATTGTTTTAAAAACTGGTGTCCTGCCAAGGGGAAAGGGAGGGACCATGTAGAAACATCACAAGATGTACTTATTAAACTAAGGACATACTTCAAACCACTAAATGAGGCATTGTTTCAACTTTTAGGAAAGAAAATGGATTGGGCTTAATCAAATATGTTTTTTTTTAAATATTTGAACTTCTTTTTTGAATAAAAATAAGTATTTGTAATTCATATAAAAATGAGTATTTGTAATTCATGAGGTACTCAACTTAACTTCTAAAATACATTATCTTTCAACACCATTCAATGGATTGAGCACATATTAAACTGTCTAATCTTAATGCTGCTGGGATTAGCCAAAAGTGTTTAGATTGGCAGGTGTTCACACCAAATAATGGGACTGGGAAAAATGTTCACATTCAAAGGATATACTACTTATAGGTTTATACTGTTTATTCATCAATTAAATTTCATTTATCTCAGAACAACATTTGTACTTGCTGCTCAATTTATCATTTATTTTTCAGTAAGCCATATATGATACCAGGAAACATATCTAATTCTGTTATAAGTAAAAGGCATGTATATGTCAATATAAATATTATAGAACTATTGGTTCATGTTTGAATTTCTTCATTTATAATGGACTAAGTATATTCCTTTTTCAATTTATTAAGATGAAACAATCTGATACCAGGAGAGATAAAATTGTATTTTCAGTGGCGAGTTGTGAAGTAAGCAATACAATTGATATTGGTATATATGCCAAATTATTACCACCTTGCCGGGCCAGTTCTAGGGGTTTTAGTGCTAGTTTAGAAGGCATTCGTTTTACTATATCGACCTAAGCAATATGTGACGTCATAGTGGTGGTCCATAATGCCAGTCAATAATGCATTAATGACCGGCAATTTTCCCCGGGAAATTAGATATCGTTCAGTGCGTAAGATTTTCCTGCTATTTCAGCCCTGGTCATTAACGGTGGTAATAATACTAATAATAATGTCATTTCTGCGGGCAATATAGTGAAATATTGGACCTTGGGCTTTTAACATTATTATACTATTAAAAAGCAGCCAAAATTTGCCCAATCCGCCAAATTCAATAGTACCAAATTAAAGCAATTTACAGTCCTACGTATAGCCATTAATTTGCCAGGTTAAGACATGTTAAAACCATCCATGTGGCACAGTAATCATTGTTAAACTGTTGGCAAATAAATAAATAATAAAAAAACAAATCAAACATTCACTCACTTTAGTGTTTTCTGTCTATCTGGATGTTTTTGTATAGTTTTGGCAAGAGCATCATACTCTGAAAATAAAATTTAAATCATTCCTTTAATGTTTTCCAATGGTGACAGAAGGACTTATTGTCAATTTTTATTAGCAAAGTCCCCTCCCCACATACACTGGGCAACAGAAGAAACATATACTGGTATGATATCAGTATGTTAGTATGTTTTATTTATAACTGTTCACAATCAATAAAATTGTCGAATTTGTCCCCCACCCACCTACACTGGGCAACAGAAGAAATATATATCGGTATGAACTTTGAATTATCAGTCAGTTAGTTTGTTTTGTTTTACAACTGTTCACAATCAATAAAATCATTGAATTAGTCTGGGAAAATACTACAAAAGAAAGTGTGAATGTGCTAGTTAAACATGTGATCTTATTATCATGACTTGTGATCAATACAAGAAAAGATTGCCTCAAATCTGATGCGTTTGATTGATGCAGTTTGGATTGATAAGAATGGCATACATATTATTATGTGTTACATGTACAGTTAAACCTGTCAAGTGGAACACCTCTAGATATGGAACACCTCTGTTAGTGGAACACTTTTCAGAGCCACAAGACCAACTAACTTCATGTTAAATGAAACTCTATGAGTGAAACACTTCCCAAGTGGAACACTTTTTGGAGATACTAAAGGTGTTCCACTTAGACATGTTATCCTGTAGAACTTTACAAACGAATTGTATATATCTTTTCTCACCTTGTCTGTTTTTCCTGATCCTCTTTGCCTGATGCAGTTCACTCTTACACTCTGCAATCTTGTCAAATGCTTCCTTTATATTCTCCTCTGGAACATACAAGTAATATAACACAGCATTAACATGCAAAATATCACCACCTGTCATTTGTTACAGATGCAACACACCGAACTCTGAACACCAACCACTGAATACCAACTGCTACCACAAAAAAAAAGTTGGAGACCATAACAAATGTCACCACATATGGTGGTGACATCAAATATGAGTTACCATTAATCTTTTTTTATTTTAATCCATTGGTATTTAGCAATTATGTCCCTATCATTGAATATATATGCCTGAGGTCTGTCATCAATATATTACAACAGACCAAAGGCATATATTCAATGATACGGCCATAATTGTTGTATTACATACCTTTATTTCCATGGCTATGTTATATCAATGACGTATACCTTTATTTCCATGGCTATGTTATATCAATGACGTCACACATCTGTGTGCGAGTGAAATTTGGAAGAAATGAAACATGACGTCCCGATGACGTCATAAGATTGTCATGGTAAAAGTTTTGGCAGCTATACAGGAATAGCTGACCTTTAGCTCCATTGACTTCCATACAAATGCTTTGCTAGTTATGAAATACAATGCTTTATCGTATGATCTGTAAAATGAAGCCCTCTGATTGGTCAGTTCTTGTGCTGTACCAATCTGAATTGCTACTGAGATTGTCCCCGTTGATCAGCTCCGTAGCAATACAGAAAATATTGGTATGGAGGGGACAATCTCAGTAGCAATACAGAGGATCACACGATAAAAACGTTATTGAATGATTTGAAGTGCAATACAGGATATATTCTGTCTCGATATTCTGTATTGGCACTCGACTTCGTCTCATTCCAATACGGAATTTCTCGAGCAGAATATATCCTGTATTGCACTTCAAATCATTCAATAACTTATAGTATTTAGCCAATTTTAGACTGTGGTTAGTTTATAGGTTATTGCTGGAGCTTACCTATTTCTTTGTTTAGTTTCTCATAGTTCTGTTGTTCCCTGGTGTTCATCTGATAGATGGCATGAGATTTCTCTACGGCATATTCACACTGTGTCAGTGAAGCTAGCATACGCTGGTAGTTTGTGTGGCTGAAACAGAGATCAATGACATAGGTTGATATTGTGTATATCATTTTTTATACATCTAAACATTCATAGACAGGTTCCAATTTCAGAATATCTCAAGGGAAAGGGTTTTTAAGGCATTTTTTAGAAAAAGCAACAGAGCTATTTTTTCTGGATCAGTTTTTCATGCTGATAAAGATATTAAAAGATGACAGCTCAACGGGTGGTCACGACACTGAATTTTAGCGTTTTTACCCCCCTAGGGAATTATTTTAAGGGGTACTATAATATTAGTTCATAACTCAAAGGATATATAAACTATTGTTCTGAGTTCTACAGCATACATTGTTAGTACAAAGATGAATTAACTACCCTAAAGTTATAGGTTGATATCTTTGTTGGTTTCGGAAAAATACAATTAATTAGAAAAAAATATGCAATTTTTGTCATTTTTTTCTTGCTTATTTTATATTTGTAGCTTCAAGCAAATTATGATAACTTAAACAGCTCAAAGTAGTATTCTAACAAAATTCCCAAGCTATGTGTGATATTGTAATACATCTATTATAGTGATGAAGTACTATTTTGTAATTTTAATATGACTTTATAGTGCCCTACCCCTGGTAAATAGAAGAAAGTTGGTGTGGTTTTCTTCTGGTTTTAACATTTTATTGTCTTCTTAGTTAAAGATACAATCAATTCTGTCAGTTAACCATGAGAAACTTTACAATGGTTAACTATTCCCATGAATAGAGGGTTGGGACCTCAAAAATACCAGAACTGTTAAGTGGCATCCTTGGGCAACCCTCTTCAGAGCATTTTCCTTATATCATCCGATAAAATCTGCAGGGGACACTATAAGAAACCTATATATCTAAGATACTAGTAATGAAGATACTGAATTCAAATTTTCAGGATTTGGTCCTGGTATGATAGGTAATCTGTATGACAAAAATGACAAAAAGAAAAAACTCTGTTGCCATAGTAACAAGAATACGACACTATTTGTTTCCTAAGAAATGTGTTTTAAGAGGTTTTGTCATTCTCTTCATATTTTTAATTCTAAATATGTCTACAATGTGGGATGATTAAAATTATGGTAAAGTAATCTTTTCTATTGTTCTATTGTTCTCTAAAACAGAAGTTGCTACGCTCTATTTGTCAGGAAATTAAAATGGAAAATGAAAAATGAGTTTCTTCCTACTGAATAGCAATTTGGTAGACCAAGGCTGACACGCACAGGAGAAAACGTCTATCAGTTCTATGTCATTTTGTTGTTATTTTTTTTATTTATCGTGCTCTAGGACTTATAACACCTAATGCCGAATCTTTTCCAACTGCAAAGGAAGGCAAGATTTTAATAATGAACATTCATATATCTCAAATATCTCAACAAAGATTTGGACAATGATGATGAAACTCTAAGGGAAAATTAGACGAAACATTAATGTGAGTGGTCCAAAAATAACACTTACATGTTTTGAAAAAGTTATGCTCTCAGGTGAATCAGTGCTCATTTAAGGATAGTCTGAATCAGGTGAATTTTTTAACCTAATTGTACCCCTCCCCCAAACCCCCAAATTTTGACAATTGTCGAAAAGTGGCAAACAACAATTAAACAAACATCATTAAAGTTCAATATGGCTATTTCGCTTCTCTGTCATAAAGATATGGTAAGATCTCAGGTCAATCAATAAATTTCACAAGTGACACTCTATCTTATGAAGAAAATATTATCGTATTTGAAGACATGTCAAAAATTTGGTTGAAATAATTTTGTCACTCCTGATTTGACCTGGAAAGGTTCAGGTAAGTTATCACAAACAATTTCAGACAGTTATATCTTTGATTATGACTATTTTCTGACCATGAAGACAGGTATACAGGGATAACAAAGTCAATCGGACTCGGAGATATTTCACTAGCAATCAACCCATCAATATATTTTTTCAAAGTTGTTGACCTCATTTTCACCAAAAATGCAATCATTTTAACAATGTTTAATGCATTACTATTCTTTATTTTAATGTATCAAATAGCTCTTGAAAAGAAAACTGAATTCCCCTAAGATTAGTGTTCCCCATGTTATTTCCCCTTTGAAAAAATTCATGCTATCCATTGGTTTCAGTTCATTTTGGTCATCCAAATTCAGTGTCTTTAAAGTCCCTGGAGCAATCCACTTTTCCTCTTAGGAAATAGAACATGTCTCAAAGCATATTCTAATTATGCATTCAACAATATAATTAAAGGTTGCATCTTTGGTAAAAATTAGGTCAACATTTTTAGTAAAAAGTATGTTGATTGGGCCATTCCCTTTAATATCACTTAAGTCTGATTAATCATTATATTTACTTTTCTTGAAGATAATGAATAGATCTAAAAGATATACCCATGAAAATATTCATAATTCAAGTTAGAATTGTCTGAAGTTGTTTGCGATAACCTACATGCTCCTTTATAACATTATTATGTAAATACCTGTGTAAGTGGAACACTCTCCGTTCTGCGTTCCACTTAGAAGATGTTCCACTTACAGAGGTTTTGGGTTCACAGGGAACATACAAAATCAAATATAGGATTTATATGTATCATTGGAAATATGATTCTCCCTTCATTACAGGGCAGGTATATACCATTAATAATTCATTTATTTAACTCAAAAAGGTATCTGACATTCTTAATCCTCCTCATTCTGCCAAAAATGTTTTCTGATATTCTTAATCCTCCTAATTGTGCCAGTCTCAGGTACAAGGATTAGGCAATTAAGTTTTAAAGACTTGTTCCTACTGTTAATAATTCAATTGTTTTTAAATGACATTTTTAATCTTACTTATTAAGTTTGAAACAAACAGCAAGGGATATTAATTAGTGGTAGCATCACGTGTCCAGTTCTACAGGAGGTTAATCCAATTTTCTGAATGAAAATCTTATGAAATCTTAATTTGCTGATAATCAAATTAATTATTGGTTGCATCACATGTTGACCTCTACAGGAGGTTAATCCATTAAAATCCATTAAAATCCTAATTTGCCAATTATCACAGTATTACCTGTTTTCATACCCAGATATCATTGAAGGAGATTAATTCTGTTTACATATATCAATATTGAAATCTATGGAAATTGACTATTCCACTTAGCAGGTTAATTTTTCAATATGGGGTGTTCACTGTTCAAGTTTGGAGGTGTTCCACTTACAGAGATTCAATTAACATTAAGTCAATGGGTTTTTAAAACGGGACTTTGAAAAGTCGTTCCACTTGGGAGGTGTTCCACTTACAGAGGTGTTCCATTTAGCAGGTTCTACTGTACATTACTTGTGCATGATGACCACCATAGTCTAGTTGCTCAAATGAGATCAATTGATGATTATAATGTTTAGACTTTATGTCAATATCCAGACTGTATGCCAACCTCTCTAGTATGTGATTTCACTAGATTTTATTATGATACATGTACTTAATTGAAAACTTACATATAAAATATCTTAAGTCCTATATTCTAGTAATAAATGAATTAGAATGTCACCTTACATTTGATGATGGTATAAATTTATTGATTTTGTGTCTATCAATACATGTTTCTAACTTAATGCTGCAAAATGATAAAATTCACCACATCCACTTTCTTCAATTTTCCAGGGGTAGGGCACTATAAAGTCATATTAAAATTACAAAATAGTACTTCATAACTAAAATAGATGTATTACAATACCACACATAGCTTAGAAATGTTTTTAGAATACTACTTTGAGCTGTTAAAGCTGTCATATTGTGCTTGAAGCTACAAATATAAAATTGGCAAGACAAAAATTGCGTATCTTTTTCCTGTTTTTTGTATTTTTCTGAGACCAATAAGGGTATCAACCCATAACTTTAGGATAGTATTCATATTTGTACTAGCAATGTATGGTGTACAACTCAGAACAATAGCTCATATATCCTTTGAGTTATGAACTAGTTTCATAGTACCCCCTAGAATATTTTCCTAGGGGGGAAAAATGCCAAAATTTAGTGTCATGACCACCCCGTTGAGCTGTCATCTTTTAATATCTTTATCAGCATGAAAAACTGATCTAGTAAAAATAGGTCTGTTGCTTTTTCTAAAAAATGCCTCAAAAACTTGAATTATTTGAATTGGAACCTGTCTATCATGAAATAATTATGTTTCACAAAAAGCAAAAAGTTGGTTTTACAGGCTTTTAATATTGTGATATCATCAAATCATTGCCCCTATGCTATAAAATGGAACCATCGTTTGTCAGTGTGTAAATATGTTATCAGCACACTGTAGTATATTAACATTTTAATATATGCTAAAGGAGATTTAGATCTTCAAAACATTGATTCAGATCCTTATCCTATGCCAAGTAGAGTTTTAGGGAGATAAGTTGGTAAGATATATCCCGTATCCTGATTTTGAGGTTTCCATCTCCAGAACCTCCATATCTCCCGCCATTTCTCCTGCTTCGGTGCATATCTTCCCGATTCAGTGCATATTTTCCCGCTTCCGGTAATTTCACTGAAAACTCTACTTGGTATAGGATAAAGCAGTTATGTAAGGTCGGTTTGGATATGGGGTTCATCCCTCGTGAGATATGCACATCTACCTTCGGTCCCTACGGTCCCTCAGGTAGATATGCATATCTCCCTCTGGATAAACCCCATATCCAAAACCTCCCAGTACATAACCCTTATTTATCACTGGTCCCAACCTGGTTATAAAGATGTTATGTTTTTATGACAAAATGGATGATTTTCATCATTTTCACTAAGAAGGTCAAATTGTTACAAAATATCTTACCTGTACCTGTATGTTAATAGTAACATCCAGTTACTGAAAGGCAAATGAGTCACAAGTATATACATCCAAGGGCTCCAATGATTGAGTAAGAATCCCCTCACATTAGTAACAAGGACATAAACAAAATGCAAAATGTCCTGGTTGCTGAAGTGATGGCATTCTCACTCGATTATTGGAGCTGCTGAATATGCATGTATCTGCTCATGATTGACTAGCTTTTCAGTAACTGGATGTTACTATATTGGTAAAAGGTAACATCTTTATAACAAGTTGGGGACGAGTGCTTAGGGAGACATCTTTGATTACAGTACAAAGCTGTTGCATACATGTATGCCTACTCAGTTATTACAATCAATGACTTTACAAGGTAATCCCATATCTCAAATACCCTCCAGTTCTTGATCTAGTCTAGCTACAAAGTCTTGCGACCCCCCCCCCCCCTAACTTTATATCCCAACAAGAACTGTTTGAGAGGGTGTGCAGTCAAGTCGAGTTCATAGAGGTTTGTAACTAGACTATTCTTGATCTACAATTCTTATAACTTAAACTTTTGATTTTGAATTTCACAGAGGTACCAACCTGTCATCATCGTGTTCTGGAGATGAAGTCCACTTTACAAAGGTCCTCAACAAAGAGCTTATTCTCTTGTCATCATTTCCACCATCTGCTTCAATGAGAAGACGTCGCCTTATTATTTCATCTGAAACATTACATGAATACATTCATGTTATCACAATTTCTAAAACATACACATTCTGTATCAAGAAAGCACCTATCTAACAAGTTGCTTTGATTTAGATCTTTAGTAATAAAAGCAAATTTAAATCATTATTCTCTTTCTCGTTGTTTGAAGTTTCATCCCTCTACTTAGATTGTGTACCAAGTTAATTTACATAGTCTATGTACTTCCAACTTCCAATGTTCAAGTTACATTGATACTCTAAAACTCTGAACGCAAAAATTGTTCGCTTTTTATTAAAACTTTCAATGAGCAAACATTTATAAACAATTTGTTTAATCATAAAAACAAGGAATATATCCATTCATACTTAATAGTCAAAAAAGTATACTGAATAGGATTGTATGTTGAATTATGATAACAAAGACAAAGCGACGAAGCCAGGAAAATAAAAGTAACAAGGCGAAAAATATCCAAAATGGTGGCTATATAACTCAGTCAGAAATGTGAACTTAAAGTTAGGTAAAACACCATTAAGCGCCTCGTCTGTCTCATCCTGGCTAATGAGACATTGAAGACACTTTGGTTTTTGGGATGAACAGTCAACTAAAGACAAAGAAATAATTTCTCCAAAGTCGAATATTCGGAAGATTGTAGCAAAATATGAGGAACTTCAAGTACGTTAATACTTTGGTGAATCAATTTTTGATACTTAGTATCGATACTCTTGAATCGTCACCAAACAAGCCGATATAGTCTATCGTGCAATGCGCTCTTCTTACACAAACGCATAAGCTAATGTAATGACCTTCAATAGCAAGTCACTACTACAGTCTCTGCTGTAGTGGCTAGCCCTTATGGCTCAGAGGTAGAGCATTTGACTCGAGAGTGGACGGTCCTAGGTTTGATTCCATCACAGGGCATTGAATTTAGCACACTCTCTTTCAAGTCTAGTATTTAGTCTATAGTCTAGATTATGTATATTTTTAAACACTAGGTCTTCTAATTAACCTGGTGTTTAAATTATGAATTACAATGGACATTATGCTTATTGGCGTGATTCATGTCAATTGACGTGCAAAATGACAATCTCCGCGTTACACGTTAAATGGGGTTATCGTCTCCACTGTATGGGGGCATTTTTTACCTCCAAGTTATCTTTGACAGTTGAACTGAATACAATCTAGGCTAGATAGTATTTCACTCACTGGGATATTTGTGTTGCTGATTTTTTGCCTGAAAATGGACATCCGGTTTGCATTTGAACTTTATTTCATTTATATTAAAAGTCAAATCCAAATAAATTTCGAATAAAGTTTTCACTAAGTATTGATCTATTGTTATAACACACACTTATGTTTATATCAGCTATAAATCAACGGGAAATCGGAATAAAAGCAACAGAATATTACCATCGTTTACAGCCATGTTGCCGCTACAATCTATAACAAATAATAATTATTTTGGGGAATATTGCAACGAATCGTAAATGTCATATCGTCTATCTGATGTCAATAATCCGTTTAAAAAGTGTTTGGGTCGATTTGACTCGATATTTACTTTATGATGAGTTTTATAGATCAATTTGGTTTGTTAATGCTGATTTCCGAAGATGACGTCAAGTTCGGTAGTTTCCGTGAAAAAGAGCAACAAGAAGGTGTAAAATGGCGAATTTGGACAGTAGTCCAACGCCATTTATAGGACAACCATGGTCACTGTGGGAAGAGAGTACCCAGATTGCCAACTCAAAAGGTATATTGAGACATTTATCCTTATTTTCATAAGGCCTAACCACGTCCAAATGACCATTTTGATTGTTTAATCACCGTTTGAAGACGAGCATCGAATTTACTGTTCTTTAAATTTGTCCTCACATTTCAAGTATGTCATTCGCATGCAGTAAAAATGTGTGTTTATTTTAAGATGACGATGTGACAGATGGAGCAGGTAAAGATGAGGACGATGGAGACACCATGAAGCTTCGTGTTGAGGGTAAGTTAAGAGTCCAAATCGACCTGAGCACATCAGAAACTCCTTTGAAAATTTGAAAAGTGAAACAGGAATTTGCTTTCATTCTTTGACACCAACTTTCAAACAGAATCCCCATGTGTCATGATTCATCCAGACATCTTGATCTATCTGTTGTTTATCAATGTATTTGAATTGTGTATTATCATCCTACTATTTAATGGGTTTGTCAGTGTTTAGTTAGACAGTGTATATATAAACAAAAGCATTGTAGGATTATTGTTGATAATATTTTTGTGCCACTCCTTGATCCTCAAGTTTAGATTGAGGAACATTCATATGAAACCTGAACTTGGCAGATAAAAGATTTATCATGCAGGACATTCCGCATTCATCTTCATTAGAATCTATGATTTCATTTGAATGGCTTGGTGTCTCGATCACATCTATTTTATAAAATAAGATTATGGCGATATTCTGAAATAGAGCTATGTCATGTATCAGTTTCATATGTAACTGTTCATGGCGATATATTATAACTATGTATGCCCTGATTCACTGCTGATTCAGTCTTGGTTTCTGCAAAATTAGTATCATTTATCAAATACCTGCGTAGGTACATATATATTCTTTTATTATATGTACAGGAAAGGTGGTGTTGTACTGTTGTTTTATATATCTTATTGTAGACCTATATTATTTTTATTTTATTTTTCAGACATGACGTTATTTGGCATGTGTCCTGCTCAAGACGAGTTCTACCTTGTAGTCTGTGAGAAATGTGGACAAGCCATAAAGCCACAAGCTTTAAAAACACATTTAGGTATAAAGCGGTTTTCATATTTATTTAAATTCCACATATATAAATGTCCAATTCATTTTCTTTTGCATTCTCCATTGTAAGAAATAGAAACATATTATTAAGATGTCATACTACATGAAGTCTGTGATCAAACAATATCAATTTTATATTTTCTCAACTTATCCAACATTCTGTTTTTGCTAAAAAATATTTACATGTTTTTGTTTCTTATACACTTAAACATGGGTTTTCAAATTCTCTTGAAAGCCCATGACTTTAATTTTCAGATGTGATGTTATTCCCCATATATGCATAGCATTGTCCACGTAGAATATTTTGAGTATTTCACATATTCTCTGATCGTGTAAAAGCTTTTTAGGGGTACTGCTATATCATAGCAGTTTTACAAATTCCAAAGTGAGATCATTTGAAATAGAGAAATAATTCCTCAGTAACAGCTGCAGAATGGCTTTGGAAAAGTGGAAATTGTCATTCTAATTTGCTGTTACTGAAAAAATTCATTGATTTTAAATTATTTATGCAACTGATTGTAGATATTTAGAGGAGAGGAACATTAAAAAACATCTCTGTTCCATATTCATTTTCCACATTCTGCAAATCTCTGTACATCGAAGTCATTCATTAACAGTTATTATATTACAATTCCTTCCAGTGTATAACCATTTGTTAACCAATTTGCATTGTCATTTAGCCTAATTTATTTTTATTGCAAATTGATGAAAATAATTTAAAAAAACAATACTAGTATGTATATACCAAAATAGCTAAGAGATTAGTGTAATGAGTAATTTATGACCAATTTTTTCAAATCTCCATGAAAGCAAAATGTGAAAATGCTTGTCATTTAAAATTGACTTTTCTGTTGTAAAATATATCCTATTGAATTGAAGTGTGATTGTGATATTGAACTCAAAATCCCAATGAACTGAAGTCAGCTTTTTCTGAAAACTTAAATCCCATTGAATTAATATTCTTTTTGACATTGAATTAAATGGTTTCAGATGTTAAGAAATGTTATTGTAGTTTAGACATTTGCTTTCTGTAACATGGTTAATTTCAATTTTGCAAATTTTTAGAAATCACAATTTCGCTGATGTTGAATTTCACAAGTTTAATCTTTATTATTTACTAAATCTTCAAAACTCTAACTTATTCCTAGTGTCATATTTAGATAAGGTTTACAATGACTAGATCACTCTATTACACATTGCGATTTTTTCGTTTATTTGATCTGATAAGCCAGTAAAAGAGACATTGTTGCAAAAAAGAAATGCATCGGAATCTCATGGCAAATTTCACGACAATTGTTTAGGGAATTTTACCACAATTGCAAAACGCATGAAATTAAATCGCACTAAAAATACAGAGATAACAGTATATGTCATTGTGATACTTTGATGATGGTTTCTGTATAATAATGATAACTTCTTCATGTCTGCGTTCATCGCATGTTATATTTCCACTTCAGAACAACGGCATAGTCAAATAACAAGTCCAAAGGGAAGTACAAAACATGGTTCATGTACTACAACGAGGTCCCCAGGACGCAAGTCTCAACACTCTCCAAAAGCAGGATCACAGAAACAATCTGCAAGAGTGAACTTGAACAAAACATTAGAGCACATGACACGGTCAAAGAGAAATCACACTATGGCCTCAGTTAGCGTCTGTGTTGAGAGAATGCCATCTCCTGCTGTTCCTGAAATGAAAGTTTCTAAATCCAAAGAACCAGAAATGAGTATAGGGCCTCCATTAGAGGTTAACTCTTCAATAAAGGAGGAACCTCCTGAAAGAATAGAGCCATCTTTAACAAAGCCCTCAGATGAAACAAAATTAGATTCCAATAAAAATAAAACTGAATTGAAAGACATTGAAATTGAAACAGTTTCTGAGGCTGAGCCTAGCCTTAGACCAGAAAAACAGATAGAGATAAAGACTGAACCCCAGGAAGCTCCACCGTTTTCTGAACCCACACTGCTTACCCATAGTGAACCTATACCGACATTAGCCCAGGTGCAGGCGACACAATTAATCAGTCAGACCACACCAGTCAGTACAGTAACAGCACCTGTATTGAAATCAATCAGGACAGTCACTCCCGTAGTGATTAAAGAAGAACTCCAGCCATTACCTCGTAAACTAAAGACACCTTCACCAACTCCCAGCAATATTGTAACTGTCACTGACTTGTTGAGTTCCACTCCCACTTCCACTGTGTTTATCCCTCTTGGCAGTAAACAGTCTCTCAGCAGTAGTGTACGTAGCACAACAAGTACAGGGTCTAGCAGTAGCTGCAGTAGTGCCTCCAAACTTCCGAGGTCAACCAGCAAGATGGTGTTATGTAAAGGTGAATACTTGAGTATGATGTTATATCTGTATCTCAACTTATAATGTATATGTTCATAGTTGCAAATTATTTAAAAGTAGTATTAGTGTACACACCCATTTCTTTTTTATTCAGAATATGACACAGGTATTAGTAACACATTATTGCACAAAAATGTTAAACGAAAGATTACTATTTTCAGATCGTGAATATGATGCCAATAAGCACTGTGGTGTTATTGGTCCTGATGGCAAGAACTGTACCAGATCTTTAACATGTAAAACACATGCATTGTCTCTGAGACGAAAGGTTACACGCAAAAAGCCATTTGACACTTTACTTAAAGAGCATAGAGCTACCAAGGAGGCTTTGTTAGCTGCAAAGAAAGCAGGTACATAAAGTTGATATTAAAATAAGACATGAGAACACATAAAAACTTTTAAAACTGTTCAATATACTGTTGAAATTTAAGTTCAAAATGAGACTTAAGATATCCCATGACTTTCATATGTTTAATTGTTTGATGTTTCCAGCTGGCTTGTTGGCTAGTCCCCTGGGTACAACAGCTTCTAAGATTGCAGGGATAAGGAACCACACAAATATTGCCAGCATCCCTGTCAGTACCTCCCACATCCTCAACACAATCATGAAGCCTGTCTTTCATAGGTAACTAATCAAACTAGTTGTCTTCGTTTTGCACTGATGGGAGTGTGTGTATCTATTTGGTCTTGTAAGTTGGTGCCATATAAATCTTGTCATTGAAATTCCAGGAAAATTGCTTACCTGTTACTTGAAATTTTAACAGACCAGAACAGACTAGTGCCTAGATCTTATCAGGTTTTGGGCATACTGGGTAAAACTTACTCGGTGGCCAATTTGGATTTTTTTCATAAAGAAGTGTGACTGTGAGTCTTGTTTATACTGTACATTGATTTGGAAAAACTTCAATCAAATTTCTTATATCATCGTTTAGCTAACGCTATTGTATGTCAACCAAGGATGCCCACCTTCCAATCTGGTTGGAAAGACCTCAATGGTCCCAGCATATCTGGACCCCTGGATTTTGGCATGATATGTTTGGGGCTTAACTTGAAGAAGCTGTGCAAATAAATTACATTTTTGAATAACTGTATGCCAACTTCCTTTCAGTCAAACAAGTGGATATGAAATTTTCCATTGACTTTCGGGAGTGTGATATAAGAAAAAATCTTAGAATATATTACTAACTCCTGGCACATTAAAATCTATTACAGGCAGTCATCTCAGCCGCATCTTGTCCTACAACAAAAGCAGATGACTCCTCCACCTGAACAATCTGTCCACGTATCTAGTGATGATGACGACGCTGACCGACCTGAATGCTCACATATCACATACCACCCTAGGCCTATAGCAGTAAGTATAAGACACATTACATGCCTTCATTGGCCTAAAGCAGTGTGTACCCTAGGCCTATATATCACTCCCCCTAGTTTTCTGCTTAAGTTAAAATGCTAAATTCTGCAAGTGAAATTAGTGAATTCTGCAAGGGGAAAAGGCTAAATCTGCAGAAATTCCGTGGACTTTTGCGGCATTTTTTTAAGATGTTTGAAACTTCAAACATGTAGGATTGGGCGCATAATTGGAATCACAATATATGTAGATCAATTTTTAACTAGGGGTCCCACGATACATTATGAAACGATACGATACATATCTCGATACTCAGGTCACAATACGAGCAACGATACGATACATAATAGTGTAGTTGAATCGGGGGGGGGGGGGTGCAACACTGACGTAGCTGAGGTCGAGTTGAAAGTCTATCACTTGCTGTGACATTTGATTCAGATGCAGCATAAAAACTATAGTCAAGTATGAAGCATACCTGCTGTATAGTACTGTAGTCAGCTATGCATATTTTGCAATTTTTTTGAAGTCCGGCTGTGCTTTCCCTTTACTGAGGAATATTCCAAAGTTCTACAGTATATTTTCGATTGGGGGATATCAGGATATCACAACTACCCATCTTTGATGCTTATAGCCATAATTCTATCAATTGTGTTCAAAACTTTCAAAAAGTTTCAATTTCTAACCTCCGGTCAACATTAATACTCCGAACGTGATTATTGTTTTTTTTGTTTTTTTTTAATTATCAATATTAGTAGGCAATTTTTTTAACGCATTCTATCCAATAAAAAGGTCAAAGGTTATATTTATTTATACTAAATTGTCAAAAAGTATATATAATTATAAAACAAATTACGTTGATATACGAAGACATAGAAGACAGGAGTTATTTGTTCGCATTCTTACTGTCAATCCGCTAAGCATTCTGTTCGCATTTATACAACATTTAGGGCGTGTCATGTCCAGTGAGAAACCAAACAAAAAATTTAAAAACAATTTTTCAAAAAAGTCAAATACTCAGTAGATTTCGGCAAAATATGATGGATTTCAGGTATGTTAATAATATTTTTGTTGTATCGATATTTGAGTCTTCGTATCGATACACTTGTATCGTCACCAAATGAGCCGATGCATCGATATATCGATGGATCGCAGGACCCCTAGTTTTAACGTAATCTGAATTCGAAGTTTTCGATCATTAACTTAAAAACATAAATAACAGTTATATTATTAGGTCTTTGTTTAACTTTCTGATTTGAACTATGGTTTTCGAACCAGTAAACGGGAAAATATCGTGATAGTTATGCAGCCAGTCACTACATCATTAGTCAATGCATGCTGCCATCTAGGAACAGAAATCAATGAAGCTTAAAATTTGGTCATTTTTGGGTTATTTCTACAAGGGATTTGACTGAAAATGTGTCAAATTGTTACAGGTAACTTACCCTGACTATTTAAACTTTTAGAAAATAAATGTATATCAATTCCGCAGAGATTGACCAAAATAGTTGATTCTGCAATTCTGCTTACCAATGCAAATTCCGTCCCCCCTCTGCAGACACGGAATCCTGGGGGCAGTGATATATTCAAACCCTAACTCCATTATCTTATTTTTTACTCATGCATATAAATATTCATCAATATGTCATTATTAAATAATAGAGCCTGGCCCTCTGAACTGGGGATGGGGGACCAATTTTTTGTTTACATAAATATGTTATTTTAATTTCAGATTAATACATTTGGTGCTCGCTTACACGGGTCAGGGTGCCATGTATTCAATCGGAAGAGTGACCAGCTGCGAGGTGCATTCCATTCTGCTGTTGATAGATACTTACACCCTCCCCCATTTAAGTAAGTTCTGCAATCAGAATCCTGTTTTTTTTCACTATAAATCGTAGGCAAATGTAATGATGCTTTCACTTCATGATAATCTTGAGGAAAAAGATGTAGAAAAACTGATTTTTTCATAATTTTTTAAAATAAAATAAAAGTTTGCTGTTATCATGGTTATTTTTGTATATATTTTTTTATAGTGCATCTTCAGTGATATCTTTATGTTATTTGTTTCCAGGAAAAGTCGACCAGATCAGATGGCGGGTCAAGAAGTTTCATCGAATGCTTCTTTTGTAGCTCAAAATATTAACCTCGCTGTTCTAAATAAAACTAACAAAATGCCACCAATGAAATCAAAGACTCAAAATCGATCGAAACCAAAGGAGCAAATGTCTATGTCAATGAATGGCAATCAGTTCGGGGGCCATAATATTAATCTGCAGTCTAATGTGAATGGGAGTCACGGTCAATTGAGAATTGGCACAAAGCGTAAACACAGCACAGACAATATCAGCTCAGGAGCGGCTACGTCAAACCCTTCTTTGACACAATTCACGGGGAATATCAACATGGCGAACAATGCTAATGCTAACCTTCCAATATCTATAGCTATTCCCAGTGGTATAAGTCTCAACCTTAGTTCCTCCACTCTTAGTAGTCTTAATGCAAATCTCACGAGCACTACAACTGCAAATAATCAGGTCCAGATACAGACTGGTAAAAATAATGTGAACTACATTAAAGACTTGAGTATAGTAGTGACAAACATTGAAGGGAGTGTTGCTAATGGCCAGCTGGTGACAATTCCTAGCTCCAGTCTCAACCTCTCTAATGCCACACACTTGCAGCTCACAAATATAGCCAATCAGAAACCTACGACTGACAGTGCCAAAAGACAGAAAAATGGTACACCAAATATGACATTTCAGGCTCCTTCGGGCGGAATGATAGACTTAGCGAATAGCAATCTATTAACAAACCTAGCCAATAATGCAGTAATTCTAGATAACTCAAATATCCAAAAGATCTCCCAGATGAAGGGTGTACCCAGTAATGTAACCATGACAACAGTTGCTATGGGAAGTACTGCCATGTCCCCACCCCAGTCTAGTCCCTCTACTACCCCCAGTCCAGCTTTCAGGGCTGTAAGTACACCAGTTTTATTGCATTCTGCATGTCTTACCAGAGAAAGGTTAATTTAGATGAAGACTTGACTTAAAGCTATGATCTGATTGTACATTTAAAGTTAGTTAGTTTGTGACTTGGCATTAATCTTTAACTGTTACTGCCATTTTGAATAAGATACCTGAACCGTACTGCAATTTTCTGATAAGAAAAACCCTTAAAAGTAAGATACTTAACTTAAAAATATAAAAACATGAGAAGATGTATAGGTCCATGATCTTAAAAAGTGTAGAAGAATCAGTTGACGTATGTTTTTAATACTATTTGTTTCCAGGAATCTGTAAGTCCCCAAGTCACAGCCGCATCACCCTTGCCTAATGGTGTCCCAGTGTCACATCTGGCATCACATCTGACACCTCATTCCATAGAATCCTCTCAAAACAGTGCAATGTCAAACTCCTTAACAGCTGGTAAGTGCAATGTCAAACTCCCTTATAACTGGTAAGTGCAATGTCAAACTCTAACAGCTGGTTATTGTAATGTCAAACACCAAAACAGCTGTACAAAACAACAGTAATGTCAAACTCTCTTAACAGCTAGTAGGTGTAATGTCAAACTCTAACAACATGTAGTTGCAAAATCAAAGCCTAAACAGATAAGTATTTCATAAAAAAGTCTCTGTACCAAAGTTTGAACCTCCATAATCCCATGTTCACTGCACGAAAACACCCGTATATTGCCTTGCTATCAATTGTATTTAATAATTTTGAATCATTAGTTTAATTCTTGTGTCATGCAATTGCTGAACATAAAATAATACTTAACAGTTTTTCTTCATCAGTTTTGATTGCTTGACAGCTGACATAGCCTTCTAATTGAGATTAATATTGTGATTGTAATTCCAGGAAGCATAAACTCAGGATCTCAGGCCATTAACTTGAATCTACAAAAAACATTGAAGCAACAAACATTGAATAAACAGTTACAACAGCAACAACTACAACAACAACAGGGAGGTGGGGTAGCCATTAACCTAACCCAGGCTCAGGCTGATCAGGTTCTGACAGGGGGAACATTCCATAGGGTAAGAAGCACAGGCACCCCGGGACAATTCACTAACATACAAATCCAGCCAAAACATGGCTCAGCACGCAGTAAAACTATTAAAAGTCACATGATTCAGCCTGTCTCGTTGACGTTTCCAATATCCCAGGGTGTCTCAGGAATGGCACCCCCACAGACTCAATCTAGGCTGTTTATTCAGAATGAAGATCGGCGCAAGTGCGATGTCCTCCAAACCAATTCTCCATCAAATGTGATCACGTAGCAGTAGTTAAAGCAGACGTAGTTCTTGCAGATTATATTAAACTGAACATATTGAAGAGATTAAGAACAGGAAATTAATTAATATGAATACTGAATAGTATAATATAATCTGTGGCATCATATTGCCATTCGTCACACTAGGGGGGCATACCTTGTCTATTTTCCAGACAAAACCTGTTGGTATGGTGATGGGAGCATGCTGTATCAGGTGTTATTAGTTGTTTTTAAAAGATCTGAATCTGAAGTTGTTTGTGTCATAGAAGCGACTCTGATAAAACCATCAAATCTATTTAGTTTGTCTGAAACTCCATGGAACTGTGTAACATGCTGTTGTTCTTTGCTGGTGTGACATACTTGTGTGACATGCTGATGTGACTGTCTAGTACAACATGCTGGTGTGACAGTCTAGTATGACATGCTGGTGTGACATGCTGTTGTGACATTACTTTACATGATTTGATGTTTTCATTAGAATCAAATTGCTGCATATATGCATTTGCCATCATGTTACTTTGTTGCATTTTCTAATCACTGTTGGTTAATCATATTTTATTTGGTTGATCCCTCAGATTGAAATCATGGATCTGATTCCCAAAATTACACTTCACCTTGCCTGCATTGATCATGAATCCAAATTCTTTTTCCCAAAGTAAACCATCAATGTTCAATCAAATCAATCAAAATTTGGAATGGTTTTACTGCATGTATTTTTAATCAGATATCTAAATTTTTTCTGAACATAAAATAAGATAGTAAAGAAAATCTTATCATGCTTTACAGTGTGAGATTCTTCAGGATACTACAAATATTTATCAACATTTTCAGATTATGCAACAGTTGTTTCATGAGTGGCAGGTAAATTACTAAAAATAAATTATTCCACACAGCTGATTCATGAGAATGTGTCTTTTGACTGCTCACTATGTAAATACAGGGTCTTCATTAATTAGACCTACTGGTAATTGTGATATTAGTTATGCAATTAGCCAACCAAATACCTCCCATTTGAATGTTCAATAATGTTTGTAACGTCACCGTAGTGATGGCTGATTAAAATAATATAGTCAAACTGTGTTCTGATTCTGTAATCATGTAATGAATTAGTTGGTCAGCTGAGAGGCAATTTTCAGTTAAGCTTAGGTATTAAGTGTCTTATAAGGATCGTTCAATACGACAGCATTTCAAAAAATTTGAGCCAACCTTATTTGGTGCTGAATAATGTTGAATATGTTATTATATAACAGTATTGTATTTGTTTATATGGACCTGTGCTGTGAGTGCTACCTGGAACTGTCATGGGTGCTTCATAGAACAGTCATGAGTGCTTCACTAAACTGTGCTGTGAGTGCTACATGAAACTGTGTCGTGAGTGCTTCATGACACTGCCATGAGTGCTTCATGGAACAGTCATGAGTGCTTCATGAAACTGTGCTGTGAGTGCTACATGAAACTGTGCTGTGAGTGCTACATGAAATTGTGTCGTGAGTGCTTCATGACACTGCCATGAGTGCTTCATGGAACAGTCATGAGTGCTTCATGAAACTGTGTCGTGAGTGCTTCATGACACTGCCATGAGTGCTTCATGGAACAGTCATGAGTGCTTCATGAAACTGTGCCATGAGTGCTACATGAAACTGTGCTGTGAGTGCTACATGAAACTGTGCCATGAGTGCCACATGAAACTGTGCCATGAGTGCTACATGAAACTGTGCCATGAGTGCTTCATGACACTGCCATGAGTGCTACATGAAACTGTGCTGTGAGTACTTCATGACACTGCAATGATTGCTACATGAAACTGTGATGTAAGTGCTACATGAAACTGTGTTGTGAGTGCTTCATGACACTGCAATGATTGCTACATGAAACTGTGATGTAAGTGCTACATGAAACTGTGCTGTGAGTGCTACATGAAATTGTGTCGTGAGTGCTTCATGACACTGCCATGAGTGCTTCATGGAACAGTCATGAGTGCTTCATGAAACTGTGCCATGAGTGCTACATGAAACTGTGCCATGAGTGCTACATGAAACTGTGCCATGAGTGCTACATGAAACTGTGCTGTGAGTGCTACATGAAACTGTGTTGTGAGTGCTTCATGACACTGTGCCATGAGTGCTACATGAAACTGTGCCATGAGTGTCATATGGAACCGTGCCATGAGTGCTTCATGATACTGTATGTGCTTTATGGAACTTTGCACATGTGCAACATGGAACTGCCATTAGTGCTACATGGAACTGTGCACCGAGTGCTTCATGGAACCGAATCGTGCATACTTTGTCCGTAGATATTATGGGCAGCTAATTTATTGAGAATTAAATTATCAAAATGAGAAGCATTAATAGTTAGATATTGAGTATTGATAGTATATCGAATGACAGCTCTGTGCAATAAAATTGCCTAAATAGTGTATGCTGTCAAGTCCTGGAATGTATTTCTGATTGAATTATTTATTTCAATAATGTAGTCGAATAATCAATTGTTAAATACTTTTCCCAAAGTGCCACTGTGATCGATCATAAGACATTTAGAAGAATAAAAAATTTGTATTTCAATGAAGTCAAAACTCTTTAATGTAAGCCTGCACAAGTATTAAGATTTTCTAGACACTTCATTCCAATATCAAAAACATGTTTTCGGGAAGCATGAATGACATGAATAATATGTAGAAAAAACTTAGTTAAAAAACAAACACAGAGTATGTATTTGCAGTATTATATTTCCATAACTGATTATGAAATGATCAAATCTTTAATGAATTGTTGATAGTTTGGAATAATATCGACCATAAATCAGAAAATGTTCACCTTGTGAAGTGTATGACACCTAATCGAATTATTTTGCTAATTTTTGTACATCTGGCATGACTTAATGTGATAGCTATATTATATTTTTACTTAACAGTACAAGGTGACAAATACTTGTTTCACTCTTTTTCTGATAGACAGGTTTTGGGACACCCTGTATGCTCCTCTACATCTAATGTTAATGACTCCTATAGATGGCAGTTCAATAGTGGCCTATTCTTCACTTCCTGTCTCATTGGTCATTTGTTAACTCTGATCAAACTCAAAATATAATACAATGAGTCAATTCAATATCAAAAGATCTAAGATGTTATCTATCCTTGAAGCAGTACAGTGATACCTGTAAAGGGGAACACCTCTGAAAGTGGAGCAGCTCTGTAAGTGGAACACATAGTGGAACACTTAAGAGTCCCAAGATCAACTGAACCTCTATAAGTGGAAACCTTCCAAGTGGAACACTTTTTGGAAGTACCAGACTTACCAAAGGTCTTCCACTTAGACAGGTTTTACTGTATCTGTTAAACATTACATTATTTTAATGCGATCATTCTTACATGCCATCTATGGAGTTCCTTTGACTTCAATTAGATACTATCATTTGGTTTTTAACATGACATGTCTCCTTTTGGTTGGACACATTACAAACACTCTGTGGTTTAATCTTGCACTTTTTAGAATAGAAAGCAATAATGTATGAAATCGATGAACTTTTGTGTCTTACAAATAAGGTTTTAATAATGTGTTTCTTGTTTTCATTTGTTTAAATATGTTAGGAAAACAAATGTCTGATGTTTTGCTAATTTTTATTTTGTTCCATTTGTGGAGCCACATTGTGCATGTGTATTAGTTCTCATCTCATAATATAGAGGGCACCACTAGCTGTATGGGCAATGTGGTCTACAAGTGAAGTAAAGTAAGCCAGAAAAGGTTACAATTTCAAAAGCTCTACTGGCACAATGTTTTCCTAATATAACTGTTACTGAATGTATACTTGCTCAGTTTATCTGTTAATTTGTTAAGTTGTATATGTTTTCTAATCAGTTATGTGTTGTTGTGCATCCTATGCAAAATAATGTGAAGAATTGGTACATACATGTATATATTGTTACCAAAGAGTATCATGGGAAATATGCTAAAATAAAGGGCCTGATGAAACTAGATTATTGTACACAATGGCCATGAAATTAAGTCAGTGTGTTGTTTGTTATTGTTGGTAAAAATGTTGTCAAACAAAACAAGAATTACTTTTTTTTTAAATTATTTTTTATTATTTACTTATTTTGCATTACAAAGTGCACATGTGCTAGTGGGTGGGCATAAGTGTTATCAGCCACATTCTAATTTGGCCCAATGATTCACTAAGCACAGTCTGTGTAACCTATGTCGCTGAATATGTCATCCTCTTGTACAATATACAATATTTTTACAACACATTTAGGTGAGACGACTATTTAACCACTCGAATCCCAGGCTCTAAAATCAGTTGAAATCGGAGAATTTTTCATTTTTGCCAGTTTTGATATTTTACTACACACAGTCATATACAACAGGTGGTGCTCATCTTAGTAAAATTAAATGGCTAAGTTCATTTCTACACATTTTAAAACAAGTTTTGTGTAAATCGGATGAAAATTGTTCAAATAAGAGCAATTTTAGTGAAACATATTGTCACTCTTGGTAGTCAAGGGGTTAAGAAACATATGTGGATCAAAATCTGAATATAAAGAAGACAAATCAGAGTGAGAATTCATGATACACTATCAAATGTATTAAGAATACAGTGTACAAGCCGGAAAACCATGTCAAACCAACCAGATCAGGAACTTCCCAAACAGCAAAACTCAGGATTTTCTCTCAGTCAATGTACTCCTCCTATGAAACCTATACAAACACCCATCACTCAATTTAAACCCTTCATTGTCAATACTGCCAATCTCTATCCTTGTGATGAATTTGTATCGCTCCATATTGGAACCATTTTACCTTAAAAATGTTACACTGTGAACAATGAATGTGAAAATTGCATGTTGCTTTGTAGTTGTAATGTTGATGACCACATCGATGAGCAGTCAAACGTTAATGATAATTTATCATAGATATGTGTAATATACTTTATCAAGCTCTGGTGGTGACATATTGTTATAGTCTCCAACTTTTTGTGGACGGAGTTCGGTGCTTGATGTTCGCTGTGTCTGTAATAAATTGCAGGTGGTGACATTTTTCATGTTAATGCCTTGTCATGAATTTTCCCCGTTATGATGGAACCTAATTGTAATAAACAGGGATCAACAAAATACAGTCACAAAAGATAACGGCAACTCCGCGGAGTAGCAAATCCCAACGAACAAAATATCAATTACCGAATTCCAATCAATTATACTCATTACTTTGGTTAAAATTGAAAAATTTAGATTTTAGAATTGCAAATTCCTGCAAAGCAGCCATTTTGAATTTTCTGAGGTACAAATCTGAAAAATAATACCATAATTGTGATCTACTCCAAATTCCTTCAATTTGAGTATTATATAGCCATACTTTGAAGGGATCGAAAAATTATTGCGAAATCGTACATTAGACGGCCATTTTGAATTTAACTAGGCTCGAATCAGAAAAAAGATACAATATTTGCAATCTACTCTTAATTGCCTTTCATTTGAGTATAATAAAGCTATACTTCAGAAAGATCTAAAAATTAGCGAAAATTTCTGTTTTCCTGACCCTGAAAAACACGGAATATATGTGAAATAGATAGATGTTGCGAATATACTACCAAAATTTCAAACAATAATATTAATTACTTTGGTTTAGAATGAAAAATTTATGATTTTTGCGAAAAAGTTCCATCATTTTTGAAGCGGCGGCCATCTTGAATAAATTTTTTTTGTGTAAAACTTCATCAATATACATATTTCCACCAAATATGAAGAAAATCCGTCAACTAAAATTTGAGTTATCTTACGGACGGACGGACGGACTGACTGACGGACGGACGGAGGGCTTCACTATATCCCTACCGAACTTCGTTCGTTGGGATAATAAAGGCATGACTGATGAGCAGGAATCTTCTGCCAGTTCATGTATTGAATCAACTTGGTGCTATGTCATCTGAACATGTCATTTACCAACTAAACATGTCATACAAACTATGAGGTCACTAAACAAGAGATTTACCAACTGTGATGTCACTGAGCATGTTATCTACCAAGTACGAGGTCACTGAACATGTCTAGTCCCAACTATGAGGTTTGTGCATCTTCCATGTTTGAGGTCATTGAACATGTTATCTACCAACTATGAGCTCACTGAACAAGTCATCTACCAACTACTCGTACGAGGTTAATGAACATGTCATCTTCCATGTATGAGGTCATTGAACATGTCATCTACCATGTTTGAGGTCATTGAACATGTCATCTACCATGTTTGAGGTCATTGAACATGTCATCTACCATGTTTGAGGTCATTGAACATGTCATCTACCAACTATGAGGTCAATGAACATGTCATCTACCATGTTTGAGGTCATTGAACTTGTCCACTACCAACTATGAGGTCATTGAACATGTCATCTACCCACTACGAGGTTAATGAACATGTCATCTTCCATGTATGAGGTCATTGAACATGTCATCTACCCACTACGAGGTTAATGAACATGTCATTTTCCATGTATGAGGTCATTGAACATGTCCACTACCAACTATGAGGTCATTGAACATGTCATCTACCCACTACGAGGTTAATGAACATGTCATCTACCAAATATGAGGTCACTGAACATGTCAACTACCAAAAATGAGGTCGGTGAACGTGTCAACCACCAATTATGAGGTCATTGAACATATCATCTTCCATGTATGAGGTCATTGAACATGTCATCTACCAACTATGAGGTTACTGAACATGTCATCTACCAACTATTAGGTCATTGAACATGTCATCTACCATGTATGAGGTCATTGAACATGTCATCTACCAACTATGAGGTCATTGAACTTGTCCACTACCAACTATGAGCTCACAAAACATGTCATCTACCCACTACGAGGTTAATGAACATGTCATCTTCCATGTATGAGGTCATTGAACATGTCATCTACCCACTACGAGGTTAATGAACATGTCATTTTCCATGTATGAGGTCATTGAACATGTCATCTACCATGTATGAATTCATTGAACATGTCATCTTCCATGTATGAGGTCATTGAACATGTCATCTACCATATTTGAGGTCATTGAACATGTCATCTACCAACTATGAGGTCACTGAACATGTCATCTACCAACTATGAGATCACTGAACATGTACTAACTATCACATGGTGTGATACTAAACAATATAAATATATCAAGTGGACCAATCCATCACTTCATTCATATCAACAGCATAAATTAAATTACTTTATGTATAATATCAATATAATGCATGGTTCTGATATACACATATTTACATTCAAATGTACAAATATTTTAAACAACTAGATAACAGCATGGCTAAGTTGTAGCAAATCCTATCAAACATCTGATTAGTGCAGACAAGATTGCTAGAAATTATTTTTCAAATGGTAGACAGTGTCAAGTTGTACTTCCAACTATATACCAGTATATATACTGGGTGTCCCAAAGAAATTGTACCCAAATGAGATGGAAACAACTTCTTTTTTCTTGATTCATTTTTCAATTAGCAGATTAAAACTCATAGTTTATAGACTACTTCCGGAGAAATTTGACAATTTAGATGACATGTTCTATAATAAGATCATGATCAATGCAAAATGACTTCAATTCAAAACATGGCAAAATGGGTGATGGTCCAATAAAAGCTTTTCTCTAAAACTCAAAGTTACCTAGTGAAACTTAATGTTTATGATAATTAAATTGTCTTTTTGATAACCTTTCAAGAATATGCCTTTGTTTGTCTCAGTACAATTGTTTTAGGACATCCTGTACTACTTTTTGAGTAAAAAAGTAAGATAGCTTGCCACCATTTTCAAGATGGCCACCATATTTTTGAAAAATATGAATTTTGACGGAATCAACATCATAAGTATTTTGTTGCATTAAAAACATATTAATATCACATACAAGTTGTTATAAAAAATTGTAAAGGTAGCCATATCAGTTGACTTTTGAGCAAAACTTGTACTCACACAGGGCATATCTGTATAAAATACCAACAATATTGTTCCAGCAGTACATAAATTATTGCCTATATGCACTTACAGATGCACCTATGTTCTCTATCATGTCTACATCCCCTGGAATATTGTTCATTGGGATAATGATGATAGTTTGTCACATGACCTCCTGATACCATTTCAATATATGAGAGACTTCACGTTTGAAAAAGTTTGTTCCCATGAGATCTATCTCAGTCCCCACATCCTGCAAACTTGTACTTTATCACAAATGTCTAAGGTCATTCTCTACACCATACACTTTAGATTTCAAATGTTTTAGCTCTCCCATGAGGTGTTTTGATCTTCCAGCAGTACGTCGAACATTACGTAAAATTTGCATATCAATGTCGCCAGGTCTCTTCATGTCCAGCAATTCTTCCTGGTCACCATAACCAACGGTTACCTAAAATGGTAGAAATGATGAGATACTTCCTTTCAACATTTTTGCCAAATACTGTACATAAATCAACCAAATACTTTACATAAATCAGCCAAATACTTTACATAAATCAGCCAAATACTGTACATAAATCAACCAAATATTGTACATAAATCAGCCAAATACTGTACATAAATCATGTATGACCAAACATTAATAAGAAAGGCAAGAATTCAAGATGAATTGTTTCATTTATTCTGTCTTAGATCAATAGAATCATCATCCTGACAACTTTATTTTTAAAAGACATTATCAATTTATCAATTCCTTTTTTATAAGTATCAAGGGTAGTGGACTCAGATGATGAAAGTGCATTCAAAGACCCCCTTTGAAGATTGCGATGTTTAAACTGAAAATTGATGGAATTGCAATGACAGAGGTTTTATAAAAAGTGCCACTCTTATTAACAGACAGATCTGACAGATGGACAGACAATTAAATGTGAATATTGTTTAACCATACTCTAAATGTACCTTATAAAGCTGTCTCTCAATATCTTTTAATTTAGTCCTAAGATTCTTTATGTCAGTCTTGAAACCCGCAACTTCTAAATTACGCCTCTTTTCCAGCTCATCATAGCGTGTATTCATCAGCTTTAACCTTTTAGCTATCTTTTCCGATCTCTCCTGGAACATGATAAATTCAACTTAGTTAAACAAAATATGCAGTGTAATAAAGCACATAGACTTGTTGGGAAAGATAACAAACATAACACTTGACTAGTATTGAAATAATAATCAAGATCTTGCAAATAATTGATAAGAGTATTCTACCATGCTTCAAGTTTTTCTGTAAGAACATTAGTATATCAGACATTTTACCTTGTAAACATCTCCCTTTACATCTTGCTCTTCCCTGATCCTACTCAGTTCATCTTCTAATTGGATCACCTGTTCTCGATAGTTATCTACCAACTTGTTCGCTTGCTCCACTTGATATCTCAGTGACTGAAACACCACATTTTGCACAATCAATGACTGTCATACACATTCAACACAATCAATGACTGCAATATGACTGGAATACACATTCAGCACAATCAATGACTGAAATACACATTCAGAACAATCAATTACTGGAATACATATTCAGCGCAATCACTGACTGTAATAAAACATTCAGCACAATCAATATTCAGCACAATCATTGACTGTAATACACATTCAGCAAAAATCATTGACTGTAATACAAATTCAGCACAATCAATGACTATAATGCACATTCAGCACAATCGTTGACTGTAATACACATTCAGCACAATCAATGACTGCAATATGACTGGAATACACATTCAGCACAATCATTGACTGTAATACACATTCAGCACAATCGATGACTATAATGCACATTCAGCACCATCAATTTACTGATATACACATTCAGCACAATCAATAACTGAAACATAATAATATCTGATAACTGACTGTTAAATTACATTAAAAAGACTTAAAAATTTATAAAATAAATAGGTCCAGAATTTCGAGAAATAAAAGCCCATGCGCCTACAAGGAAATCCAATATACTGTACATATGTATTACATGTTCTCCATATATGTTCATTTAATACCAATAATATACCTGTATTTCCTCTGCATATTTAGCTTTACTTGCATAGACAGGCTCCGACACATTGAGTATTTCATCCTTGCTCATGTCAAGTTGTTGCTTACAGGCATCTAGCTCACGTAGGAGAAGGTCCTTCTCAGCCATCCATTCCTTCTCATGTGTCCTGCCTTCATAACGCGACTCTAAACAGTCCTTGGTGCTCAGGTAAAGAAGGTCCTGAGTTTTGTGCAGTCTAAAACAGCATTCATATTTTGGAGTTTTAATTTAGCTAAAAGTACATAACGATGATCTAATAAATTTTGCTCCAGTTTTTCAGACTAAAGGCTTATTCAACCAAACAATTATCAAACCACTGCAAGGCTTGCATAATTTAGAAAAAGTGACAAAACCAGTCTTAAGACAACCAAAAGCTTCACCCAGCCAAATAGGAAATATTGGAATCGAAGGATTAATAGAATATTGAAGTTAACTCACTTTTCTGAAAGAGTTTTTATTTTATCAGTATCTCTGTCTCTACGAGCGTCATATTCCTCTATCTTGACACGTCTGTCTTCCATCATTGCCTCCACCTGTTCTTTAGCCAAACGCGTCTGCTCCTCTAACTGTGATGAAATCGCCTCAACCTGGTAATATAATTGTGCTTTTAACAACTCTACACGATAACAAAAACATGTTGCTTTTTGGAACTTTTGACTGAGAAGTAAATGTTTTGAATATCAGATCAACAGTTTTAACAAATATTCAATTTTTATTCATTAGATTTTCTCGTGAAACACAAACCTGTAATGAAAGAATCTGATTGTCCTTTTGATATTTTTCTTCCTCTTCTGTCATAACTGCTCCTTTAGACGGTTTCCTTCTTGTACCACCTACATATAAGATGTTAAGTTAGGCCTATTGGTCATTGGTCAATGACGGACAAATGTGCATAAAGATAAAACCATGTAAATGATTTTGTATAGGAGATTTTCTGTTTTTTAGAATTTTTTGGCTCAAATTTCACTCAAAAATCTCCTATCTTTATATCCAGATTTTTGTTTTTTCAATTACAATATCCTTTCAAAAATTTTGTTTTTAAATACTGATTTCCAGTTTTCAATTACCAGATCCTGTTTTTAAAAGAATTCCCCCTTTTATACTCTTATTTCAAATGACCTCCCATTTTATCCTATTATTTCATGCTATATATCCTTGTTTAATGTTATCAATATTTCACATTTTCACATTGTTTAATAACCTCTTGTCTTCAACAGTTATCCTGATTTTGAAAATATCCTTCTTCCAGATTTTCACTTGTTTTCAAAAATCTTTTAATATGTGTCTGAACTTGTCAAAACTGGATTTCCCCTGATTTTTAATTACCTATTTTATATTCGAAAATAGTTGAGAAATATGTGATCAAAATAACAGTTATCCCTTCTACAAATACTACTTGCATTGAATCAGTGGCTCACCTTTGTTCAATGTTTTTCCACCACGTGTATGCTGCTGGGTTCTCTGCTCCACGATAGCTTTGGCAGGTGGTTCCTTGAGGAAATAAGACACTTCATTCTCAGCCACACCACTCAAAGCTAGCAGAGTCTGGATCTTCTTCCTGTCTTCAATCTCCTGAATCTATAATCATATAATACAAATGGTTTATACTTTGTCTGAAAGGAGTGATGTCACTCACTGAATAAGAAGAGAAAACCTATACTAATCATATAATGACATGCAAAATATCACTGCCTGCCATTTGACACAGACGCCGAACACCAACTGCTGAATGCTGAATACCATCCACGAAAAAGTTGTGAACCTAACAATTTTGGTGGTGACATAAAAACTACAAATCTGGTTATACTAAGTACATTATGGTGTTACCTTTAACCTGTCATTTTCAGCATAAAGTCGTAGCACATGCTCCCTTTCTTGGAAGAGGTAGACTTGCATGTCACTCAAAGCCTTCTGCAGCTCACTGATCTCCTCCTCACGCTGTCTCAGCTCCCATTGGATCTTGTGCTGAAATAGTTAGCAATAAACATATTAACACAATCACAAAGGACATTGTATTGCAATAATCAGTGATAAACACAATCATATTGGATCTTGAACTGAAATGGTCAGCAAAAAAACATAATTACACCTGTGCTGAACTGGTCAGCAATAAACACAATCAAAATGGATTTTTTGTTGAAAAATTAGTACCGTGGGTACTGGGCTCACATGGTGACAGAAAAAAAACGGATATAATTTTTTGTTACAAAATTATTTCAATACATCTGTCTCTCAGTCAATTAAAATGGCTGAAAAAAAAACGGATATAATTTTTTGCCAATAATTTGTAACAAAATTATTTTATACAACTACTCTTTACAGTGACATGGCTTTTTGCAATGCAAGACACCTGAAATTATTTGTAAAGCTAGGAAATGGGCCAAAATTGAATTTCGCGAGACAAAAATGGCGACCATTTTGAAATCAGGCAAGCTTTTGAACCAGGAGTCATAGGGGAGTTTTTTGTATTGATGTTGAACAAAAATAACTTGAAACTGGAATCCTATCGACAGAGGTTTTAAGCAAATGGTCCAAAAGAGGATTTCGCGAGACAGATGAACAAATCAATGTTAACTAAAATGGCTGAAAATAAAAAAAAACGGATATAATATTTTGCCGATTTTTTGTAACAAAATTATTTCATACAACTACCTTTTACAGTGACATGGCTTTTTACAATGCAGGAAAGCTGAAATTAGAAATGGGCAAAAAGTGAATTTCGCGAAACAAGAATGGCAACCATTTTGAAAATAGGCGAGCTTTTGAACCAAGAGTCATAGGAGAGTTTTTTGTATTGATGTTGAACAAAATTAACTTAAAATGGGAATCCTATCGACAGAGGGTTTAAGGTAAATGGTCCAAAAGTGGATTTTGCGAGACAGATGGACAAATCAATGTTAACTAAAACGGCTGAAAATAAATAAATGGATATAATTTTTCGCTGATTTTTCGTAACAAAATTATTTCATACATCTACTCTTTACATTGACATGGATTTTTACAATGTAGGACACTTGAAAGTATTTGTAAAGCTAGGAAATGGGTCAAAAGTGAATTTCGCGAGACAAAAATGGCGGCCATTTTGAAAATAGGCGAGCTTTTGAACCAGGAGTCATAGGGGAGTTTTCTGAATTGATGTTGAACAGAAATAACTTAAAACAGGAATCCTATCGACAGAGGTTTTAAAACGTGCCACAGAAAGTGGATTTCGCGAGTCAGATAGACAAATCAATGTTAACTAAAATGGCTGAAAATAAAAAAATGGATACAATTTTTCGCTGATTTTTTGTAACAAAATTATTTCATATATCTACCCTTTATATTGACATGGATTTTTACAATGTAGGACACCTGAAATTATTTGTAAAGCTAGGAAATGGGTCAAAAGTGAATTTCGCGAGATAAAAGTGACGGCCATTTTGAAAATAGCCGAGCTTTTGAACCAAGAGTCATAGGAGAGTTTTTTGTATTGATGTTGAACAAAATTAACTTAAAATGGGAATCCTATCGACAGAGGGTTTAAGGTAAATGGTCCAAAAGTGAATTTTGCGAGACAGATGGACAAATCAATGTTAACTAAAATGGCTGAAAATAAATAAATGGATATAATTTTTCGCCGGTTTTTTCGTAACAAAATTATTTCATACATCTACTCTTTACTTTGCAATGGATTTCTACAATGTAGGACACTTGAAATTATTTGTAAAGCTAGGAAATGGGTCAAAAGTGAATTTCGCGAGACAAAAATGGCGGCCATTTTGAAAATAGGCGAGCTTTTGAACCAGGAGTCATAGGGGAGTTTTCTGAATTCATGTTGAACAGAAATAACTTAAAACAGGAATCCTATCGACAGAGGTTTTAAAACGTGCCACTATTATTGACAGAAAGTGGATTTCGCGAGTCAGATAGACAAATCAATGTAAACTAAAATGGCTGAAAATAAAAAAATGGATACAATTTTTCGCTGATTTTTTGTAACAAAATTATTTCATATATCTAATCTTTACATTGACATGGATTTTTACAATGTAGGACACCTGAAATTATTTGTAAAGCTAGGAAATGGGCCAAAAGTGAATTTCGCGAGACAAAAGTGACGGCCATTTTGAAAATAGGCGAGCTTTTGAACCAGGAGTCATAGGGGGGTTTTCTGTATTGATGTTGAACAGAAATAACTTAAAACAGGAATCCTATCGACAGAGGTTAGCTAGGAAATGGGCTAAAAGTGAATTTCGCGAGACAAAAGTGACGGCCATTTTGAAAATAGGCGAGCTTTTGAACCAGGAGTCATAGGGGGGTTTTCTGTATTGATGTTGAACAGAAATAACTTAAAACAGGAATCCTATCGACAGAGGTTTTAAAACGTGCCACTATTGTTGACGGACAGACAGACGGACGGACAGACAGACGGACGGACAGACAGATGGACAAGTGAGTGATTGCAAAAGCTCACCATGTGAGCTAAAAACCAACAAAACACAATAACAATGTACCTTTTGCGGAAATAGTCAGCAATAAACACAATCACACTAGTACTAGACTATGTGCTGCAATAGTTAATCATCATTCAGTTATTTTACCTGTTCTTCATATGTCATTCTATAGTCATCAAGTTTCTTCACCATGACATCGTGTTCATTATCAAATTCTGCTATCTTTTTTCTGTAGTATTCTAGCAGCTCTCTAGAGGGACGCAGATAGCCTACAAACAGTATATTTCTATAGGCTATGTCACTCTTACGTGAAATATGCCTGCGTTCTCCAAATATAGGCCGACCTTGGGAGGCTCTATATTTAGGCAAGAACGAAGGCATATTTCACATCATAGTGACATAACTGTGATATTACATACCTATATTCCCATGGCTGTTTTGTATCAATGATGTCACATATCTGTGTGCCAGTAGAATTTGATTGAAATAAAACACAACATCATTAAAGAAATCAAATATGAAAACGAGGTAAGCAGGCTATATTGGGGCAATCGGGCAATATCTGTGGACAGAGCCCGCTAACTTTCCCATTGACTTCCATACAAATGTGCCGTTAGTAATACATTTAGATACTCTATTAATAACAATGGCCCTCTACTGTAGTTTATATATTACATGGAGAATATAAGGGGCACACAGAACTAAAATTGTAAAATTATTTAATAAATTAATAATTAACAAATTAATAAACAACAGATCATGATTCAAAACATCATACACTGTTGATCTCAAGTTTTTTTTTACAATGACTTTGGATACATCATAGAAGTGAAGTGTCCAGAGTTTCATTTGCAGTTGATATCATGAAGTCAACTTTCGAAAATCTGCACATTTGTCATAACTTATGTCAAAATGAGAAGTAAAGTAAATCATTATGAAACAATGAGCATCCATTTGTTTAAAAAACAAAAAGTTACAACAATTATACAATTTACTTATTGTTTGATAGTGTACAATTCAATGTACAAATAATGATACAAAATGATATGAAACAATCACTTACCTAAGCATTCATTGATATAATACAATCACTCACTTAAGCATTCATTGACATGAAACAATCACTTACAGGGGTTTATTAGCAGCAGGCAACAGTCAGTTGTTTTCACAAAATCACCTGTTGTTTTTAGGGACTTTTCCATGTTAAAATTATGATTTCCATTAATTTAGCCTGTTGTGGGAAATTCTCGCGAAACCCCTGACTTACCTAAGCATTCATTGATATGAACCAATCAATTACGTAAGCATTCATTGATATGAAACAATCACTTACCTAAGCATTCATTGATATGAAACAATCACTTACCTAAGCATTCATTGATATGAAACAATCACTTACGTAAGCATTCATTGATATGAAACAATCACTTACGTAAGCATTCATTGATATGAAACAATCACTTACCTAAGCATTCATTGATATGAAACAATCACTAACCTAAGCATTCATTGATATGAAACAATCACTTACCTAAGCATTCATTGATATGAAACAATCACTTACGTAAGCATTCATTGATATGAAACAATCACTTACATAAGCATTCATTGATATGAAACAATCACTTACCTAAGCATTCATTGATATGAAACAATCACTTACGTAAGCATTCATTGATATGAAACAATCACTTACGTAAGCATTCATTGATATGAAACAATCACTTACCTAAGCATTCATTGATATGAAACAATCACTTACCTAAGCATTCATTAATATGAAACAATCACTTACCCAATCGTTCATTAATGGCTGGCAGGGGTGGACTTTCTGGTCTATCATCCATGCTGTCAGTAACACTGCTAGTCAAAGTGACATCAGGCTCACTAACTCTTTGTGTTGCAAGCTTCTTTCTCACACTGTCTGCACCACTAGAAGATAAACATTTCATTGAATCCAAATTAAATGTCTTGACGGCCTGGTGAATTATTTGATCACTTGGCTTTAAAAGATGTAAAAAAAGTTTGTCTGCACCATGACCTGCAAAAAATGACCTACTTTAGTACATACCAGCTTTTGCAATTTGAGGTTTCAACTTATTTGTTATGGTATCATTTAAACCAATCATTGAAAACATTCTGTAAAAAACTGTATTTTATGTAATCACGCCCGGTGATCGTGAATATGGGACGGAGGGGGGGGAGCAGGCAATTTCTGCTAGGAAATTCAACAAATCTGGAAGATTTATTTTTTCAAGAAAAAGTTTACTATTGAATTGCTAAATGGATAGGCGCACGGTATGGTAGAATATGTTAGGTTTTCTGGGATTTTTTCTGAAACGATACGCATCTAAGGTATGAGATCTATTAAAAAAGGCGCAAGGCCATCAACAGGAACAAATCAACGTTTTTGCTATAAATCAAGCAACAATGGTCTGGACGACCTGTAATAAATACTTGTAAGTGATGTTATCATAACTAAATTAATGTCATTGCTGAATTTATAAAATAAGTTTCCATATGTGAAATAAAAAATAATCAAAAATAATGAATTTGGGACGGAGGGGGGGGGAGGGGACGGAGGGGGGGAGCAATATGTATATAAGACATGATTAGAGATGTTTCGCGACTTTAAGTCCTTTTACTCCAAATGACCCCATTTTTCAGTCTCCAGGGGTATATCATCCAGTTTCTAACTAAGTTAATGAGTTCTTTTTCAAATACAAGAATTCGTGTGAAGTTGTCTCACTTTATAGAATTATTACTCCCCCCTCCGTCCCCTCCCCCCTTCCGTCCCATTTTAATCATTTTCGATTATTTTTTATTTTACGTATGGAAACTTATTTTATAAATTCAGCAATGACATTAATTTAGTTATGATAACATCACTTACAAGTATTTATTACAGTTCGTGTAGTCCATTGTTGCTTGATTTATAGCAAAAACTTTGACTTTTGCACGTTGGTTGTGTTGCGCCTTTTTTAATAGATCTTATATCTTAAAAGAGTATCGGTTGAAAAATAATCCTAGAATACCTAACATATTTTATCATACCATGCGCTTATTCAATTTGCAATTCAATCGTAAACTCTGTCTTGAAAAAATAATTTTACCAGATTTGTTGAATTTTCTAGCGGAAATTGCCTGCTCCCCCCCTCCGTCCCATTTTCACGATCACCAGGCGTGGTAATGTAAACTGATTGACAACAGTTTAATGCGAAAATTATTTAGAAAAAATATATTTTTTGTTTTTTTAGAGCAATTGTTTTTGCTCCTTTCTACCCATTCTTGAGAATGAAATAAAATGTCTTTCCGAACCTTGTTGGAACAAAATAGCATAATATACAACATGTTTTTAGACCTCTCAATATTATAGTTATACAAATTAATTTTTGGTTGATCTTAAAAAAGTATTCAAAAAATTAAAACAAAATCCCCCCAAAATAGATAAAAATCAAGATACCTTTTATTTCATAAACTAGATACTTTTTTAAAATCAACCGAAATTTCCTTTATACAATTACAATATTGAGAGACCTAAACATGTTGTGTTTATGTCGTTTCGTTCCAATGAGGTTCAGAAAGATGTTTCATTTCACTCGAGAAACATGATACCAAGAACAAAACAATTAGTGTTTGATGTGTTTTCTAAAAAAATATAGATGAAAATATATATATATTTTTCAAATTATATTGTTACCATTCACACCCTTGGTATACGCAGCTAACGAGAATTGACCGGTACGGGTCAAAAGCTGGACCGGTACGGGTCAACAGTTTTATTTGAATTTAAAACAGCCATAACTTGCTCAATATTGGCTTCCTCGTGTCTAATTTGGTGACTGTAAATTGCACAGCTGTATTCAATGGAGTGTTATCGTATTCAATCATCCTCAATTTTAAAGTGTTTATTTTATTTTTAAAGTGATTTCATTGTTTTTTGTCGACTGGTACGATTTAGCCGAGCAAATGGCAAGATGGATGACCCTTGACCTCAGCCTTGACCGATGGTGATCACGTCATCAATATTACCAAGATGGCGGTTTCAAAATTTTCTAAATTGCTTCAAATAATAGTATGTTAATTTCTAGCGAGTAAACCTATCTCATAGTTTGCTATTTCACAATAAAATAAAGAAATGTGTAAGGAATTCGCTTTTATTAATTAAAACATCACATCGACATGTGGTATTCGTAAACTAGACGATGAAGATTACGAAAGCGGGGGGTTTTGAAATGACGTCACTTCTCAAAAGGAATTCTCAACGAGCTGCATAGCAACCATGGAATAAACAATTTCGTGATCGCTAAAGATCAGTCCCTTGCGAAATTCTGAGTAATTACTTATTTCTACGGTTCATTACGAATCACATAATAATTATCTTACAAATTAATTATTTTTACATTAAAATCTCATAAAATATGTTTAATTTAATCGGTAGGAAACACGAAGAAATACATTTTTAACGACCATTTTTTAAAGTAGATCGAATTTTTTAGAAGGGTAAACTTCCCGGGAGTTTAAAGATTGTCACGTTTTGTTTGAGAGCGAGAACGACACCTTGTGCCAAATGCCCGTCTTTTAAGGTCAGGGTGCATGATGGGAAATTTTCTGCATTCCTCAATTAACCTTTTGCGATCAGAATTCAGGAATTTTGTTTATGGATACTGTTGTCATGTATTTCGTCTTATTGGTGTGACGTCATATAGAAATGATATCAGACATGATGGAATCACGAAATGGCGGACACTTGGCAGTTTTGAGCAAAAAATATTGTCGTTTCTTTTATGAAAACCATGGGTTGGATATTTACCAGATATGCCGATTTGACTAGATCATGATTATTTCTATGTATGTACGAAGTTTTGGTGAAATTCATATTAAACATCGATGCCTATAAGCGCCCCCCGTATTTGTCAAAATCGGGGGGTGCTTAACCGCTATCTAAATCATGTCAGTAAGATCTTAGCCTTGGTATGTGCTAAGCATGGATGTTGATCTAGTCAAATCGAACGTTTTCATGAAAAATAAATCAATAAAGCACGAAATATGGAAGATAATCTCTCAAAATCAAACATCTAGAGCTGGGTGGCCTAATTGTGACGTCACTACAAGATAGAATCCATTCGGTGATCGCAAATCATCAATTGAGCCACATGTTATTTTTCAAACAAGAATCACTCCTTCCCTTACTTCCTGCGAAAGCTATTGGATTTTGATATAATAGCTTTCCCACGGAGCATTTGGACAGCTCAATGATCGTGACCTTTGAAATCGAATTAAGTCGATCCGCGGCTTACTTTTGGTCTCTAACTGTGTCTTACATCAGTATCATCAATCCGTGTAAGTATCGGAGCGCTGGAGTACTTCTTTTTCGATCAAGACTTGTAATTGTTTAGTCGAGTGAATCGTTTTACTGCCAAATTCCAATATGGCGGTTTCTGCTCGGACATTTTCGTAAATCTCCGGAGGTTGTCCGAACCTAACTAATTCTCAGAATTCATTTCGTTCGTTGCGTATCTCGCTCCTAGCAAACCGCCATATTGGAAATAGGTCTAAAAAACGTTCACTCGATGAACAATTTACAAGTCTTGATCGAAAAAGAAGTACTCCAGCGCTCCAATACTTACACGGATTGATGATACTGATGTAAGACACAGTTAGAGACCAAAAGTAAGCCGCGGATCGACTTAATTCGATTTCAAAGGTCACTATTGATGAGCTGTTTACTTCTCCGTTTGAGAGCCATAAGTTTCAAAATCTAACATGGCTCTCGAAGTGAGTAATCCTTCCCCACATTGTCTATATCTTCCAGTTTTACACACAAAGAGTGCACTTATGTGCCTAGAAAAGACTTGTGGGAAGAATGTTTTGATGAAGTGTATAAAAACAAGAAAATTCAGTGAAAAAAATCAGAAAAATTTCAGAAATTTTTTCACTGAATTTTCTCATTTTTTATACATTTTACAAAACAAACCTTCTCACAAGGCTTTTCTAGGCACATAAGTCACCCTTGGTATACGCAGCTAACGAAAATTGACCGGTACGGGTCAAAAGCTGGACCGGTACGGGTTAACAGTTTTATTTGAATTTAAAACAGTCATAACTTGCTCAATATTGACTTCCTCGTGTCTAATTTGAAATATATGATGCCTCTCGATGCTTTTAAGTACCCCAATTTTTTACAGATTTTTAAACGGACCAAAACTCTCTAAATGCGCATTTATGCTCTTTTCTCTCGATAACGACTGTCTCATTTTCACGATGACTTTTATTTAGTACTCCTCCTGCTTGCAGCGAGAAGACGGACCGGTTCTATTGCCCCGAACCGGTCCGTCTTCTCACTGCAAGCAGGAGGAAATTCTTTGTCACAAAGTTTGTCATTTTTTATAAAATCAAATGCGCGTCGTTGAAACTCACAAGATGTAAATAGCATGTCATTTACATCATACCTTGATGGGGAAAAATAGATCTTATATGTTAGAAGTACTAAATAAAAGTTATCGTGAAAATGAGACAGTCGTTCTCGAGAGAAAAGAGCATAAATGCGCATTTAGAGAGTTTTGGTCCGTTTAAAAATCTGTAAAAAATTGGGGTACTTAAGCATCGGGAGGCATCATATATTTCAAATTAGACACGAGGAAGTCAATATTGAGCAAGTTATGGCTGTTTTAAATTCAAATAAAACCGTTAACCTGTACTGGTCCAGCTTTTGACCTGTACCGGTCAATTTTCGTTAGCTGTGTATACCAAGGGTGTAAGTGCACTCTTTGTGCAAACTTGGAAGATGTATATATCTTTTTATTGACTCTTTAGATGTCATATCATGACATATTAGTCACTAAGGTAGAGCAGTTCTTCCCATTGTCGAGTTGAAGAACTGGTATCTTTATCCTGGCTAGAACCATAGACAATTCTAGCCAGCGCCAGCCTTTTATCGAGTTAGCAGCACTCTAGTAATCGCCGGTATAGGTCAGCAGTCATAGGTCAAAGACAAATCACAAGAAGTGCTGTGACCTGGGTTTGAACCCAAGACCTCTACTTTTTTCAGCCTGAAGCCAGACTTCCTGCTTTTCAGACCAATGTAGACAATGTGGGGAAGGAGTTGCTCTTGTTTGAAAAATAACATGTGACTTAATTGAGGAATGCAGAAAATTTCCCAACATGCACCCTGTCCTTAAGTCAGTCGACCTGTTCAAAGTACATTTAGTACACGGATAGTGGGAAGTCCTCCATATATTACTTATATTATACAACAGGTAAGTTAACGCAGCTTCCATCCAAAATAAAAAATATGTATTTTTAAAATAAATTATTTGTCTAGTTTTCGTTAAACAAATATCCTGAGACACATAGGGCCTGTAGAAAACACTAAACAGAAAAATAAAAAAAATATTCACACCTCCAAATCTGATTTATTGGTCAGATAATGCACCAAATCATAATGGTTGTTCAAAATAAAAATTTAAGGGGACGGAGCGCCGTATCTCGCGAGAATAAAGCAAATCACGCACCATCTCGCGAGAATAAAGCAAATCACGCAAAGGCGCGTGATTTTTTCGACCAATCAAATAGCTTGAAATTTACCAAACCATTTCGTCCAGTGTTTCACACATGCGCAGTAGAAATTGTCAATTACTGAGCGGACCCTTCAATGGCCTGGAGAAATTTTACTCACGATAATTGATGATTACTGAACACATGATATAGGCATAAGAGGTGAGCGACCCAGTTATTTTTGCGTATAAATGTTTCAAGAATAGCATGATATCAAATAATCTGTACATTATGCTTCGATTCATTCAAAAATTGAATCTAGAGGACAGGTGACCATATTTTTTTCATATTTTTTTAATTTTTACCTGCGTTACCTGTTGTATAATATAAGTAATATATGGAGGACTTCCCACTATCCGTGATTTAGTATTATAATCGCATTTCAGAACAATTAAGGAAACAATATTTTCTATCTACGTCGATTACAAAGCATCTGGTACGGAAATTTATATGAACAACCAAATCAATAGGAATAAATAGCCCAACGAGAGTCGGCGCTCTTGAAAAATACTTGGATCTTGTTTCCAATCCTGGTATTGAAACCTTATCTCGTTCGAAGAACATATTAGACGTTTGGCTTACTAAATTTGCACATAGCTTTGTGTAAACTAAGATTTTCGACATCTAAAAAGTCACTCGACTTTTTTTGTGATTTTGAATCACAGAAAGCATTCTGAAGTTTCAAATTGGCGCCACGTTTAATTTTTGGCATCCGCCTAAAGTATACCACTTACCTTTTATTGATTCTTTCAAAAGTTTCGTCATAAACTCAGTTTGACCAGAAGTATCTTTGTTGCCGCTCGATTTTTAAAAAAAATGTCCCTTTTCTAATCACCCGGATGTGCAGTTTACTTGGACTCGCCCAAAACGAGGGGTGTCAAACGCAAGATGGTAGAGATGAAGACATGTCGGCGTCGCCACTCTCAGAGAATCTATTCCATAATTTCAACATTACTTCACGGTTTAACAAGTGAAAAGGATAAGGGCAGGTTGTATATAGGACTGGACAAAATGAAAATAAATGTTCGAAATAAGATGAACTGAACCTATCACGTCAACGATTTCTTAGAAGATATTACGTCTGAAAAACAAAAGCTCCGTAGAGAATTTTCGCTTGAAATGTTGAACAGCAAGCCCAGTTTTCTGTGGGAATATAGGGTAATTAATAGTTACGTGTACAATATTACCGAGTTCGATGGTGCATAAGTTAACGGTGGATTATTTTGTAAGTACGACAATGTGAATTCATGCGACTGTTACTTTTTGGAAGGTTTTTTGCAGAAAAGTCGAGTGACTTTTTAGATGTCGAAAATCTTAAGTAAGTCCGTGCTTTCTCTAAAATTATCAGTTATCGAGACCTGTCTATGAATCAGTCTACTATCAGTCTAATACTGCAGGCCTGTCAACTGTCCCGCAATTTGCGTATTTGTCACGCATTTGCTGAAGAATTTGAAGTCACGCCAGTTATTTTTGCGTGACAGAAAATGTCACGCAAATACGCATTTTACCTGGTAATTGTCAAGCAAAAATATTTCTACAGATCGTCTACACAGCAAAACTACGAACGACGGAAAAAAAGTACACATTTCGATCGGACTTTTCACGCAAATCACGTATATGTCACGCATTCCGTTCGACATTTTTCGTACCTACCCCCCCCCCCCCCCCCCCGTTGATGGATGTTTGAAACGCGAGCGTACCGAGTGCGAAAAATTTGAGGTGTTCAAAATTTGGCAAGATGTAATAAAATTTAAACCAAGGTGTTCAAAATTTGGATCAAGGTGTTCAGATTTGGACCAAGGTGTCCACATTTAGAATAGAGGGGAGGTGTTCAACATTTCCAAGTCAGTCATGTTAGGTTTTCCCAAGTTGACAGGCCTGAATACTGAGATAAGAATATGAAGTTTAGCGTGAAAAATAGATCTTTATTCAGATAAAACTACAAGTCACACAAATGATTAATTAGAATTGTCTCAAAATACTTTGTATGCTAAGAAATAAGGATATACATACCTCTTGAAATTTGAAGACATTTTGTAAATTTCAAAACTTCCGCTAAATGAAATGAAGAATTTCTCGGTTTTGATTCGTTACAAAATAATAAAAGTTGTTCAAAAGATTTTAAGTTTGACATTCAACTATTTAAAACGTTTGATTAAACAATTGCATTTTCCTAATTCAAGACGGACTTGTGAGGAATTCTTTGCAAGCTAATCAATCTTTTTGATTATCTACTTTTAATAATAATTTTAGACAAATCATAAAAAAGGTCAGAGTTCAAAAGTGTGCCCGAAGAGGTCATTCAAATTAGTCCGCTATAGAACTATTTCTTACTTCAAAACAATGCATATTTTTAATTCCTGGGTAAAAAATCAATCAAAATAGAAGATTAATGTGATGTTTGTATCATCAAAACACGATTTAAGTCATGTTTGATGCTTAAATTATCATTAAGATGGACAATGAGTTCCATAATAAGACCTATTTTCTGCGTAAGGTTATACATACAAGTAAGTTCTTCGGTTCGAAAGTGAAGTTGAAAGTTTGTTCGAAATGTTCCACTATTTCTCCTGATAACTACGGATATAAGGATTACAATGGTTTAAATTTGCAATGGAGAGTTATATAACATACACATCTTTGGATACATGATGGAAAATTCATCAAAAAAGTTTAAACCGCCTGCAGAGGCACCAGTTTTTGAACCGACAGAGGAAGAATTTCAAGATCCGTTGGGATACATTGCGAAAATTCGACCTATTGCCGAGAAGTCAGGAATATGCAAGATAAAACCACCTACGGTGCGGATCTCATTCGATGTCTTTTATGCTTATCTTACTTGTGTGAAAATTTCAAGTTGCTTCACCCACCAGAACAAAAGTTATTCTATTTTTTATGACTCAATGTACGTGCATTGCACTAATTTCAACATGGCGACCTTTTGTTTGATGGCTATGTGGCCCTTTAAATTATTGCCAATCTAGAATTTCATAGAAAACATAGAAATACTTGTCATCCAAATCTAATTTTCAGTAAATTTCGAGTTTACTATCTTATCTTTCATTTTTTGTCATAAAAAGGGGCAGATGGCGTATACTTTTTGAATAAATCGAAATCCTAGATTGATGTTCAGGAAAAATGCAGGTCGAATTCATTTACCCTGGGTTTGAAAAATCTGGACAAAGACTATGTTATCTAGGTCAGTCTTTTTCGCGATATTCCCTCAGACATCAGAGACTCGTTCCATCATGCTACAGTAGTGAAGTCCACAGTTTACGTTTTGGTAACTTTCAAATCAAAATATTGGAGTTGTTAGATGAGATTTTTGAAGTCAAAATCTTGTGATTTGTGTAGGTGTGGCAAACAACATACTACTATTGGTTACATCAGCATATTTAAATCATTATTCTTGTCATAAACATTAAAATATACGTAAAAAAGACAAATTTGGAAGATTTTATATGAAGCCAAAACTTCAGGTCAAATAAACTGACAACCACTTGATCAAAGATATATTTTTGATACTTTTCTCTCATATTCACTCAGGTGTCTCACCTATATATACAACATTTATATAAATAGAAAAATTGTTTCTATATGTGATTTCCTTTTTTTTGTAATATATAGTTTTTTTAACTTGATCCATGATCATTAATGTACAAGAAATATTTCTAACACGAAGGCATCAAATTAAAGTTGAATTAATTTCTAAAAGCATTTTTGTAAAACAAAAGGAAGTGTACTCATTGCTGCAATATTAAATTATGCACAAAATAATGCATAAGGATAACTTTTGATGGTTTGTTATTATATTTATCAAGGATTGGCAACCTCCATTTGCAGTGGATGTGGATAAATTTAAGTTTGTTCCCAGGATACAAAGACTAAATGAGTTAGAGGTATGTATTTGTTTTATGATTTGTAATATATATATTCTTGAATGTTCTTCTCAGTGTCAAGTTTTTCTGATTGTTTAAAAAGAATACAGAATTGAGAATTGAAAAAGTTCTATGTGTTTAAACACCAGTGGCAAAGCCTGTGATTGTGATTCATTAGTATGACTAGTAGTAAAACTTGTCAAACGTCATAAACTACCTTTCAAATCTTTATTTAGAAGTTATTTAAAATTGTCCATCTTAATACCAATCAATTATTTTTTATTTTGAATGTCAGTATTTGGAAATCTCTGAGTATTTTATCTGGATCATGAATGAAAATAAATTACCAAGGTGGAATACAATTATTGATGGCTACTAGCCATGTCAGCCATTTTGAATACTCACAACTTGATTAGATACATTTCCATCAATTTATATCATTTTATTTTAAATTACTAGGGGTCAATTTTGTTTTGTCATGGAGAATAAGAATACATTTTTGCGTCTGATTTGACAGAATAAGTAAACTTGATTCTATAATAAGGCAAATGAGACAATATTTCAAGTAGAATGTGAAATATACAAGTATTTCCAGTAGTTTACTAAAGAATCAGAAAAGAGAGAAACTTATTCAATAATTATGTCACTCTTAGAATCTTGTCTCATACTTTTCTATTTACAGAAGTAAAAATATTTTTTGGTCACTTTATATTATTTCATTTTTTCCTACATTTCTTCAAGCCACAAAATGTGATAATTTAGTCTCCTATTGTATAATTAATTTTAATGATGAAAAGCACATGATTTTTTGATAATTATAATAAACCTGTATATCTGAACACCTATCGATGTGAACACTTATTTCTGTCCCACCTCTTCTATCTGTCATGGGCTTTTATGTAAAGGTTTGAATTGTGAACACCTTCCAATCGAAAGACTTTGGCCTGTCCCAGCAGTGTTCGGTTTAGACAGGTTTCATACCAGTAAATCAAGTACAAATGGCTGTTTCTCCAGTTTTTCTGCATTTGATCAAGTTAATTCAATTTTAGAAAAGTCGAATAGACATTATAAATTGTTTGTACAATTTCAAAGGCCACATAATACTATGTAGAATGGCTATTTTCGAAGTTCTAGCAAAATAAAAATATGAATGTTTTCTGGCCTACCCTATGTACATTTTTAGTTATATGAAACTTGTGTAAATTTTTGAGACTGCGATTTTAGATATTCAAAATGGATAGCTGTACTTTGATTGGCCTTAATCCGATAGGCTCTTATATGCCATTATATGGCAAGGCAGGATAAATGAATTATTAGTTAAAACTAAATCAAACTGAAAAAATAGGGAAGCAAGTCTGTATTGGATTCATGAAATATAACCGGCTTATTGAAAGAATGTTAATTTTGTAATTTCTTTTTTTTACAGGCAAACAGCCGAGTGAAACTCCTGTTCCTAGACAAGCTTGCAAGATTCTGGGATCTGCAGGTAAGTGAAACATCAATTCTTATATAATGAAGGTAATCAGTGATAGATCCATGAAAGGTGCATGAAAGATTGCATATAGTGTATCTACCAATTACATGTTATGTATTTAACACACGTGACATGTCCATGCAGCATTTGTGAAAAATGATTCAGCGTATATCTCTTATTTTGACAGAAGTAGCCTTCAAAAAAAGAATCATTTCATAGCCATCCTTCTATAACAAGAAAATAAAATATAATTTGTTAAATCTGACCTTGCGCTGGGCAATTAAGATAATGAATTAAACACTCTCATTATAGTGCTGTATACTCAATTACATTTAAATATGTTGTTTTTTCCAGGGTGTCCAATTCCGAATCCCAAATGTTGAGCGTAAAACCTTAGATTTATGTACATTACACAAGATTGTCAATGAAGAAGGGGGCTTCCTAAATATAACCAAAGACAGAAAATGGACCAGAATAGCGTCAAAGCTAGGCTACCAAAGTACTAAAGGTGTTGGATCTGTGATCCGGAGTCATTATGAGAGATATCTCTATCCCTATGATGTTTTCATCAGTGGTGCCGCAATTAAAGAAGTATGCAATTACTATGATATTTTAAGCAGAAAATATGATATCTCTTACTGTCAAAGTTGTAGATGCAATATGTCAAAACTTACAGTTATTTCAAAATTCAAGTATTGCATTTTTGGGGTCACTCTGTATTACCTATCCAATAATTATTGCACATTTTTCATAGAAGTGTAAAAAGGAGAAGATTAAAGAAGAAATAGATGATGAGATAGAGGATATCACTCCTCCATCCCAGAATGCACCTGAGGTACGCAAGGGAGGTGCTGGTGGAGGAGCGAGAATGGCCACAAAAGCTTCAAGACTCAAACAGGAAGCTCAAGACTCCCCTGCCAAAAGTACTAGGAGTTCTCCTGCTAACACCCCACTAAAGATTAAAACAGAGACCAAGGTGAAGTCTGAGGCGAACACTCCATCGCGGACAACACGTAGCAGTCAGGTGTCTCCCCCTAGTGGAAGTCCTGCAAAGAGGAAGTTGTCACTAGACAGTAACCCAGATCAGGTATGAACTTTGATGTCATTGACATTTTAATATCACATAATATTAGAGCATTATGTTTGATTTATTATATCTTTTCTCAGATTTCACATTTATATTTTTATCAAATAAAGAATGGTAAAATTTTTTTATTGGTTCCAATTTTGGTATCTCCCATAGACTAACATTAAGAAACCTTGAAATGTGAACACTTATACCAGTGACATTGGGATTAAAACGTTTTTTTTACTGTTTGTGTGCACCTACTTAAATCTGACAATTTTGATACATGGTTTTTAAACTAAATGGGTTTAAAGAAATTTCACACATGTGGGTATGTTTTTTTTGTAGCATGAGACAAAGGCCACTGCAGAGTTAAGACGTCTTCAGTTCTATGGTCCTGGCCCTAAGTCAGTCATACCAGAAGTTGGTAGTGGAGGTAGGGGAATATTTATTTCAAGTTTGAGATTCTTGCCTTATATTTTACAACTTAACAAGATGTAAGGCAACATGAGAGACATTCCAATTCAGATACCTATAAAGCTTACGATTACAAACATTTGAAAATCATAATAAAGCTAATAGCTTTAATTATCAGATCAGCTCTTAAAGGCCTGTTCTTAAATGCTTTG